GAAATAAATGGGGTTTAACGTCCACTCGACACAAACTAGGTCATTTTGGGACTAACACATGGGGTCTTTAGCAGTGGGAGGACCCGGAGAAAACCCACAAGGTTGGAAAGGTGACCCTACTCCTTGTCAGGTACAACCGGGGAATCGAAACCCCGCCAGTTCAATAAATGACAGACCGTATGATACAGCGCGCACGTCAATATTTAATATTAACAAGTTTTCTTAGCCGACACGATTGGCATGAAGGGAAGGGGAGGTTGACATGGGGTATGTGTGTGTTTGCGTGTGTGTGTGTGTGTGTGTGTGTGTGTGGTAGGGTGGTGGTAGTGGTGGAAGGGGGGGGGGGTGTATGTTTCAGTAGATAATAATAAAGGCTTTAACTTGCAATAATACATTAATAAAGTAAGGTTTCCTTCAATGTAAATACAAGGGTTTCTGGTTTGTCAGTATTAACCGAGTATTGTTTTTGATATATAAATATTCTCTCATTACATTTTATATTTTAGCAAGCATTGATCACAAAGACTGGTAAAGCCTAGTCCAAATGCCGCCCAGTAAATAAGCATTAATGGTATTCCATAGATTGTCTCCCGTGTATTTAAATGGATGACTTCTGTGATTGTATAAAAGGTTAAGAAAGACAGATGTTGATGTGATTATCAGAGAAACAGATCCACAACTTCACACATCCTTTACAGACAATGAGAACCTATTAAAGGCCACTGGTAATTTATCCTACAAGTCACTCGATTAGTACTAATAAATCAGACACGCCCCCTTGATCATTATAAACCTATATAATCAGTGTCTTTAAGGGGCATGTGGTAATATGGTATGCTTTAACCGACGAAAATATGATACTAAGTTTAACATTTGTATATATTTTGGCTGATATGTTAATCCGTGAAGTTGAAATCGGAAGCGATTTCATACTTTGGGTATTTATAGCCGGTTTTTATGACGTATTAATTATCTTCCCCATAGACATTCTATTAGCTAGTATAACACGCCTGTTAGATTGTTCACATCGTCTGGGTAATTATTCATTGTGGTTTTATTAACCCCATCTCTAGTTTTATAGTCCATTACTATTTTGCTTTAATACCAAGATTTTTATTGTCTGCAAAATTTCCCACTTCACTTGTCATCGGAAACATCCATTTTAAAATCCTGTCTGAATACAATGTAAATCACCACCTTTTATTGAGTAACTTGATTTTTTTCTAGTCCGTGTCCCTTTCAATGTCGATATCCCAAAAGAATAGTCGTCCTAATCCATTATTACGTTAGGCTGGCGCCAACAACAAATGGCGTGATAGGCTTAATGGATTGGAGGTCGTCTTTGCTTGGCACAAATTGTTTAAAAAATTAAAAGATTTGCTGCGATGTGATTTGACTGTATAATTCAAATTAGATTTTGGAGTTTAACGTTCTACTATTCCGCACCAACCAGACAAGTTAAGAGTACTATGTGGGTTATTTTGCCTGGACAGCGGCAATGTGGCCTATTTATATTTCGATTTGCAACTGTCAAGGGATCTTTAGGTGTACGTTAATGTGTACTGGAGAACCTCCGTTTTCGTCCCATTCGAAAGATTAGACGCTGTCCCTTGCCGTGATCGTCCTGCACCACTGACAAGGGACAAGCAACACTAGGTGCTTCCTGATTTGTGAGCAAGCATCTTACTGACTGAGCCACCGCGGCTCCAATAATTTTAGACAGTCTGCTAATCCTTAGTTGAGGTCTAATGTTGTAATTTCAGGGTTTTAATTTCAGCGCTTGAGCTTGTGCAAAATGTTTTGCTCTAAGTAGTCCAATGTTTAGATTTTCTCATATTTTGAATAATGTAAATAAAATTGATTACATTTATTGCCATGCTGTAATGGATACGTAGGTAAGTTGAAAGTATTGTCAATACAATTGTAATTAATTTACAATTTTTTAAGGTGTACCAATCGATCGCCGAGATATAGGTATTTTAAAATAGATCAATATTAAATTAGTGAATCTAATATCAATGGATATTAAATTAGTGAATCATATATTAAATGAATGTTAAATTAGTGAATCTAATATCAAATGAATGTTAAATTAGTGAATCTAATATCAAATGAATGTTAAATTAGTGAATCTAATATCAAATGAATGTTAAATTAGTGAATCTAATATGAAATGAATGTTAAATTAGTGAATCTAATATCAAATGAATGTTAAATTAGTGAATCTAATATGAAATGAATGTTAAATTAGTGAATCTAATATGAAATGAATGTTAAATTAGTGAATCTAATATGAAATGAATGTTAAATTAGTGAATCTAATATGAAATGAATGTTAAATTAGTGAATTTAATATTAAATGAATGTTAAACTAGTGAATTTAATATTAAATCAACGTCGAATTAGTGAATATCACATTAAATTCGAAATCTTATGCTTTACTTGCTGTTCCCTCTACTCTACTGTATTCACTGAATATATATCAACACTGCTACACCAATACCAAACCAGCCCCTTCGTTCAGAGAACCAGAATCTATTGGTTGTACCAAAAGTAAAAAGTAATCTTGGTCTCCGAAGCTACAAAGCGGCTGTTCCGACACTATGGAATGATCAGAGTCCACTTGTACTGAAAAGTGCAGACAACATAAACATTTTCAAAAATAAATTATATAATCTTAACAAAGCTTTTGTGATTCCCCAGCGTGATCTTTTAACTTTATTCTCCAATGTGACATTATTTAATTTTCTTTCCTTTGTTTTCCTGCTTTAAATGTCGATGTCCCGTATATACCATACTATAGAAATGGTTTCACTACTGATGTCTTCCGTCTTGCTCCAGCCACAGTATGCCTTCTTTTGAGCAAGTTTTGTAGTCATTTGACTACAAAAAAGTTACTGGCCTATAACTCCCTTAATTTCCAATTACATAGACCCCAGACTGTACTGTACATAGCTTCACATAATAAACCAATTCCCATTGAAATAAAGGTGAACCCTTACCGCATAATCATATGATTTGATTAAACCCAACTGCTATTTCTGTTCATTTTAAAATGACCGCCGATCCAGAATCACGTGATTTCATGTCACTCGAAAATACAGGAAAAAAAGTTCGGTAAGATAAGATTAAGATTTCAGTGTTGCACTCTTCACTATTTTTAACATAATTACTTATTTCCATGCAAACTGCGCGTAGGTTTTTTTACCAATGGTGGGAAACCAGAGGACCCGTAGAAAACCCCACGGGGCTGGACATATGACACCGCTCCTTTTCACGTACGAATGAATACAAGTTGGGTAACCAAGCGACATTACTCAATAACAGACCTTGTGATCTAAAGCGCACGCGATAGGCCAATCGGCTAACCCCGGGTTGGTTAGGGAGAGGGAGAGAGAAATGGGGTTTAACGTCCACTCAACACAAACTAACACATGGTTTAATATTATTTTAATAATTCGCTTGCGCGTATGGGTCTTTAGCAGTGGGAGGAAACCGGACGACCCGGAGAAAACCCACGAGGTTGGACAGGCGACCCTACTCCTTGTCACGTACAACCAGGGGTTCGAAACCACGCCAGTCGACTCAATGACAGGCCTTATGATACAGCACGCACGTGCTAACCATTCGGCCATCCAACCACGGGGTTAGAAAATGTAAGACGTTATTTCATGTGACTAATCATATCTATTTTTGTTTTTCATATTTCTAGAATCGCATTGTGTTATCGGTAATTGTGTATTGTCGCGGGTCTCATTAGAATAAAATAAAAGGATAATTGCTACTTACTTCCGTCCCTTTTGTCCAATTAACATGCTGTATTCGTTACCGCCTGGAAATAATATATGGTGTTTCCCACTAGGAAATAATGCCATACTTGTCGTGTTCGGGTGCACAAGTAGTAAAATCAACATTATCCCTTCAAGGATTATTAAAACCGGTAATCACCATTTGTGAAATTTAAATCTCTAAAAAAATGGAACATCAGTCCAAAGAAGGTTCAGTTCTGTTCAGTAGGCTATTTACAAAGATATGATGTATTGAAAATTTGTGATCGTCCGTAAAAAAGGCAATTGAAGAGAGAGTGAGAGAAAGAGAGAGAGAGAGAGAGAGAGAGAGAGAGAGAGACGCGACACAAACAAATGGTTCGATTTTATTTCAATAATTTAGTAGAAGTTGGACAGGCGACCCATCTCTTTCACGTACATACGGTTAATCGAAACCACGCCACTTGACTCAATGAAAGACCGACCTTATGATAGGACACGCACGCGTTATCCATTCGCCCCCCCCTCCCAAAACAAACTCCAATCCCAACAAAAATCACACCGCATTTAGTTATTATTTGCCTTTTGTTGGGATTATTTGTAACTACACGTGGTCCTTAGTAGATTCAATGTGATGGGGTTAAGGTTAGGGTTAGGTCATCATTATTACAAACGTATTTTCGAGGTAATCGTTATTCGTAAACACGGTGGTTGTGTGGTAATCTTTATTCGTAAACACGATGGTTATGTGGTAAGCTTTACTCGTAAATACGGTCGACATGTGGTAATCTTGATTCGTAAACACGGTGGTTAAGGGGTAATCTTGATTCGTAAAGATGGCGGTTATGTGGCAGTCTTTATTCGTAAACACGATGGTTGTGTGCTAATCTTTGTTAGTAAACACGGTGGATGTGCGGTAATCTTTATTCGTAAACACGGTGGTTGTGTGGTAATCTTTATTCGTCAACACGGTGGTGTAATAATCTTTATTCATAAACACGGTGATTGTGTGGTAATCTTTATTCGTGAACACGGTGGTTGTGTGGTAATCTTTATTCGTGAACACGGTGGTTGTGTGGTAATCCTTATTCATAAACATAGTTGTGTAATAATCTTTATTCATAAACACGGTGGTTGTGTGGTAATCTTTATTCGTGAACACGGTGGTTGTGTGGTAATCTTTATTCGTGAACACGGTGGTTGTGTGGTAATCTTTATTCGTGAACACGGTGGTTGTGTGGTAATCTTTATTCATAAACACGGTGTTTTTTATTATTCAAAGCGCGGTAATACAAACATATCAAATATAAATCTATTTACAATCCGTACACTATAAAAAATATACTGTTACATTGAACATTATACAGAAGCTCTGGAAAATGTCTAAATACCCAAAGACAAAAATAAACCATGTAGAATATAATCTTAGTAAAAAGGTATATTGGTTCAAAAATGAAGAAAAACGATCAATAATAGTGAAAGAAACACCAGCCGTCTTTCCTAAGAAACACCGAGCGCAAGCTGGTATCTAACCCACGTTTTTTTTGTTGTTGAATTCAAATAAGAAATATGATTATTGGCCCTTTGACAAACATGGGCTATAATTTTTACGCCAGTCAAATATGACTTTCGAGCCGGCAATTCAAGGGGAACAACTCCTTTTAAACGCGTGAAATTCTTTCGGGATCACCTGATAGATATTTTTTTTTTGTGTGTGTGATGAGGTCCCCCTGCACGTTCTATTAGGCAATTTTTTAAAAGGAAAATAATCCATAAAATTCAATATAGCGCAAAATAAAACAAACAAAAAAATAAAATTATAAAAGCATTCTGTCCCTCCTGATAGGACTACGTCAATACCCTTGTTAACTATGAATATATATCTGTCATACTACCGACTAAACAAGAGGGTAGGGCAAGACTTATGAAAAGCTGCACCAATTACCATTAATAATATAATATACATAAAAAAATACTGAAATATATTAAAATGTCCATTTTGACGAATTTGTACACAAAATATAGTAAGGGATTCAAAGTTACTCCCCTTATCAACATATACGGTATGATAAAAGACATTAAAAGATGTAATATATATCGTTTTATGTGAATCCAAAACACCACTAGTTCAGTCCCTAGCAGAATGAAACATTAAAATAAGAATAAGCTTATACATGTATGCATATACAATAATAATATTTTATGAAATAAAAGTATACATTTAAAATATACAAAATGGATATAAATATATCAATTATATCCCGTTAGTAATAACATTATATTTCTATAACAATATTGTTATTAATTTATATAAAAAAACAATATTTCTATAACAATATTGTTATTAATTTAGATATAAAAAATAATATTTCTATAACAATATTGTTATTAATTTACATAAAAAAACAATATTTCTATAACTATATTGTTATTAATTTATATAAAAAAACAATATTTCTATAACAATATTGTTATTAATTTATATATAGAAAAACAACCATGGAGTTAAACATGCAGTATTATGGCTATCTACAAATTTTTGGAATCTTACAGACCTCTACGTTTCTCTAACATAAAATATAACCATTGAAAACTCTTATTCTAAAATTGGTGGGCTACCAAAATAAAATTTGTTTTCAGTACCGCAAGTGACATTATAGAGAGATAAAGAATAGGTATACCGTATTTGTCAAAACTATAGCAAGTACCCGAGCTTAATGGAGCTAAGTCTCTAACTCAATATTTTCCATAATATTCGAAAATAAAAACCTCAATCAATATTGGCGTTGTTATCTTGTCGTGCAGCTATAGGATCCTAATATCCAATATTTATAGGACAATATTGGTGTCAGTTATTATCACATATGTGATAGAACTGGTTAAACACGTTCCAAATATAATTTTAACACAGAGATCTTCGCCACAATAGATGCGTTATGAAGATATTCAAAAAAGGGAAGTTTCGAACACAAAAGAAAAACACGAGTTATCCTTCTATATAAAGTGACGAGTGATAAGAGATACACGGGTGAATTTCTGCTCACTAATAATTCCTTCGAATTATATAAAAGGATAACTCGTGTTTTCCTTTGCGTTCGTCACTTCCCGTTTTTCCAAATCTTTGTTAAGCATCTACTGTAGCAATGATCTCTGCGTTAAAATTATATTTGGAATGTGTTAACTAGTTCTATCACAAATGTGATAACAACTGACACCAATATTGTTCTTTAAGACCCAATTAACATTATATAATTATTACACGAATAGAAATCACTTGACATACATTCATATTACATTAATACGTGCTTTTTAGATCCATATTGTCAAGGTTCCAATAGAGCCATACGCCCTTTAAACTCTTAGATTTCTTAATTAATGTACATCTTAAACACTTATTATCATTAAAGGCTTAATAATGACAACAGATTATTCTGGCTTGCTTATAATCACTGCCATTTTAAAAACAAAACAATGATTGGGAGCTTAAAACAATGTAATGGTGTAGTAGCCTACATAAATTATCATCTTAAGACTACGAGAGTTATCTCCACTATATTTAAAAATCAGAACATGCGCACTGGGCAGGCTGTTCGTCATGTCTATGATGAACTCTGTTTTATAGTTAAAGATGTATCAGACTGAAACTGAAGATCGTGCATCTACTGTAACCTTGCCTGTGACCGTAACCGGAAATACAATCTAATATTACATTAGATTTTCTTTAATAAAATGTCGTTACTGTGTCCTCAGATGTGACCAGAAACGGAAATACAAATTACCTTCCCCAAAAAGGAGGTTCGCAAATTGAAATAAATGATCAATTATCAAAAAATATCTTCCTTTCAAATGTACAAGCCACTATAAGGGGAGATAAGTCCGATGTCAACAGGTTAACTTAAAACACGGTTTGGGGTCAAAATCCCCGAATGACTTTTTCACTAGGCAGTCCATTATCAAATTGATGTCCATTATCAATTATCCAAAAAGTACCTTTCTTTCAAATATACAACCCACATAAGGGGAGATGGTCCGACGTCAACAGTTTAACTTTTAAGTACTGTTTAGGATCAAAATCCTCAAAGGACTTTCTTCGATGGCAGTCCATTATCAAATTGATGTCCATTATCAATTATCAAAAAAAGTATTTTCCTTTCAAATATACAAGCCACACATGAGGAGATAGTCCGACGTCAACAGTTTAACTTAAACACTGTTTAGGATCAAAATCCGGGAAGAACTGCTGAATAGAATCAGCATTAAGTTCAATGACGTGATTAACATCTGTATCTGTACAGTGCTGATGATAATTAGCGTAAATATTGTCAGTTAAACACATTATACCATTTAACAAATGCCTGGAAAACAAAACAACAGAGAATCAATCGAAGATATTTGGGGAAATGAGGGACCGTCGTATCCTGGGTGAGAGGTTTAAACGACATCGTGGATAGACAATGATAAATTAATTAAAATCTCGGTTATTAAGTCTTCAACCCGCATCAAAATCCATCTCTGTCAGCATGTTATTACTCCGTCAGCGCGGATGGGCAAGTGGGCGTCGAGGAAAGTGTTGACATTTTGCGATTACCCCTAAGAGGAAAATTGTTGATTTTGCGGTGAATCGCTTGTCAGAAATTTTTGAAGTCTGGAATATACATGGTCGTATATTATGGTGTCCCATATAGGCTATATGAGATGCAATATAAAAAGGACTCTAAATACACTTTAATGAAATGAAATGAAAAAGGGGTTCAACGTCCTACTGTTCTGCTCCGAAATGGGCTAATGAAGACGGGCATACGCCATACAGTGTGCTATGAGGGAAATTTTACCCGGGCAGCGGCACTACGGCCTACTCTTATATCGAATTCAAACTGTCAAGGGATCTTTTAAGTGCACGCCAATATGTACGCGGGACCTCGGTTTTGTCCCATCCGAATGACTAGACAGCTGTCCTTGTCAGGCCTTCCGTCCTGCATCACTGACAAAGGTGAACAACGCCGGAAAATCTGGATGCAGGGATCGAACACCCGACCCACTTAGCCACCGTGATCCCCAAATATACTTTAATTAATTAATACCAATAGTAATAAATTAATATTAATATCATTGTTTTACATAATCCTTATAATATAGAAATAGATTTTACTAAAATTAACACACTTATATGGATATACTACTTATGAATTTTATTAACATGCTACGTTTCAATACACATACAGGTATCGTTTTCAAGCAAAATGTTAATTTTAATATCATTGTTGTATATGTATTTGGCAATTATTATGGGGCCTTATTTTGTGGTTGAGGGTTTAGCTGCACCATTTGCACCGTTGTAAATACGTGAATGACCCCCCCCCCCCAAAAAAAAACCAAAACATCTGTTGTGCCCCACCCCTTGTTCTCCCATGATGCCTTTATGCTTAAGCACGTGTTGATTTTACATGGTGATTAAACCGGGGCTAAGAATAGAACTTAATCAGAATTTCCTACAACCACCTACCCGCATGTCACGCTCTTTTCTTTAAGTGCTTAAAACATTGCAGAACAGAAAGATCGAAAGAAGCAGAACTAAAAAGACAGTCTGCCTCGTCAAAGATTTTGCTTGTAAGACAGTAGCCCACTATCGTTCCCCAATCCACACCTACAACACAAGATCATCTAAACGTATTTATACTTACATGCATTTTGCCTTATTATTTTGTGCTCTCATAATTTCCATGAAGTACGGTCGACAACTCGTCAAATACTGGAGAACGACATCATTATCTCGACATGGATTATAAACAATAGTAGTGTCTGAAAAAGACGATATAAATATATTGTTTACTGACTATTGACTTCAAGTGTGCTTACTTTCGCAAGGGCAGTTGACCCAGGACATTTTTGTAAGGCAGTGATTCTCAACCAGTGTGCCGTAGCACACAGGTGTGCCGAGAGATCTTCCTAAGTGTGCCGCGAAATTTCGAACGGCACACTAAGAAAATGTGCAAAACCACGTGATCCCAATTGAGTATTCACTGATGTCTAGTGATAAGTTCTTTATTCTATGTGTCTATGACTAGTCTGTGTCTAAGGTTGTATTCCGTCTGACTTACCATGTTTTTATTTTGTAAAATTCAAATATTTTTCATATTTATTTAGCCAGGTGTGCCGCTATATTTTCATGTGTTTCAAGGTGTGCCGTTGGCACAAAAGGGTTGAGAACCACTGTTGTAAGGTTTGGGAACAATTCGGAACTGGCTTCTGGCGCTCAGCTGAGTGTTGTGAAAGTCTTTCGGAATATGTTAAACCATGACCAACCAAGACAAAAGTATTTATTTCACCCAATCGTTCACTATTCCGACATGTGCTGCGGCCCCTGTACTAGAAGACGTATGGATTGTGGATGAAAACAAGGTAGCGGAAGTAGGTGTAGGGTTTATGGGAGGTTGAAGAAGCTGGGAGAACGGGCAGAGTAGCTGATTTAACGACGCCATCTTCATTTGTGTATAATCGTCTGACTGAACGATCATCCATATCTATCGACAAATATCGACACCAGATTATATCTAACTTATGTTTTTGTTTTAATCATCTAAATTAATGAAATGAAATGAAATGGGGTTTAACGTCCTACTGTTCTGCTCCTATACTGGGCTAATGAAGACGGGCATACGCCATACAGTGTGCTATGAGGGAAATTTTGCCCGGGCAGCGGCACTATCGCCTACTCTTATATCGAATTCCAACTGCCAAGGGATCTTTTACGTGCATTCCAATGTATACATATGGCCTTGGTTTCTCGTCTCATCCGAAGGACTAGACAGCTGTCCTTGCCAGGCCCTCCGTCCTGCATCAGTGACAAGCGGGAACCACGCCGGAAAATCTGGATGAACTTTCTCGGCCAATGCAGGGATCGAAGACCCGACCTCCAGGCTAGCGAGCCAGCGTCTTACCCACTTAGCCACGTGATCCCCCATCTAAATTAATACCCCCAAAACACTTCTCGGTCATTATTTTAAAAAAAAATGTATAACGAGAAGAAACATTTATTGGCCTTCGGCCATATTATGCCATTGAAACTTACCAGTTGAGTTTGAAAGAGAAGCTGAAGGTTCTTCAGCGGTTGTATTGGTATTGTTCGCACTGGTTGGTGGAATATCCGTGATGATAAGTTCAGATCTATCAGCGTTAATGACATCATTACCGATTTCTGCATCCGTCTGATTTGACAATGATCCGCGAGTTAACTGTGGAATCACAGACTCATTCCAATTGCTGGTCGTATTTAAGGATGAAGCATGAGTGGACACAATAACCGGAGAATCGCTTGAATTAATATCATTAAAAGTAGTTTCCTCGGAGTCGTTTCTGGGAAGAGGTTGTATGCTATTGGTGGAAGTAAAACTTTGATCCGGCTTCACACGAGTGCCGTTTACGTCTGTGCTGACTGATAATGTAGGAACAATAGGGTCACCTAATATGCTTTCATTGACGTTCGACTTCAAAGAATCTTCTTTTGTGTTGTTGGGTCGTTTAATTGTACTGTTTACCACATTATTGGATTGGGCGTGGCTCATATTCGAAGGATGGAGTCCATGGACTAAATGATCTTTCTTATGTGCCTCGTCCTTGACCTTGATGACATGGGTTATTATACCTGGCTTGTGTATAAGAGGCGGAGGCGTGGCGATCTGCTTTCCACCTTTAGCAAAAGAATCTCTAGTCTGGGGAGCAACTAAATCTGTGTGGTAAGCAGGAACATTCTCGTCATCAAGCATGGTAGATGGTGGTGGAAGAGGCATGTTGTTAGAGGGCCCTAACTCTGACTCGTGTTTCTCTGGATGAATTACATTCCTCGCCTGATGAAACTCTTTCCAGGACGCGGTGCCAGAAGGTGGTGGGTGGGGCATGAAATTAGACGGACCGAGCCCAGAATTGTCCCCAGTAGGATTTCCAATCAAATCGGTTTGCACATCTCCTTCTCTTTCGCGGAGCTCCTTCATGTGACGCCCTTTATCAACTGGATCTTTCTTTGTTGGGGGATTTTGGTCAGCAGGGGAATCCCCCGAGTCTATAAATGGATTATAGCTGCCCCCAGCTGCTGCTGAAAGTTGCGGTTGGGTGGCCTTAGACATACTTTGTGCAATTTGTGATATTTCTCTAGAGAGCATTTTTTGAAAATGATGATCATTTAGATCTGGTTTGTATCTTTTGTGTGGTTGTTTAGAATGAGGGAGGGAAAGGCCAGGAATAATAGCGTTATTAATTACATCACTGGAACTGATAGAAGACTTGTTCTTATTGAATATATCGCTTGTATCTTGCGGCATGTCGTGAAATCGCTGGGAATGGATTCCATGTTCTTCTTGATTTAGCTCATGCATCAATTCATGTTCCAAATCATGTTCCTCAATCTGATGATTTTCATGGCGTTCTTCCTCGACTTCGTCCCTGTCTCTTCTATCCGGGTTTCCTCTTTGAGAGTCTGGTACAAGTGCTGGACTGTCGACAAGATTATTAATAGAATTTTCGTTATGCATAATTCCATCTGGATGGTAGGACTTGGTATGTTCTCCTTGGTCTTTAGTGTGTGAATCTTCGAAATGGTCGTATTCCTCTGTAAAGTGGCTTGTTGAAAGTGGTCGTTCCAGGTGTAGTTTATCTGCCACTTCTCCCGAACCCATTTCCCCGTCTTCTTCTCTAAGGATGCTGGTTTGTGTAGTAAACACCATGCTGAATGGCGTTTCGGGATAATGAAATCTTCGAAATTCCTGGGATCGACTATGATAGGATTGATTATGCGACGAATATTCCACGTGTGGATCCTCTCCGTCTACAAAATCATGATTGACATGATTATTACTATCATCGGAGTGGAGTTCGATAGAGCTATGGGGATCATAGTCCTCATAGGAATCGGGATCCTGCTCGGGGTCCTGACCAAGATCTAGAATATTCATCCCATGGTGGTCTTTCGGTTGACTTCCTGGAACATGATTGTATTCAGGGGCTTTCCCAATATCAGCATCTCCATCAAAATCTTCGAAATGCTTTGAGTGATAATCTCCTGTATGCTGTTGTTGTTCAAAATCTTCCGATGAACTTGAGTACGTTTCATGTGGTGGAATTACATTATCACTGTCTTCAAAATCTTCTTTATCGGGAAAATGAAATGTATTCTCTTCTTTCAAAGTAATATTCTCTGGGTACGGATCATCTGCTGAAAAGTCTGTAGCCCCAAATGAATTAAGCACGGGCGTCTCCAGGGCATCCGTATCATTAAGGTTTGTTATTCGATCGGGAACATCTAACCGACCATCAAAAGCTGAAGAGTTGCCCAAAGATACAGGTGTGTTATCATCGGCAACCCAAAGCGACGATTCATTATTTAAATGATGAACATTAGACATCTCGGTATCGTAATTGAGATTACCATGATCGCCTTCATGGTCATGGGTCTGGTTTATGGGATAAATTGGTGGAATGGTGTCAAAGGGGGATTCTTCGAATGATGCAGTAATTGCTACTGTTGATGTTGTTTCTGGTACTTTTGTAGTGACAAAGATCGGTTGAGATACCGAACTTGTAGTTATAGAGGCTTCAACTGGGGTTAAATTTGTTTGCGGAATTTCCTCCCCACTGGGGGTAGTTGTAGATATAGGAATGTGTGTTGATGATGCACTACTGCCCCTTGCTGTAGAAGCTGTAAAAAATGACACCGTGCTGGCGCTGGAAAACGCAGTACTGTTTGTATCTACAGTCGTGGTATTAGATGATGATGTGACTGTGGTTGGCACCACCGTAGCGCTCGGTGCTGCAGTATTTGTAATAAACGATGCTCGGTTTGTGGATGAAAACGTAGTGGTTGACTCAGTGGTTGGCGAAGTGGCGGATGTGGGGTTTTGGGTGGTGGAGGATGTTGAGAGAGTAGGCGGAGTACCCGAAGTTGGTAGGATGACTGTGGTGGAAGGTCGTGTTTCTGTTGTAAATGAAGGTAGAGCTATTTGTTCTGTGGTGGTTGGAACAGCTTCGGTTGGTATAGTTACAGACTTAGGAATATATTTAGTTCTTATTTTCGTTCCTGAAACAAAGGAAAGAATGTATTAAATGCAATGATAACTAATAGTTGAGGATTCAAAACGTCTATATCGGTTACTTTCACGTATCAAATCAAGATGACTCTATAATGTCTTCAACGGGAATATATGGAAGTCTATTACTACCATATTCATCGATCACGAAACCACGTCGATATATCGACAGCACATGCGCAAACTTATTACTCGACAACGTACACACAAGTTAAATCGACAACGCACACAATAAGCCAAAAAATGAACAGAAATAACTCACGAAATCTTATTATCCACTCTTACTTTGTCTTGTTGTGTACCTGTCGCCGCGCATTTTGTCGTGCGAACAAGCTTTTCCTGTTTAGCTGACATTAGGGAGAATGGTTTTACATATTCTAAATTTGTTCCCTAATCCCATTCAGATATCCTGAATGAATTATCGTTTAAAAACAAAGTAAATTTATCTAACATATGTTTAAAATCCACTGTGCGGATGAATTGTTCTGGTGCCTAGCTTATATCTACAAACCTTGTAACCTCGGTTTCAGATAATTAAAATCCAGAACCTGGCTCCTCTTGGCTATAGGTATTGGCGGGTGTCGTGTACGAAAGCAGTGTATGGTAAATCTTTCTAGAAATCTGATACCATTTCTTTTTTGAGGAGTTCACTTTGCTGATAATTTTTATTTGTGCAAATGCTAGCCTGGCTTTAAACTCACCTTCTTCGTGTGAATCTTTGATCTGCAAACTTTTAAAATCAAAGACTATTTTAGATGCCGGCATGTCGTTAGCCTTGAGCTTTTTAATCATCCGTTTCCTTTTGCCCAAACCTTCTAACATCATTCCCGTCAAAATGTCTGACGTCAAGCCTCGTCTTGAGTTTAACAGGATGATGAAATCAACAACCACACTACCGGGACTAGGTAAAACAACAAGAAAGATAGAATAGTTATATTTACTTGCCGGTTTCAATAGTAAGGACATGAGGACAGCGCCACACACACACAAAAACGGAAAGACAAGATATACAAACTACACCGGCATTGTAAGTAATACAAATCAAACGGATAATATCAAATCAACTGAAGGGATCCGGGGTGGGGGTGGGGGAGGGGGCAGTAAAGTTACATTAGGCGTTGTGTAAAAAAACCAAAACAATATATGTTTCTTTTTTACCCGATTGAATCCAAGCTGGAGGATTGTCTACCGTTTATATTTTGATTTTGTTTTCGTAATTAAATGTTAAAGAATCAATTTGACTACATAATAGAGTGGATTAAAACGTGGAAAATTTGATATCTAACGAAAACTGACACACAGAGACGCTAACAAGTAAAACGTACGAGGTCTGAGAATGTATATTTGCAAAATCGCTGGTCTCTTTTTTTATTCCCCGAGCAAGACGTACGAGGTCTGAGAATATATATTTGGAAAGTTGCTGATTCTTTTTTTTTCCCCCAAAGCAAGAGTGTAAATGACGACCAGCAGCTTCAACATAAGAGGTAGTTTTACCTTAAATCTATGACGACTGTGTGATTATATCTCTCCATTAGAGGTCCAAGTTCAAATACCTGGTTTAACTATAGAATAGAAAATATCATAAAAATATCATAATATAAGCAATTAATAAATTGACAAGTTTACATAAAAGGTGTCTTATGTTTATTACGACTAACGGTACCAAGGGTCGAACCTTCAACATTCAGGGGTAGCGCCCGGTCGTTTGGATGGGACCAAAAACCGAAGTATACATTTAAAAAAGAGCCTTTGACATTTGAAATGCCGCTGCCAGGGGAAAAAAAATCCCCTACTACACAATACACGCGGAACCATATAAATGAAAATTACTATATACATTTGTTCAGTGGCGTGCAGACGTTTGGTGATAACCGGGAGCAATTCCTAGCATTAAACAAATTACCCCCCACCCCCCTCGTTCAATATGTCTTAGTGTATAGTAATTACCCCTCGTTCAATATGTTTTATAAATAAAGCCAGTGTATAGTAATTACCCCTCGTTCAATATGTGTTATAAATAAAGCCAGTATATAATAATTACCCCTCGTTCAATATGTTTTATAAATAAAGCGAGTGTATAGTAATTACCTCCCGTTCAATATGTGTTATAAATATAGCCTTACTAATTAGTGTATAGTAATTACCCCTCGGTCAATATGTGTTATAAATAAAGCCTTGGTGTAGAATAATTACCCCTTGTTCAATATGTTTTCAATATATATCCTTATAGTAATTACACCTCGTTCAATATGTTGTATAAATAAAGCCAGCGTATAGTATAATTACCTCCCGTTCAATATGTTTTGATACAACTCTGTATAATTCACCAGCGTGGTTACCTAAATCATTCGTCCATTTTAAACTCGTTATTCGGATTATGCCTTCAAAATCTACCGCTGTAATATAAAATAATAATAAATATAAAATCGTCGATAATAATATTCGATGTACGTTTCTCAATAGCCCCAAACTCCACGAAAATGGGCTCTTTACGCTTGATAAAAATATCTACATTAAGAGTTTTTATCTCCTAGTTATAACTTGTTTGACACAAATGAGTTTTTATAAACTCTGGAAAATCTTTGTTTTAGATGGGAAATGCCGTAAAGCGGCATGGTGGGTGAGTAGAGTTTTGACCGCAAGTGCTCCCATCATCTGGGTTAACACTTGCAAAATGCTTTCTTTGTACTACATCACTGTCCCACCCAATCTGATTAAAATACGGATCTATATTTCGTTTCGTTTTTTTATACTTTCAGTGGCCTACACTACATGAAGATCTGACAAGTTATAGCGATAGGTCACGTCAGGGGTCAAAAGACCGACTTATGGCCCTATGACGTCAGACATTTGATTAACCAATCAGCATTGATGTTACTAGTGGATTAACCACAGTTCCGTGAAAAGCACACGCCTAAAGTACGCCGTAGCAGACGGTTTCATTGGCTTATCCCTGACACCATTCAGAACACGAGTTAAATAACAACTCTTCCAGATCCAAGTGTAGTAAAGACAAGTAAAACGAAATTTTGAACTATAATAACGAAACGATATAGGATCTGTGTTTTAACCAGATTTTGTCCTACCAATTCATCTTTTTAGTTATCATTTCATTTTCATTTCCAATCTAAATTTTAGTTCTTTGGGGTCTTGATAAACCACTTGATTCACATGAAAAATGTTTTATGTAGAATTTCAAAACTTGAAAATATGAAACTTAGAGCTTTTGAGAAAAGCAACCAAGTATTTTTGGTTTTTAAACTATATATTTTACCGAAGAAATAGGACATTCCATTTCAAGGTATTCCCGAAAAACAAAAGTTCATTTTGATGTGGCTTTAGTCTAATAGTTTTATTATATTATAGGCTATACTCACTTTGGACCTCGCTTGCAACATATTCTGATGACGTATCGACTGACGTACTTCCTGCAGGGACATGAACACCTTTCTTCACTGTAAATAGAATTCCATGTTAAATTTTCGACATAAGTTTTACATAAACGCATTATGGATATTATAATTAAGGTTTGACAGATGTTTTAAGGTTTCATTGTCAGGCGAATTATTTTGCATTTTACGCCACAGACCAAAGAAAGTTTTAGCATTTGACGACGTAGTTTAAATTTTACAGGATTGAGATTCTATAGCATTGTAAGATTACGTTTCTAGCAGTCGATGGCACTAATATTTTGCGTTAACGCTATAGATTGTTAAAGCTATTTGCATTTGACGTTATTAGCATTTGATGTCATAAATTGTTAAATTTACTAGGATTTGACTTTATAAGCAGTTGGCGATATACATAGCTTCTAGCATTTGAAGTCAGGTATATTGCCTGCATATTGTATGATAAATAGAGTAGAGCTATGAGGACAGGTGGATCACTAATCTTGCATAATGTATGATATCGATATTAGGACGTATATAATACCTGAATAATGTATGATAGAGATATTAGGACGGATATAATACCTGAATAATGTATGATAATTAGAGCTATATAATGACAGGGGAATCACTTGAATAATGTATGATAGAGATATTAGGACGGATAAAATACCTGAATAATGTATGACAGAGATATCAGGATGAATAGAATACCTGAATAATGTATGATAAATAGAGCTATAAGGATAGAATACCTGAATAATGTATGATAAATAGAGCTATAAGGACAGATTACCTGAATAATGTAAGATAAAAAGAGCTATAAGGAAGGTGTTTTACCTGAATAATGTATGATAAATCCCAGTGCTATTGATATGACAACTATTACTACAGCTAATGCTATTAAACCAATACAAAATTTAGATCGTGGTCGTCTATAAACACTTGTAGAACTTGATACTGGAATATATAAAACGTTGAATCAGTTCTCGCCTTATAGTGATGTGTAAACGGTGTGGTTGCAACTTATTTTTGGGAACCTTACAATTCAACAGAAAATTTCAAAGAAAGCTACTATTGACGTAATAATAATAAAAAAATCCACTTTCAGTTGGGCCTTACACTGCCTGCCCATTTCACTGTCTTTGAATTGCAATGAGGTAACTACTTATTGACAATCTACATGACTAGCATTGACAAACAAATTGACTTGTTTTTGTTTGTTTGGGGACGGGGCGTACAGTATACTCTGCAAAAAGTCAGAAATATCCTCTTTTGGCACCCTCCCAAACCGAGTTGTCATCCCTTACAGTTGACACAAACTGAATTGCAAGAATGACTGATTGGCAGCAGGTATTTTTATTATTATGACGTCATATTTTATGTGCTTGAGATTTGAAAGATCATCACACGTAATAATAATAATAATGGGTCGCTATAACAGAAATAATGATGGGAGACGAAGGATTAATTTATAAAGATTTCGGTTTAGATTAAAGATGCATAATGTAAGAGCTAAACCTGCCTATTACAGTTTTTTTCTGGCTATAAATGTTACATAAGTTATTATTTAAACGTAGCAAACCCTTAATCAACTCTCTAAGCCATCGGATGGGTCCGAGTTTAAGAACACCGCGACCTTTAAGAGTTTAACAATAAAATAGATAATCAAGACTTAGTCTCGGTTGTCAAGTACCGTTGTTACGATAATAAATAAGTTCAGGGGCACTTTACAAAGCGACAATGTAATGATAAATAAACAACAAGATTATGGACATGTTAACGATTGTATACAGAGTCGGTTAAAAAACTGATTAAATAAATGTGTTTTAAGTTGTTTCTTTTTAAAAAATATAGAGATGTACAACATCTTAAACTAAATGGTAGATTATTCCATAAAACAGGTGCTTGATAACTAAAAGATTAAAACCGCTGACCATAAGAAACTAGTTGAAAAGTTTTGGGCTTTAAAAGTAGTTTATTTGATGTACGTAATGTTCGGCCAGGTGTATAAAGTTCTAAAAGATCTAGCTGAGAGGTAAAGTAATTTAACTGAAGCTTTCAATATATTCATTTTTCATTATCTAATTTTGAACTATTATAGCAAGAACGGTCAGCTTTTATATGACGTTAATTTTTGTCAAAATTTCGAACACTCATAACTTCACACAGGATTTAAATAATTTAACTGAAATTTTCAATATATTCATTTTAAATTATCTATTTTTGAACTATTATATCAAGAACGGTAAGCTCTTTATCTAAATTTTACATTATGCATCTTTAAGTTGGGTGTAATACTTTTGAGCGCTGGTTTCAAACGTTACATAATCTAGTTTCCTAGTTACAAATAATGTTTATTTGTGCTTTAGTCCGAATACATTCCTAGTCTTAAGAGAAAATCTACACAAATTCTTAAATAAATCAATTTGAACACCACGCTGTCCCCATTTTATTTACAAACCCGAATATTTAGTTCCCGAACTTTCTGACGGAAGATAAGGACGGGATTTAAAACCTGTCACGTGATTCGGGTTGTCATAGACGACGAAACCATATTCCATAGAGTCGACGTTACCAAGGGTACTTGACGTCATGTGATCACTTGACCCCGACCCAGGGCCAAGCTGGGTCATGTGAAACATCACGTGGCTATCCAGGATGGCGGCATAATTTTAACACTGGTAATTTTCCATATCTTGCTGTCACTGAAATAAAAATGTTTTAAAAGAAGTTTGGCATATTATTTTTTCTAACAAAGACGATTTTAATCATTCTAGAACAATTGTAGTTTGTCCATTTTTGGGAAACTGTATCCAACACTATTTAACGTTAAAAAAATAAAAATACGTTTAAATGAGAACTCGAGACACAGCATTGAAAACATAAAAAAATGGTTTATTCTTAAGAGCTGAAAGGGTGGTTCGCCGGCAGTTAATTCTCACTCAGATTTATTTCGGTTTTTTTTTCTCTTCGTTAATAGCATGGAGCTATGGACAATAGAATATTTCATAGATTCTAAAAATGATTTGAGAGAACATTTCACCTAGTCTAAAAATATGATTTAAATGCATTGAAAACGCTATGATGATAAAAACGCCAGAACTAACGAGAACGTAATGGGATTAAAAGGTCAAAACCGATGAAAACCTAATGATAATTAAAAGGTCAAAACCGACGAAAACCTGAAAACCTAATGATAATTAAAAGGTCAAACCCGATGAAAACCTAATGATAAATTAAAACCTTTATATTGAAAATAAAGGAATAGAATGGACTATGGCCTCACCACTTTATTGTTTATTTTGCGATTACTACCTAAGTGTGTGTAATTACTGTTGTTCGGTAGGCTATGTAATACATGGATGAAGACTTTCACCAGAGCAGCTGTAATCATCGAAATTCGATCGTTAAAGATTAGTTTATGCCTCGCTTTTTCATCACTTTTTTTTATTTATTAGTCCTGACGTTTTCATGGCTTTTAACGTTCTAATTAGCATTATGTTTTCATTGGTATCGATGCATGAATTATCATTAGGTTTTCATCGGTTTTGACCTTTTACTTATCATTATGTTCTCACTGGTTTTAACGTTTTAAATTATCATTAGGTTTTCGTTGGTTTTGATGTTTTAATTATTATTATGTTTTCACTGGTATTGATGCATGAATTATCATTAGGTTTTCATCGGTGTTGACCTTTTACTTATTACGTTTTCGTTGGTTTTGATGTTTTAATTATCATTATGTTTTCACCGGTTTTGATGTTTTAATTATCATTATGTTTTCATTGGTTTTGATGTTTTAATTATCATTAGGTTTTCACCGGTTTAGATTATCATTTACGACATTAGGTTTTCACTGGTTTTGACGTTTTCATTGATTAGATTTTCATTGGGTTTGACATTTTAATTAACATTACGTTTTTATTAGCTTTTGAGGTTTTAATTATCATTTGGATTTTAATGGTTTTGACGTTGTAATTATCATTATGTTTTTATTGGTTTTGACTTTGTAATTATCATTACGTTTTTATTGGTTTTAACGGTTCAATTAAATTATCATTACGTTTTTCATTAGTTTTAGTTATTACGTATTCCTTGCTTTTGAGGTTTTAATTATCATTACGTATTTATTTTTCATTAGTGTTTGGTCATTACGTTTTCATTGTTTTTGAAACCGGCTTGAAATAGGTCGATGGTTCCCAAACTTCTGTCAAAAACTTCAAATAAATGCTTGTCGCTTTAAAGGGGCAACTTGACCTGACTTGAAGGAAGTTATATTTCCTATCCCTACATCAACACTGATTATATAACCAGGGGAAACTGGAATTATTTTAATCCTAGAAGCAAACACAGACACAGGTTGTAGTACGTCCAGGAATTCATACGATAGATTCGACACTGTTGAAAATGTATTTTTACACTATTTGAACAGTAAATTAACGTTATGGAATAAGAAACATACTATTAAAGTGGCAGTATCCCTTTCAACAAGTTAACGAAATTCCAAGCACTAATGGCCTGGAACTCCAGGAACCACGGTGGCTCGGTAAGTCTGGTACTGGATCACCAAACCTAGTGGCCCCGGTTCGATCTCGGTATGTACCTAGAAAGTTCTTCGGGGTTTTGCAGCCTAGTTTCCCCCTTGTCAGTGGAGCAGGGCCTTGCAGGGAAATACATCAAGTTGTTGAGGAGATGCCTTGTGTACATCTTTGCATGCACGTACAAGAACCCTTGAAGAGTTACGGAATCGTGTGGCTGTCCGGGCAAAATGTCCCCCATAGCACACTGAATGGTGTATGTTTAACCGACTTCATTGACCATGTCGGTGCAGAAAGCAGCACGCAAAACCGCTTACTCACCGAGCCACTGCGGCTCCCTCACTTTAAAAAGCATTTACCACTTTCAATCAGAAAATTAATTTCTTTAATTTTGTACGATATCCCAAATAAGCGCACACTATCCTATCTACTTCATATATTTCAACGTAAAGCGTTGGTCAATATAACGGATAGCTGGTTGAGGTTTATTTATGTCCAAAATCAAATATGAACAAGTCAGGTCAACTTGCTTAATCAATTCACATATAGTCTACAGGTCGTCGGCGGCACTCGCCACACTGTAAAGGGCCTCTTAAATACAGGGAACTCGAATTTAAACATTTATTTTTAGAAGAAAAAAAACCATGTTAATCGTTCAAGAGGAGATAGGGAATATGAGTAATAGAAAGAAGAAACTCTGGGCAGTTCGAATGCAACGTCAGGTAACCAGAACCCTGACCAGATGAGCCGAGATCTAGACACTTCTTCAAATTCAAAGGAATAAAAAACAAAGGTATAATTTTAGTCTCAAAATAACCCAATTTGTTCCTTTAAAACTTTAAAAATCAGTTAGGATCTACTATCAGAGTACACGGATGCCATAGAAAGGAAGGTAACCAAAACATCGCCGCCCTGGCCAAATTCTACTTTTTCCCGTTCCAATCAAGTAAAAATAGGATCTAAAAAAAGCGCATTCCTATGTTAGGTTCAGATTGGCCCCATTTCATTTCTTAAAACTTGAAAATAAATTGATACTTCCACACTTAAAAGCGATTTTAAAAATATTTTGTTAGATGGGCCAAACAAACAAAACAACAACCTTACCTGTTTCTGTTGTTTTATATCCAAAACAATTCCTAATAAACACTGTTTTAAAGATCCTCTGAGTCAACACGTTTAATTGTATAAAGAATTCAATTAATTATTCTTGTATTTTATTACAAAGCGCACTTTAAGTCAGTAAGTAAAACTACCCAACTCCAGGGACGCAAACGTACAATATTCTCACGTTGACGTCATGTCATTGCACGCGCACGTTCTTTCTGGTAAGTGAGGGGTCGGGCTATGTTGTTTCCGGTACCGTCTCGTGGTGTATCGAATGTTGATATTACGTGTTACCCAAGACAATAACAAACACACTACGTAGAACCCCAATCATGTCGGTCACTCGAGTCGTGTCAATGTAAATTTAACTCGTCGCTTGAAACACCTGAAATTTCTCGTAAATAAACAAAATGGCGGTCGAATAGTCAATAAAACAGAAAGACAGTGAATAGTCGGCCTGTAGTCAGTCGGATTCAGAATGTTGTTTCTTGTTTTCGTGTGAAACTCGTGGAAGGATGGAGATATTTCGTCCATTGCATTTAAACAATTTACATTAAAACGCCCGCCTTTTTACAAAATTGCTAAAGAAAACAGTAAAATGTAATGAATTGAAGTAATAGATATTTCTATCGTTGCCAGGACAGTGACACTTTCATGTTTTAGGAGTTTTAACTGTTTGGTAAGAACAATAGGCTACCATTGTATAACAATACATTCCAGAAAAACCTTAAACTGCAATTATTTTACTTATGGTCAACGGTCTTTTATTGTTCAAACTATGGAACAAGAACAAACTTTCTTTTGATATACTATCCCGCATTTTTGTAAATATTTAAAAAAAACAACCAAAAAACAAAAATATCTCAAAGTTCATTTAGAAGAACAGACGAGCCAGCCGTTTTGTGTATGTGTGTGGGTGTGCGATGGGGAGGATAGTGTGTGTGTGTGGGTGTGTGGGGGGGGGGGGCAGCATGCCTTCTATAAATAAAAATGTATTCCACAAATAGAAAGAAGGGAAGGAAGGATGAATTATAAGTTTATAAGCACTACTTGCTTTTTCCTCTGTCCTTGGCTCCATGTACACAGATACTCTAGATAACGTCTGTACTATCAAATGGATCCAATTTTAAGCATTTCTGGCACTAAATTTGTCCAAATAAGCAATTTGTATGGGCTGCGCACTCTGAACCTTCGAGACTATGCCCTTGGTCTGTTTGGCAGATCGATTAAAGATCGTTAGCCTGTCTGTTCAAGAAAAACCCTTTCTGAAAAAGTGTCTCAAACCAATATATTGTTAAAGACATTACTTGATCTATAATAGAGGTTATAAGTTTTATAATGTAAAGTGCAACGGAACACTTTGGCGATAGTAGGGGTCGTGTTATAACAGAAATTGATCTCAGTTGTCCGAATGAGACACAAAATAGAAATGGGGTTTAACGTCCTACTGTTCTGCTCCGACTGGGCTAATGAAAACGGACATACGCCATAAACTGCATATAGAGAAATTTTACCCGGGCAGCGGCGGTATGGCCTACTCTTATATCGAATTCCAACTGCCAAGGGATCTTTTACGTGCACGCTTAATACCAGAGTCGAGGTGAGGTAAACAAGAATATAAAGAGGTCAGTCATGCATGCGACCCCAGGAACCTGGGATCTATTCAACGGCTTGGATTTGGCTCGGTGATAATGGTTCCGGATCAGCTCCCTAAACTTGGAGAATGTTGGCCGAGATTGTTCAACGGGAATTACTAGTCTACTTTCGTTTTTCAGTGGGTCAGGACGTAGGGCCTATATCAATGAAAAGCATTTAGTCGTTCGGACGGGACGAAAAGCGTGGTACTCTGGTCTGATCGTTGGTGCACGTACACGTAAAAGAAATCTTGACAGTTGGAATTTGAAGACTAATATGCGGAAACGCCGCTGTCCGTGCAAAAGTTTCCCCATAACACACATCGCATATATGCCCGGTTGGTGCGGAATAGCAAGATGTTAAACCCCATTTCGTTTTATTTCATGTTAGAGCTCCACCCCACATCTGGAATTATTCATACGGGAATCTTCGGGTGATAGTAATAGTTACCACAATACTTTTGTCATTTTGGGACTAGGTGGTAATTGTTATTCTATGATTACGGAAAAGAGATTTTACCCGGACAGCTGTGATGAAACATCCCAAGGAAATATCCCCACCCCCTCTTCTGAACCGGGGCCAAAAGCCATCAAAGGCTTGAGGAAAGAGTCGTCAAAAGTTCGTCATTCTCTGTCAATGTACACGACGCCCATTCCTACCGGTTGCGGTGGTAGAGTAAAAAGGGGGCGGGTGCACCCCGTTCGACGGACATAATAAATTCAAAAATATATGTATTTACTTTTTATTCGATGATGGGGAGCCACGTTGGCTCATTGCGTAAGACGTTGGCTCTCGAACCTGTGGACCCGTGTTCGACGCCTGCGATGGCCTATAAAGTTCATCGGGATTTTCAGGCGTGGTTCCTCCTTGTCAGTTATGCAGGGCCGAGAACCCGGCAATGGACAACGTATAGTGGTCGGATGGGACGAAAACCCGAGGTCCCGTGTATACATTAACGTGCATTTAAAAGAACCCTTGGCAGTTGGATTTCGATATATTAGATTAGGCCCTAGCGCCGCTGCCGGGCCCGTTTTCATTAGCCCTGCCTGAGCAGTAGGACGTTAAACCCTATTTCATTTTTATTCGAAGATGACCATATTCAAGCTCCATGAGCTAATTTCCCTCTTTTCTAATCGATGTATTTTTTGTGCTGATTGCGTTCCTTTTCAGGAAATACTCCAAATTTCGCCAAAAAGCTTCGAAAGACAATTTGAAAGATCCTCCACCCTTCTACACGTGCGCCACCCGCTTGATAGGACAAACGTCCCATCTTATTTTAGGTTTCTAGAAAAGCTGATAATTTAACGAGAAAGAAACAGAAACGTTTACTTGACGAAAGAATGACAATCTGAACTATTTCAACCTTTTGCTTTTTACATGGGTCACCGGAAAATGCAAGTTGACACAACCAAATTGCGGACAAAAAATATTCGCCATTGTTTAGTTGTCGGTGAATTTCCGTCACGTTGCTTGTTAAACAGACGAACAATGAGTCATGTGATCATGAAACTTGTTAGCAAATATTTTACACCATTTCATTAAATAAAACAAGATCTATCTTTAAAGTTTATTGCATTTAAGGAAAGGTCTACGTTTCAATTACTTTGCAGTAATTTATTTAAAAATTAATTAAAAATCGATAACAAAAATAAATTAAAAATTCATTAGGCCTAATTTAAAAAAAATAAATAAATAAACAATCAGGAGCCACGGTGATTAGGGTGCGTGCTCAATAATCAGTGAGATCCCTGATATTTTCATGGAATGGTTGTGCCTGGCTTCTCCTTGTCAGTGGCGAAGGACGGGGTGGGGTGGGTGCTTTGGTATGGAAATATGTGTAGTCGTTCGGATGGGTGAAAATCCGAGATCATATGTAGCCTATACGCTAAAGATCCACTGACATTTGGAAATCGAAATAAATGAAATGAAATGGGGTTTAACGCCCTACTGTTCTGCTCCGACGCCATACAGTGTGCTATGAGGGAATTTTTGCCCGGTCAGCGGTACTATGGCCGACTCTTATATCGAGTCCCAGTTCTGCCAAGGGAACTTTACACCAATGTATACACGGAACCTCGGTTTTTCGTCCCATCCGAACGACTAGAAAGCTGTCCATGTCAGGCTCTTCGTGCCACTAACATGGGGAAACCACAGTTGGAAAATCTCGATGAACTTGGGAAATCGAAATAAGAGTTAAAGTAGGCAAAATTTCCTTCAAAGCTCACTACTTGCCGATGTCTGTTAAACCCCATTTCACAAACAACACAAAATATAGGCTACCATCAACTTTTTTGCCTAGCCTACTTCATTAAAAAAAGGTAGACGATTCGTGTAAAGTGCAACAATTCATATTAAAGAAAACTTTCCCACTTGAAAATGTCTGATAATATATAATATATTTCTATCACTTTCACCAAGATACCGCGCTTTATAGGCTATAATGGACATTTTATTTATTTTTATAATTATTTATAGCCTACTGTTATGTACGTTTCCATTTTGTCAGTGGTGCAGTCGTGTGTCCCGTTTTGGCTGTAGGCATACGTTTGGCATACATTAAAAAAAAAAGAACACTTGATAGTTGGAATTCGATGAGGCTCATGTATTGTAAGGTGGAAGCACTGAGCTGTCCGAGAAAAAATTGCCCTATGCGCTGATCAGTTAAGATAAGATAAAGATAAGATAAGATTTTATTGTATCATAACACCCATTTCAGGCCGCATACAATTTATATACATGACATAAGGAACATGACACAAAATAAATAGCAATATACATATATATATTTATAAGAATACGAAACAAAAAATACATAGGTTCATGTAAAAAGTGAAAATATATAGGCCTATCAGAAACATTATTTCAAAAATGTATAGATGTTAAAAAGATAAAAAATAAAATGTGAAATTTTGCCTTGTAATACCTTATTAGGTCGAGGCTTGATTTCTATGTTGAAATGCTTTGATAATGACATCACAGAAACTGAAGGGGGAGAGTCAAATAGATTTTCAATCGTTATGGCCAAATTGTTGTAACTGAATGTAGCAGAAAGAATATTCAGCCTAAGAGATTGATAGCGTGGACATTCAATTAAAAAGTGAAATTCGGTTTCTGCTTTAAAGGGACAATAACACTCTTGCTGGCTTGACAGCTCCAGAAAATAAAAAATAGCCTTATTCTAAGTACAATGTACTAGATGTGTTAGTGTCCTACCTGTTGTGTAAATTATCCATTAAATCATATTTTACTTATCCAAAGGGTTCAAAAATATTTTTAAATCCAAGTCACATTTGAAAAGCTTTGCGTCAGGCTTTTCAAATCATTTAGTTGAATTTTTCCAATATTTTAAATTAGGTCCCGATTTGAACAGAGTCTCAAAAATAAAAGTCTGCGCACGTATGAAATTTAAGCGCCAAAATAATGGGGAATGGTGCATTTACCTTGTCTAAAAATTTCAGCTCAAATAATTGACTCGTTTGGGCGTGAACGTCAAAACTGCTTATCCGGACACGTAACCCTTTTAAGATTTCGGGTCATTTTTTTCGTTGGATGACCTGATAATCGATTCCCGTTCCGTCAGAGGTCTATACAATGAATGACCCATGTGCTGTACTTCATAACGAAAGATAAATTTAGCCTACACATTATTTTTATAAAATTAAAGTCTGGTTTTATCCAGACACCGCATAATACAGCCTGTGGCACCGGTCTCCATTTCCAGATGAAGACTGACGGGATTAAGTTGTTAGAAAACGTATCTCATGTTGAGCTAGTTGCTCGGCCCTAAGGTAGAGGATTTTAAGGGATTTTAACACAAAATTAAGCAGTTTTATTCTCCAAAATATTATCGGGATTGGCCCTTTAAGATGAAATTTGTATCATCAATTAATTGGAATATTGTAAAATAATACAATTTGTGGACCAGAATAAAGATTGGGACATAGGGCCTGTTAATACTATTATTCAGTTACAAGAAGAGTGGTATTGAGCCTTTAAAGAGGGAACAGAGTGCACATAGTCTCATATCAGGGGGGACGTTTTTGTACCGGCTCCTCTCTATTTCTAGTTTATGGGAACTCAATCGTAGTGCGGTCATAGCAGACTTGAAGTTTTGATATGCCCGTTTTCATTACCCCGATTGATGCCAAAAACTTCGGAACGTTCTAGCCCATTTCATTTCGCAAAGACTAGGACACCCAATCCATCTCAAGTCATACGCTTCAAGCAAGAAAACATATGTCCCAGTCTTACGCCTCAATCATGGACGTGATGTAATTTTATCACATGTAAAATCTTACGTCCAGCCTTCAAGCGATGATCGGAAATTCTCTTACGTCAAGCCTTCAATCATGACTTGAGACAATCTTGGGACATGGTCGTACGGCTGCGCATGTTGTAAGCATGTTTCCAATTGGATAATATTTAGCCTGTTGTGTTTTTTTTACTAAATATGTAAAAATAAACCCGCGAAAACAGAAAATGGACTCGGTAAGGGCGTGTTTGTTTTTAGCCTATGGATAGTTGAGATGTAGGCTAGCGATAGGCAATAATATAATCATATCAGGTCTGTAGGAAGCATTTAGCAATGTGTGCGGTCAAATACATGTACAGAGAAAGAAAAAACAACAGCCAGTCGCCTGGAATTAGGCCACATATGGCACATGGTTAGGCCCTACATGGTCGGATCCAGGTTTTTTAAATAGGGAGGGGGTGTAAATACTCGAGCACCGGAGTAGCGGCCCGGACTGGAGGCGTCACAGAAAGTGATACTAGTAGACTAATAATAAACTCTTTAATGTAACGGTTAAAGGGTGAGAAACTAAGGTAGAAATAAAAATATTCACAAATAAACAGTCCTACAGGCTACAGCCGAAAATCAATCTCATCATCAGTGAGACGGAGGGTATAGGTCTAGCCTTTCTTAAAGTTTGTCCTCAAATGAGGGTAATAATCTTTTGCCTCTAGGTTTTTGCCTACTCAAAATAAACATAGGGGTTAAGGTCTACGGGACTGGGTTCAATAAATGTGATGCCTGTCTATTAATAATTAGTGACCTTAATTGACCCACGATTATTTCCCTTTATTTGAGTCAAGTGTGGCGCTTTAATGTGACGTCGTGGTTTTAGTCTCGCAATCCAGCCTCTCAACCAATAATGTTGCTCTCCACTCACTATGTGACTATTCGGTAATTTCCGTGATCTTCGTCAGTCATTGTAAATGCCACACGGCCCACCGAGATCGTATTTGTTCATTTTTTGATCTCGGCCTTTAATGGAGAGCTTAGCCCGATCATAGCGTCTGGATGATCGAGACTGTTCTCCAGACAAACTTCACCTACGTCATACTTCCACGTGATATACTGCTCACGTGATCTACATATCAACAACAAGATCACGTGATGATACAAAATGGCTGAAAAACACAGAGGAAAACTTCCATTCGCTTTGTCGGAGAAATTGAAAACAAATCTTCTCTCTGTTCCTTTAGTCACGTAGAAACGTTTTTAGAACTAGTATTAAAGACACAGGAAACACATAATCAAGTTTTTGAAGATATTATTAAATCAATATAATATTATGGATAAACTGAAGACAGTGAAGTCCCGATTCCTGTGCAACATACATGATCAGACGAATACTGACTGACACGAGGGTTCAAGTTCTTGAGAGATGGAAAAAAGCGTAAATGTTTATCGAATCTGAAACTACTGAGTTCTGCCAAGGATAAACTATTCGAAGACGATGTATAACTATTAACGGTAGGTAACAATCACATTGGAAATATTCATTGATATATATAAATATGTATTGATCATGTAAATAGAAACATGAATCTAAAAAACTTTGCAGAGGAGTATTTAAGGTTTACAGAGCCTGATGGGGTGTTTTGTTTACTAAGCTGTATTTGACAAATTGTAGGTCAGTCTATCATTTTGCTTGTATGGCAACCTTGGGCCTTGTCAGAGCTATTTCTTCCCGTAATCCAATAAATTATCGTATACAATTATCTCTGTTGCTAACAGATGGGGCAGAGCACGTTATGAAACTTTGCGCAAATGGTGGGCCTCCTAGATTGAAATTCCGAAGAGGTCAAGGTGAACCTTGTGGATTTGTTCTACCGGCTACCCCCTATTCAGATTACTCGGCATTTAAACTTGAGTTGTAAGAACAGATCATGTGCCACTGCTTTGACGAAATCTACATGCATGCCTGGCAAATTCCCTTCTGAGCACAAATATGGGACGTTAAAACACTTTTTCATTCTCTAATTCTAAAGTAAGGAATTAATTTAAAGGTGGACAACATACATATCTAAATAGTAGACAGTCGAGCTTAGAAAATCATCAAAAATGTTATTTGATACTTTTATTCACTCCTTGAGTACTTTCAGTGTATATATTCTGCCAGAGTAGTTACACATGACCAAACATTTGATTGGATTCTGTTTTATTCTTTCAGATGAGATACAGCGTGTCAAGCAGAATCGGTAAAGATGGAAATCGGTGACACTGAAATATATGTGACAGGCTATTTGTCCACAACATTGTTTAACACAAACCAGGACCATTCCATTAACATGTGTGTTTTACAGATGCCAGTGATGATAGGCTTAGAAATAGAATGAATAATTACAACTTCCAAATGATATTTATATGGGTTCTTCTGTATTCAAATATCACAATAATAAACGGAAAATAAAAAATTCTAATGTTCTATGTCTATTTATTCTTTACCAGGTGCAAATAAATATTCTGGAAATTTAAAAAAGAAGTATAGAAGGTCACAAAAATCTGCATTTAAAGAAACAAAATAATACAGTCTCATGTTCAGCGAATCATTAGACATGTTCAGCGAATCATTAGACATGCTAAAACTTTTACACAATTACATTTGGAGTTGCCCTGTGTTGGTATTGTCGTCCTCAGGACATCTTTTGTGACACCTTCTACCACTATTTGGTATGAGCTGTGGAACTGATCTGAGTGATCCACTGATCTATTTATTCGAACTTGTCGCCTTGTGATTTTATGCATTATATCCAAGGGTTTGGATTATTTGAAATGGAATTTGTTTATAGAAATTCATGTTGTGACAGTTATGACATTTACATACACATATTTGCGACAAATAATTAAAGTAAAGCAATACACATGCAAGGTTCATCTATACAAGGCAATCACTAAAATTAGGGGGAAAATGTATTTAGCCAAACTCTGTCTATGCATAACATTTTGGACAGTTTAGAAATACAAGTTATAGTCAATGATAGTCATATTATATTTGCGTTCCAAAGAGGATCATCATGATATTAGCACATTAAATATATTAATTGATTTTATAATAAGAGTTGGATGCCTCAGACGTCTATTTAAAAAATCAGCTGAAACATTTGGACTGCAACATCAGGAGTCAAGTGTTTGACCCACACTTCACCCAGCTTTGAATGAGTATGTAACGACAGTGCAAAGTTTGCAGCACAAAAATCTGTTATGGCACCATGGATTGGTATATTCTCCTAAGAGATGAGAATGAGTGCAGTGGGTGCGTTTGATGTCTTATGATCGGGTAATAATTGTACCGTCAGAGAGAAGTTCTAGATTGGATACTAGACATTAACATTACAATTATTTATTATTATAAAACTCAAGGTGGTGTGGACTGTCTGTTGCCATGTTATCATAGTCGGTTAATATTCTAAATAGCCCATACTCGTGCTTACATTTATATTACAAATCAGTAATAGGATTGAACCCATCAGTCAGAACTTGCCTGTCATGGTTATTATTTTGAATTTGAATTTCAGTCATCCACAATTATGCAATTTGGATTTGAATTTGGATCAGATCTGTCATAATTTGTATCAACTTGGAACTGTCAAAATGTGTTTCAGATCTCTTTGAAAGGCTTTCAGTTTCGAGTGATGAAAATGTATTAAAATATTGTAATAATACATGGTTCAGACCACTTCGATCTGACACACACCTCTAGTGCCAAAGTCATAACAATTCAGTCTGCTTAATAAAAGTACATTTCAACATAAATTGCTGACCTTTGCAATAAACAATAGAAAGAGAAATATTAAATACCTTTTCCAATCCAGAATCATGATGTAAAGCAAGATATTGTATCCTAACATAAGCAGCTGTTTGAAACTATGGTTGTGGCAATGCTGTAATCTGCAAAGAAATATAATCTTTGTAAGACATATATTTTCATTAATGCAAAGAAATAGTTTCAGATTGAAATTGACATAATATTTAATGAGATTTGTTCTCATTCTAGACGGACAGAGCTTGCGTTTCTGTTATATATATATATACAACTCACTACAGAGATATATATATATATATATATATATATATAGCTGTAGTGAGTTGTTGTTCTAATGTACAGTATTATATATCATAGTATAAAATATAAAAATAATACCGATTTGCTTCTACATGTTTCAATATATTTTCATCAGGAAGCCATATTTATAATGATTGAACAACTAATTTTCATCATCAACAACAGGTTGATATATATATAAATATGAATATGTGGCACTCCATAATCAGGGATCAAAACTTTTATATATTATAGCAAACAGCCAAACGAAAATTTTCAACGGATGCTGTATCCATACTGGAAAGGCACTTTGCCAAAGGATCGCTTCAATCTACAGGGAAGAAGTGCGATTTTGAGATAAACCTTGCTGCTCAGGAATCCGGATTGGGTTTTAATCAAGTGAGCGTAAGTATTCATATTTGTAATTTATGTTCATTACAGTTGTGTTGCTTATTCTGGTATTGTCACTGTGAGACATCCTCAGTATAATACCAGTATTTAAATTCATCTGCATATTTATGTATGTATGCATATGGAAGAGCCATCTGGCACACAGAACTACTCTTGCATGGTGAGTGAATGAATTCAAAACAGTTTGAGTTAAGGCCAAGAATATATATTATGTGGAAATCTTAGTATTCATTTACAAAATGATTAACATGGATTATCTGATCAATAATGTAACTAATAACATAATAAAAATACACATTTACATACACAACCATCACAGTATGGTGTTTAACATCTATTTTGATTTTGTTTAAGGGAACATTGTTTGTGATATGTTTTAATTATTAGCATAAATCATAGGTTTCAAAACATATTTTTCACCCAAAATATTACAGGTATGCTCCTTTAATACTGCTTCTATCATCTCTGTAAGTTTTGAAGTATGCAATTACTTTGACTGAATGTAAAATATTTTATTTCATCTCATATTTTGTAGGATTGGATATCAAATAAAAAACGAAAACTGAGCAGCAGGGTTTACAAGTCTGTCAAAGGGACAACAAATGGGTACAACCTATTTTGTAGAGAACAAGGTGCAGGTGGGTATTTGTAACAAATGATTAAGGTGCATATTGTTGTTGACAGTGCTTTGTCCACAAGGATCGCCACCTCTTCAGTGACACAGATCAGGTTTTGAACATCGAAATGAAAATGGTACAACATTGTCTGCGAAATAATTTATTCGAACAAATAGTTGCTATTGAAACTGAGTAACAGCATTTCTCAACTGAAATTTGTTATATGTGATTGAGGTTCATATCATTCTGACTGCAGAGAAAACCATTGTTCCAAGCATTGTTCTCTGTAGCGTTGGGCAACCATTTTGGTTTTTGCTATTTCATGAATCAGTTGAATTGAATACAAGAACTTAATCGTAGTTAAACCATTGTTATTGGAAATGGGGATGAATAACAACACTCATCAAATATATTCAGCCTATATGAATATAGTGGGATCTTTCAAAATAGAATTTAGACTCTTAAGAGTTTGAATTTCAGGAAAATGGCTGCCCCTAGCCTTGGAGTCATTATACCCAGCCAGATTTTTCGGATTGGACACCAGTTCTAGACTATCGAATAATATGAACTATAAGCGTCCCCACTGTACTTTAAATACTTATCCTACTTTATTCAAGGGTATCAGTCTCTGGTTTGACTAATCTGGTGCAGATATATACAAAAAGTTGATTTTCTAGAAATTGCATCTCGTGCTGTCTGATTGAGTCAAAATACTGATTATGCACCTCTGCATCCGTCGCCATAGACTTGTTAAACATGTGAGGCTAGTCTTCATAATTGTATTGTATGCATGCTATATTAGTGAGTTCTCAGATTTTTATTCTGTTGGTTCGCTAGTTTGTGTTGAAATTCGGATACGATTTTAGCATTCGAATATCCGTACACAATATCCGAACAATATCTGAATAGTTTACTGGTGCTTGAAACTCACATATATTGTCAATCTGACTGGGGACTTCATTTAAATTTTCGAATAACTATCAAAAAAGGTACAGAGGTGCTCAATGCTGGTAATATCATTCAAGTCATTTAAATAACACTTTCTTTGACAAAACTAGCAAATTATTCATCACATAGGGTTGATTTTCAAGAACTATTTATTGATTATAGTCACAAATTTCATACTGACGAATACTTTTCGTGACCAAATATTCGTAATATTGTATTTGCCTACGGATATTCGAATACAAGTTTTAACACTATTGCTAGTTGCTACCATTTACAGTGATGTGATAATGTATAATAGCTCAATATATATTTTTTTAGAAGGAATTCATGATTTTCAACGGTGGGGGGATGCATGGAATGGCATGTCCCAAGCTGCCAAGTTAATCTACAATGAGAGGGCTAGGGAAGCGGAAAACTTGCCTTTCAATGAACGGCCTAAAAGTGAACAGTCAGATATCAAAAAAGGACTACTGAAACAATTAGATAATATAGTAAGTGGCAACTGAAGCATTTTTTTTGTTTTTCCATATATTCATGTCAGTCTCACATCACCATATAGGAGCAAGAGCATGAGGAGCAAGAAACATAGCCATGAAGAGATAGAGAGGTGGCTTCCCACCAACGATATGGTGTTCAATCACAGTTTACAAAATGAACAAAAATATCAGTGTAAGTCAGTGTGATTTACAGTCCAATTAGCAAGGTTTCTTTCCTGTTCAATTGAGTGACTTTGACTGCATATTTTGAGACTGTAATATTGGGTATACCAAAACATCCAAAGGAGCTGAATAGTATTATTAGGGATTTTAATTTGTATTAATTATCTTTGTTTTTGCATTTTTCCTCGATTATCAAGATACCAATTGAATCGAGAATAGAAACTCCATCTCAGAAAATCTTATACAAAAACCAGTATCAAATTATATCAATATTAAGATCTGTTATGTTGAATTTATTTCAGCTACAAAAACTTCATAACTGCTCGGTGGATGTTGCCGCTGTGGCAATCGAGGGGATTACCATCCATTTCCTAGGCCCCAAAGATGGGCCGGTCCTCCGATTACTCCGGGATAAGGAAGAAGAAATGGTTGATCGAGTGATCAGGAACAAGTATGCTCCGAATGGTAGGATGATGTTATACTAGAAAGATTACCATAATTCAAATCCATAATAATATCGAATTTGCATTATTATACATTTTATGACCGTGATTGCACTTTAAAAACCAGTTTTTGTCAGAACTGAACAAGAATTTATGTATTTGTTTCTTCAAATAAAATGAAGATTAAGTTTGAATCTTTGTTTTGATGAAAAAACCAGAGATATTGCCATGTGCTTACAAATAGAATGAATGAGTAGGCAATTGCATACACCTGATCTGCATATATGTGATACCTCCCTCTTTTTAGGGGTTTCTACCGCTTTTCATCCCTTCCTCTCTCCAAAAAAATTGAAATCTCTAGAATTTCAATCAAAGATCAATCACTTGTATGAATCTGTAGTATCTTCAGGTATTGACGGTGTCAGTGCAAATAGCCAGAGCGATAGATTTATCATTGAAACCACCTATCAATGTAATTCATCATTTATGTTTTTCATTTCAAAGATAACATGAAGGAGGATGTGAGAAACATTCGGAAAAGAGCACAAGAGCATTTCAACCAACTTTATGGTAAGCCAAAATTTTTAGATAAATAGAGTCTTTGTATGTCCAGGCTTGTTCTCACGATACAAATATTGAAATTGAACCACCCCAAAAAAAAACCACTACTGAGAAAGTAAAAGCAATAACTCAGTTTTAAAACTAGTTTTAGCACCATTAAAAGTATTATTGAATAGCAATGTGTGACTTGAATGAATGATGTAACATAACTACTTTTATCACAGGACATGCCTCTTTTATCGTGTAATACAGCCATCACATATTTTTTTGTATTACACTGTGTCATAACACAATGACTGCATCACGTCATCATTTTACGATTCCTAAGACTTTATGTCGAATATTCGTGTCATGTGATAAAATAGATCTCAAACTCGTTGTCATGTCATACTCGCCAAAATATTTTGTATGACATGACAACTCATTTGAGATCCTATATGTCCGAAATGTTGCCAATCTGCATCTATAGGTAAACCCAGTTTTAAAAAATAGGAGGAAAATTTCGGTCTCGATTGCATTCACAAGGAACGTTGGACGGACAGGTTGACAGCAATAAATGACCACATTTCATGTAGGCATGTAAAAAACATTCAAAAGGAAAGAGTCGGAATATGGAATGAAAAAAGGTGGATTTTGATAAAAAATTTGGCTGATTTTTCTTCAGTCGATGGGTAGACAGTTTAGTAAACAAAAAACACTGTTTCATTCATTATGATTGAGAACTATACATCTATACTATAATAATATATGAATCTAAGGGTCCTCGAAGTAAATGTTTCCTTTGCATTTCTTCAAATTTAGGCCTTGAGAAAGTTCGTCAGACTTTATTATGGTTCCCCTTTAAATACAGGCCCTGTTTTTAATGTACTTCTCAATACTTACTTGTCTTTACTTTTTCAGCTTCAGCTACTAGATCCAGCAAGACATTTCCCTATAAAGCCGTTGATTGTGGTACTATTATCATTGAGGGCCTCCCAGATGAGCTTGTTCCCCTAAAGGTCCCGTCAAAATATGGCATTGCTAAATTAAAGAAGATGCTTGATGTAAAATTGATACATATTAAAAGGTACTTTTCTATTTCATATTCAAATTCACAAAATTTTATCAGTATATTTAATTTTTTATCTCACACATTCACACATGTGATTGACCTTTGATAGAAAAGAGGTAAATCTCCCCAAAGTTCAACGAAATTGATGTCATAAAAGGTAGATTTTCACTTTATAGGAATTTTCGCCCCAAGACTGACCCAAAAGACTGAAAATCATATGTAATTTCTCTGAATTTCATTCCATTTTTTTCTTTTTCAGAAATGAACAAGCACTCACCAGTACATTGCATATACCAACAGACTCTCACACTATCCCACAGACAGACATTGACACAATCACACAGGCAGACATCCAGACATTCACACAGGCAGACATCCAGACTATCACACAAGCAAACATCCAGACAATCCCACAGGCAGAAATCCAGTTTATCACACAGACAGACATTGACACACCCACACAGGCAAACAACCAGACTATCACACAGGCAGACATCCAGACTATCACACAGGCAGACAACCAGACTATCACACAGGCAGACATCCCCATTATTACACAAAAAGACATCTACATAATCCAAGAGACAGACATTCACACTAACACACAGACTAACACACACAGAGACACACAGACTAACACACACACAGACCCTCACACTAACACACAGACAGACCTTCGCTCTAACACACAGATTCATCTGGACACAGCTGTTAAAGGAGAATTGAACAACGGTAAGACTAAGAGTATAATGTTGTAATTAAAGTTTCAAACTTAAATAAATTTTTACACTACTACTCCGACTACTCAGAATTATTTTGTCAGGTTTTAATAACAATATTAGGTTAGATTAATACCTTTATTCTAGGTTAATCACTAAGTTTCTTTGAATAAATACAGGGTTACTTAGAAAAATCCATGAAAACTGATGCTATAGTCACTATCAAAATGGTTTTGTTTCAATAATTTCAATATATATTTATATTGCAGATTATGAAGTGGAGCGTATTGTGCGTAAGAGGCGAAGAAGGGGAACCAATGAATACCTGTTACGATGGAAGGGTTTTTCTTCGCAAGATGACACCTGGGAAAAGGAAGAACATTTGAACAAAGTTTTATTACAAATTGCTAAACAAATTTAGATGATATCATGATATAGGTCATGACATATATTACTTGTGTCAATATGTGTTTGAATACCTGCAACCTTATTTACTTACCTCCTCTTTAGATGATATCATGATATAGGTCATGACATATATTACTTGTGTCAATATGTGTTTGAATATCTGCAACCTTATTTACTTACCTCCTCTTTAGATGATATCATGATATAGGTCATGACATATATTACTTGTGTCAATATGTGTTTGAATACCTGCAACCTTATTTACTTACCTCCTCTTTAGATGATATCATGATATAGGTCATGACATATATTACTTGTGTCAATATGTGTTTGAATATCTGCAACCTTATTTACTTACCTCCTCTTTAGATGATATCATGATATAGGTCATGACATATATTACTTGTGTCAATATGTGTTTGAATATCTGCAACCTTATTTACTTACCTCCTCTATATATAATAGTTATATGTAATTAAAAAGAGGCATTTCTATGAATTGTTTATCAAAAGAAACTGTATAAATAGTATTATAGTTACTAGCTAGACACTAATATTGTAGCCTGGTTGTGATAAGGACCTATATTGTAGTGGCGCGTGTAGTACTCTTGGTGAGTATATACTATACTATATACTATACTGTGCAACTACATGTACTCCTGATTTTACTGTGCTTTGGACGAGATTTATGATCAACATAATTGTTTCGCTTGTATGGTTTTTTTTACTACTAGATGTATATAAAACTAATATTATATTGTGTATATAGTTAATAAACATTGTGTTTTATATCCTTGAGTTTTGTTTTCCTACACACCGACCACATCGAAGTGGGAATATAGTTTCATATGTCTGCAAATTGAATATCAAAAGAATAATTTGCGTAATGACTGTCAGAACACGTGATGATCATTGAAATGAGAGTCCTGTAGATTCTAGGAAGAACAGAGAGTCCTGTAGATTCTAGGAAGAACAGAGAGCTCTTAAATGTGCAGATATGTCCCCTGGTTGCAGACATGGTTGGGATTTGTCAGATGGTAAATATTCGGTGAATACCTTGCTGTTTTGTGGTAATAAGTCCACAAAAAGAAAATTCAATCAAGCGAGACACCAGAACACACACTGTACAACATTCCCTGCTGCTTAATTCACACTTAACCCCCACTCAGATTGAAGTGCAATACAGCAAACTTCCAATTTTATACGCCCACACATTAAAGGACAAAGTTTACTCTTTTTGGGGGGAAATAAATCAAAATATATATATTGAATAGAACTTGTTGACAATAGAGAATCTCGATAAAAAAAATCATATATACCGCACGATATCCATGTAGCACGCCATATTCCCGATGCAATGCCAATGGTTTCCCGTGAGTTTATCCTCACTAGCCTTGCCTGGGGAAGATGGTAGCACGCATAACTCCTGCTGGAATTGTACCGAAGAGTGACGTCACAGTATGCTATTCACTATATTATGTTATTTACAGAGTAACTGCCCTTGACTTTCAAACCTTGTGGGCACTGTACAAAGCTGGATTCTTGTTTTAGCGGCATTTTAGAAGTAGAACATACGAAAAACACGACAAACTATTATGGATTACTAACTTCTCACACATTTAATAAACGACGTTTCAACGGAGTTCTTCCGCCTTCATCAGGTTATAATACATAAGTATATATACAGAAAACAATATAAGAAGCCATAAGCTGGATTCGTTATGGATTATAATGGAACTTTCTATGGTTCATTATATCAACATAGGGGAGAAGCCCGTGACTTACGAAATCGTGTGGACACTGTACAGAGTCGAATTCTTTATGGATTTTATTGAAACTTGCTACATGGTCCCAGGGAAAGACGCGCGGAACCCCTCCCAGATACCCCCTTATTCGACAATCGACAAATTCCTATTCCAGACGAGAGGTATGTGATTAGAGAACAGTAGTAGAGAGGGCACTTCGGAGCAATTTTGGAATTCCAGACATTCCAAAGGTCTGACGTCACACATTCCTAAGGTCTGACGTCAGAGCATTCCACAGGTGTTCTATTTATAGTTTGAATATGGTTATTGTTGACTGAACAATGAGGTTATGAATAATAAAAAAGGTATGCAGGTGTTGTATTCTTTGATCGTGTTTGACTTTTGTAACGAGGGTATGGGGTCCACGAATTGTTTATTGGGGGGGTAGGGGAAGATATTTCGCTTTATAGGCAGGTGTGCAGAGGTTACATTGAGTTCACGCCAAGCGTAGCTATACCTGCATTCAGGGACAATGATCTCCGCTATTAAGCTTGACAGTTGAGCATGTTGTGATTGTTTATCAAAGGCTGTTTATATCCCACACACCATACTCCCCCCCCACCCCACCCTAACCTCAAAAAACCCACTTCACAGGTCTACACTCTTCAATCCGTGTCGATACTAAGAAACCAACAACAGCCTTTTTTTTTTTTATAATATTTTATTTAGCCATAATGTTATATATATATATATTTTTTTTTTTACGGACAATTAATTTGATGGCAGGTTCCAATCTGCCTGCTCCCTATAAGTGGCGAGAACGTTGATTATGTTCTTGAACGCATGGTTCGTTCCCTCAACCATCCTCAACCGTGTCAGTATGTAGTCCGTAAAAGCTAACAATCTGCAGAAAAGAACAAATCAGATAGGTATTGGTAAAATAAAACATACCAAGTAGAAAAAAATCACCAAAAAAACTTACGTTTCTTTTTCCTGCTCAGGTGATGGCCTTATAGGGGTTATATATGGGTGGTGTGTCGCCAGTAAATTATTGGCGTCGAACAGAATATCCCTTAGTTGGATAGCTATAGCAGGTGTTCCAATAGCATTGAGACACGGTGCCAGTGTACACAGCATTAGGGTAATTATGCTTTTCAAGTAAGCCTGAACCTGGTCAATACTGTACCTTAAACAACAAAAAATATAATATTATAATTTATATTAAAGATATTTTCAAAGTCAAAATATTAATAGTTTGGTTAATACCAATAAATGTATGCCAATTTTGGTGTGTATGTGTGTGTGTGTAGCTTGAAAAAGTAGAAACATTCGCGTATGATGAAAAGTAGGGTGGGCTGATGCCATGGAGGTACAGTGTGTGGTTCTCTTGCACTTACTATTAAGCATTGCTTTCAACATAAAGTTCACGGTCTCTACGTATATGCATGGTAATATAGCGTCTTAGGCTCCTAACCGGGTTAATATTTGTTGAATATGTTTGACAAATATGGTTGCTTAGATATGAACAGTTTTAAAAATAAACAAAGCAGACGAAAGTCGTATATTAATCTCAATTGTTAGGAGAGCGATTTAGCTAATTTACGCGTGTCTTTAATTACGCACTACAAAGGCCGTCCTACGAGGGTCGAGTGAAAAGTAAACATGAAACGCTGTTTTAAAAGTAGGTTTCGAATCACAATTTTGAAGAAATAATAAAAAAACTTACATTTTGAGACAAGATTAGGAAGGTAGCCTATCAATGATGTACAATTCACCTATAGTAGGTAGGGACGCCTCTGCCTCTAGACATTTATTCCACCCATATTACCTCGTGAATTTTGGGAAAATAACGATACAACTGGACGTTTTTCACTTGCCAGGGCACCATACGGAAATGAAGCGGGTTTGTATTCCCCGCTCGTTCTACCCGGACAGCTCTCTAGTAAAAAAGATGCATAAAGACTATGTTGATGTAGGTGGGGTTGTTCGTTGTGCAATAACAAATAATTTCTGCTGACTGCTAGAATTAATCTGAATATCGGTACTAGATTGTCTGTATTTAGAAACTGATGAAACTTATAGACATAACTTGCACGTTGTTTCAGAATACGATGCTTAGTCAAAGCACAATTATATTTTGAAGTGAAGACATTCTATCCGCAGGTAACAATTGAGATTATTACTATTAGAGTAATACTTATAGTTATAATTACTACGAGACGGCACCTTACTAACGTCCTTACCCGGTTCGATTTTGTATTTTTCAATTATTGACATCGTTGTCAAGTCCATGGACGCCACGGTTATTTTTTATAGTAAATTTTAATATAGCATTTTTATTGCATATAATTATTATAACACCCATTGATTACAGCAGCATAATATCTTTTATATTCTGTCCATTCTGTAGGGGTAGATTATGGAATTAGCCTTTTATTTATAGGCCTATCTATAACACCTATCTATAATTAAAGCAGCAAAACATCTGTTATATTCTGTAGTCCCAAGTTATATAGTAGATTATGGAAGAAGCCTTCTATATATAAATATATATGCCTGCCCAAAAAATTTTCTATAGTTCTTGGCAAAATGTGTTTCAAATTAAGGAACACATCGATCAGAAAGGGTGAAAATTGGCTAATAGAGCCGCCTTGCCGTCTTGATTATATTTTAAAGGCATTACATTAGTGAAAATGTCAATAATTAATATACTGCATGTAATATAAGTCTGTAGTCTATATGGTCGTGGGGTTTTCATACTGTTGGACATTGTATTGAAAATCAAATTGCAATATATTGCATTAGGCTAATGAAGAATATTGCATCATATCTTGAAATCTATTTTCAAAAGAAACTACTTGTTATTTTAGCAGACAAGGTTATGGTTATGCGTCATATTCAGAAAGTTCAAATTTTAGAAATTAATATTTTGATGCTAGTATTGAAATCAAGCCTTGATTTTTCATGTCAGTAATATTTTATAGAAAAACATTTTTTGCATTCTTCAAAGAGAAATTATAACCTTTGGAATAAAAGGTAAATGTATTTAATATTGGGCACTTTAGCCATCTTTTGTTAAGGCACTAAATCAGGCTCAAACGACTGAATCTTGATCTAGGAGAGTTTTTTGCATTGTGCACCTTGCAGCTGAAAATCCCTACAATAATTTCTAAATTTATATTGCATGTACATTTTGTATATCATTGTAATCTGGATATGCAGATTCTAAATCTTATACTTTAAAGATGCATTATGTAAGACCTGACAAGGACAGCACTCTAGTCGTTCGGATGGGATGAAAAACCGAGGTCCCGTGTACACATTGACATGCACATAAAAGATCCCTTGACAGTTGGAATTCAATATAAGACAAGAGTACACGGTAGTGTCTTTGTCCGGGCAAAATTTCCCTCATAGCACACTGTATGGCGTATGCCCGTCTTCATTAACCCAGTTCGGCGCAAAACAGTAGGATGTTAAACCCCATTTTATTTCATTATTGCATTATGTAAGAGATAAATCTGACCTTATTGATCAGACATTTATTCACATGCCAAGCCCATAATCAACTTTTTATGTTATCGGATGATTGTGATTTTAAATGGATTGACATATAAAGACAAAAGGGTAGGCATCAGATGAAACTGTGGCTGTCAATGGCTAATACAATAATAGGACATTAAACCTGATTATATTTCATGTGTGACTGTGACAGTTGCTTTATTTCCAATCTTGATAGTGCGAATAATCATTTGTCACTGTAACCCAGGTATCGTTTAATCTTGTGCATCTAGCACTAATTTCTTTCACATTCGTTTAATATCAAATCTTTGTTTAAAAATTCGTAAAAATTGTTTAAAATCACCAAAAATCATCTAATTTGTACATGTGTCCAGTTTAAAGCTGACTGATTAATTTTCATAATGAGTGTCCAATTTACAGGTATTTAATTTCCTGATCACTGTTCAAAAATTAATCATTATACATCATTAATCAATTGGGTTGTTTACTTTTTAACGATGATTGAGAAATTAAACACCTGTAAATTGGACACTCATTATCAAAACTGAATGGTCAGCTTTAAACTGGACAGAAGTACAAATTAAACGATTTATGGTGATTTTAAACAGTTTTTACAAATTTTTGAACAAAAATTGGATATTAAACGTATGTGAAAGAAATTAGTGCTAGATACACAAGATTAAACGATACCTGGGTTACAGTGTGTAGATCTTTACAAATTTTGAAATGATGTTATGTTCAGGATGTCAGTTGATAAAAGCAGGTCCTGGACTTAAGTTTGATTTTTTTGCCTTTTTTCCTTCTCTTTTTTCTCTCTAAGAAATGTACTATGAGCTGATTTTTTGTCATTTTTTATTTCAGATATAGATTACATGATGACGAACAGACTGTCAACGCAGAATACTCTGTTGACCAGTCTGACTCAAAACAAGCCGTTGTTATCCAGTTCATTGTTATCATCTGGTAAGCTCATTATGCTAATTTAAAAAATTGTGTGAGAAGGTGTGAAATTTTCTCTAATTTGTGGAAATATTTTAGAAATCAAGGGAAACTTAAAGGTCACTGGGAAAACATTGTAATTTTTTAAAATAATGCCATTAATTATGTCGACATAAGTATAACACGATCCCGAATGTCAATGTTACCTGCCACAGTGTAAATTTCAACAGGTAGATTTCTACTGTGAGTGGTGATAACTTTCCAGCAATAACCAAGCTATGAGGTAATTTTAGTCCTTCTCATATTCTAGTCTATATTTCTATGACCGAAAGGACTAAAATTACTTCACAGGTTGTTTATTGGCGGAAAGTTACAATTACTCATGGAGAACAGCGGAAATCTACCTGTTGAAATTTACATTTACCTGTGACAGATAACACTGACATTGGGGATTGTGTTATACCTATGGAAATGGTATGTTCACATAATTCCTTGCATTTTTTAAAAACAAATTATGAAGTCGATAAAGTAAAAATTACCTTGTGTTCGCATCAAGAAATAAAAATAATGTGTTTATTATTTCAGGATCAACGTCGTCTGGCTCCACACAAAATGAAAAAGATGCCAGAAAACGCAAATCACAAGTAACCTTCGATAGTGAAACAAAGAAAGTCCGAGAAATATCTAAGTTGTCAGACACGTTCGGTACTAATTTACGACTGACGTCATTAAATCTTGGAACTTCATTGTTAACATCGGGACTGTCATTGACTTCTTCTTTGACAACAGGGTCATTATTGGGGTCACAGTCACAATCAGGTAATTTGAGGTCAACTTATTTGAACTCCGTTTCAAAAGATACAAGCAATGAATCATCGAAAATAGGTCTAGTTCATGACATTAGGTCAAAACTCAAAGATCAAAGTATTAAATCTCCTGTCACGAAACGTAAAGAGAATGCATTGACCAAGTTGTCGCCAGAGTCTAGAAAGGTCGTGAAAAAGAAGGAAAAGAAATCTGATAGAATAAAACACGAAGTAGCCGTGAAATACTACAGCATCGAATATCCACAGTATAATCTACAGCGTGACAGTGTCGTCACGGAGATACACTTACCCAAATTTTTACCACCAAAAAAAGACAGAAATTTACTTGGTAATATTCACAGACCTTTACAGGATGTTAATGGGCTGAAGGTGAGTTGTCTTCCCTTGAAGAGGGAGTTATTTTTGTCTATATTTAGTCAGACTCTAAGCTAAATTTATTCACATTTCTGGAAGGTAAAATAGCTAGATGCACATGCATCATAGATTCTGTTTACACATTGGCATGCTCTTGATAATTGTAATTCGAAATAAGACTAAGATGTAGGGCTGCTGTCCGGGCAAATTTCCCTCATAGTCATAGCACACTGTATGGCGTATGCTTGTCTTCATTAAGTGGGGGTTGGATGGCCGAATGGTTAGTGTGTGCGCACTGCGCCATAAGGTCTATCATTGAGACAACTGGTGTGGTTTCGATTCCCCGTTTGTACGTCGTGACAAGAAGTAGGGTCGCCTGTCCAACCTCATGGGTTTTCTCCAGGTCCGTCGGTTTCCTCCCACTGATAAAGACCCCTACGCGCAAGCAAATTATTGAAATAAAATTGAACCATATGTTAGTCCCGAAATCACCTAGTTTGTGTCGAGTGGACTACTTTAAACCTCTCTCTCTCTCTCTCTCTCTCTCTCTCTCTCTCTCTCTCTCTCTCTCTCTCTCTCTTCATTAGCCCAGTCTTCATTTCCTGTCCTTCCTTATCTTACATGTATCTTGTATAAGACAAAATATAACATTAAGAAGATTATAATGTGTTGTTGTTTCAGCTTGGTTTGATAAATGCTGTCAGCGCTTCGTTAATCAGTCAGCCCAACTTTAAAAATGCAAAAGATCAAACTCGTCTCGATTTAACTCGCTTCACAGAGAAAGTCATCTCCTATGATGCCGAGTTTGTTTTAAAGGTGAGCACAAATATAAGCCATACAAAAGAATTAATAATCTGGTTGTCAGACAATTCTTTAAAAAAATCTGATGTTGACGGAAGTCATAAAGGATCGTGTGGTTAAATGACATATACCAGTAAATTTACAAGCAGGAACTAAATGAATTTCGTATTTCTATCCTCCATCTCAGTCATTTCTTTAGAAATACACAGATGAATTATTGGTTGTCAGTTAAACATACATTATGCAAAAGCTAAATCTGCCAATTGCAGGTCTTTCTTTACAACTGAAATGTTATCTAAATTATTAATTAAGACATTAATTAACTTATCCAGATCATAATCAACTCTTGATGTCATCACTAGCCAGCGATATTTACTGGATTAGGATCCGATTTGCTGCTCAACTTTCATTCATGATTAAATCATTAAATGGATAATCGAGACTATGTTTTTCATTGTACCGATTGTAGTATTGATGATCGAGACTAGATTGAAAATTCAATCGCTAAATTCTTGGTTCAGAGTGGATCAATTTGACTGAAATTTTCAGCAAATACCTTTTACATTATCTAGTTTTTAACTATTATAGTGAGAACTGCCAGCTCTTTATCTAATCTCCCATAATGTATCTTTAACAAAAGTCAGTTACCATTAGGATTTTCAATAACATTTATCAGGGATGTGTATTTGATAATTGAGGCTACAGGAGACTTCCGAATTCAACCTGAAATATTTGATAGAGTTACTTCCCTTTATTGCACAGTTGCAGTTAGTGGTTGGACACCAACATCAGTTTTATAATAAACCATTGAGTACATGTAATGGACCATTGCTTCTAAACGAATAACCCACTGAACTGGGTGGTTGGGTTGAAAATGATAAATTAAATGTTGAATCATGAATGAAAATATGTAAACATTTTCTTACTCTGTCGGCACGGATGGGTGAGTGGGTCGATATCTGTCCGTGGGTTATTCGTTTACGTGCAAGTAATGAAATTTTGCGACCGTCCCTATTGTGAAAAAATGATTATTAAGTTATATTTTTTGTGTTTTGTATTGTAGGTGGCCCTGTACACAAGAAAAGAATTAAATATTCGTACAACTAGTAACTTCCTTCTCGCTCTTGCCGCTAAAGTATCATCTTGTCGGCCATATTTAAAGAAATATTTTTCTATAGCCATCAACCTGCCATCTGATTGGATAGAAGTAGCAGAGATTTATCAGGTATTTATTCTGCTGTTACATGTATATTTGCTGTGCTATAATAATTTATAACCATTAACATTTATAGTCCTTCGGTGGCTCGGTAGGTAAAGGCGCTGGCTCACTAATCAGGAGAAGGGTTGGGATGGCCAATTAATGGACTAATGGGTGCGATTTAGATCATAAGGTCTGTCATTGAGTCAACTAGCATGGTTTCGATTCCCAGCTTATAAGAGAAAAGGAGTATTGTCATCTGTCCCACCATGTGGGTTTTCACCAGGTCCTCAGGTTTCCTCCCAATGCTAAAGACCCTTACGGGGCAATCAAATTATGGAAATAAAATTGAACCATATGTTAGTAACATAATGTCCTAGTTTGTGTTAATGGGACTTAACACCCCCCCCCCCCTCTCTCTCTCTCTCTCTCTCCCCACCCCCACCCACACCCACACCCTGGTCTTCATTAGCTCATTCGGAGCAGAACAGTAAGACGTTAAACTCCATTTCATTTCATTTCTTTATTTCTCTATTTTCCCTGCTGTAATTACTGACCAAAAAAGTCCCTCAGTATCAGGAGGTCTACTGTTCATCTCTTAACACACTGCATGTCCATTTTCATTAAACCTGTTAGTGCAGAAATGGCCATATAATTTATTTCTCATGTTGAATTTTTCATGATTTTTTATTTTATTCAGGCATTCCATGATGCAGATATTAATTTTAGATCTCTACCCGCCTGTCTGAGACGAGTGATGATCGCTAAATTTCCTGATTTTGATAAATATCAATTAGGTAAATATGTTTTAGATTTGTTCGTTTGTAAAATTCTCAGAAGAATTCTCATGATTTTTTAATCCAAGTTTGTAATTGTCCACATGGCTGTGAAACATTTTGTGTCTAGTTGTTAGGATGATACAAAAATTTGACATGCTATATATTCTACATTTATAACATCTGAAGATGCTCGAGAAAGAGCCGACAGCTAGCTTATGATTTGATGTATATATCAGAATGAAGTAAAGTGGAGATGTTTTTTTTACCTGGATGTATTTTTTTATTTATTTATGTATTTATCTACCGTAAACATGGAAGTACTTGTGCTTTATCTACTGGGGGGGTTGGATGGCCGAATGGTTAGCACGTGCGCACTGTATCATAAGGCCTGTACATGACAAGGAGTAGGGTCGCCTGTCCAACCTTGTAGGTTTTCTCTGGGTCCTCCGGTTTCCTCCCACTGCTAAAGACCCCTACGCACAAGCAAATTATTGAAATAAAATTAAACCATATGTTAGTCCCGAAATGACCTAGTTTGTGTCGAGTGGACGTTAAACCCCATTTCTCTCTCTCTCTCTCAGTTTATCTACTTTAATAAATATATGAACAATGCTCATGAAGGATCACTTGGCAGTTTTGTATTTATAGAATTATGAACAGAAATGCTGCTGTCATGGAAAAATTCTCCTATTTGATTGCTAATGTAGCCATTGGAAAATTTGAGTGTGGTTTGTAAGATTCTAAATGATGTAGTTATTATCAGGCTTATTCCTTCTTGCCTATCTAAACTTAAAGATACATTATGGAAGATTAGATAAAGAGCTGGTAGTTCTCACTATGATAGTTAAAAACTATATAATGTAAACAGAATTTGCTGAAAATTTCAGTCAATTTGATCTACTCTGAACCAAGATTTTAGCGATTGAATTTTCGGCCTAGCCTCGATCATCATTACTAACGTCAGTACGATGAAAAGTATGAATGAAAGTCGAGCAGCAAATCCGATCCTAATTCAATAAATATCGCAGGCTAGTGATGACATTGAGAGTTGATTTTGGTCTGGATAAGTTAATTAATGTCTAATAAATAATTTAGATAACATTTCACGCCTAAAGAAAGACCTGCAATAGCCAGATATAAATCTTTCTTGCATAATGTATGTTTAACTTTATTTGGAAATATATTTTGTATAAGATACTTATATTTCTATTCCTTGTGGGGAGTTAAAAGCTGGGTCTGTGACACAGTCTAATAATTAATATATTTGACCATATCATTACACAGTCAATCGAATGTCTTGGCAATCAAGGACTTCATAAAATCTCATGGAATGTTTTGGATGTCAGGTTTTGATTGGTAGTTTGATCTGGAGTTGACCAATCACTATCTTTGTATATCTGAACTTTCCCTGTAAAGATTAAGTGGGGCAAATGATCCAAGTGTGGATATCATGCAGCACAAACATACCTAATTTTTTTGGCAATATTTTCTTTCAGCTAAGTATAATAAAGACAGTTCAAAAAATAAAAATAAGAAGGAGAAGCAGGGAAGCTTTAGAGGAAGGGGAAGAGGACGAGGTGGAGGACGTGGGAGAGGAAGAGGTGGACGTGGAGGAGTGACAATAGCAAGTACAGCTAAACCTTCCGACTCGGACAGTGATTCAGATGATGAAGAAAAGGTAATAAGAACAAGCTTGTTTTATTTTATGCAATTCAAAAATTGGATCCTTTGAGAAATTTTAAGAAGACTCAAGACCATTTGTGGCGGTCCTGCTTTAATTGGGGGTTTAGGAAATGGGGGCTACCTTGTGCATGGAATCAAGCTTTTATGTGCAGGTATTTTCTGTCATATTGTATTTAAAAGTCAAATAAAATTCAGAAATAGATATGACTGCTGTTAGTATGTTTTATTACTATACCAGAGTTATTGCTCTTGTTATTTACAGAGAGTTGTAGCCCTGATTAACAGAGAGTTATTGCCCTTGTTGCTAATAAAGAGTTATTGCCCTTGCCATAACATATGGTTGATATATATATATTACGTTATTTATTTGAGAATTATTGCCCTTGTTATTACATCTTGTTAATGGATTGTAACAGTGTTATTTGAGAGTTATTGCCCTTGTTATTACAGGTACCGGGTGTAGAGTACGATGAGGAAGAGGAGAGTAAAGCAGTAGTTCAACAGAAGAGCTTTACATTGAAACAGTTGATACGAAAATTACACATTACAGAGCCAGTGGAACATGTCATGTCACTTATCGGAAAAAAGTAAATTTACCTATTTATTTATGGATTACGTTTGTCTTATTTAAATTTATCAATACACATTACATAACTATATCTGCATCAAGTAGTCATTGAACGTCAACATCAGCATTATAATGAAGCCCTCAAATGTTTGACAAAGTCCCTATAAACATTACATTATATTATAGCTCCAAAAAACCTTGTTATAAAATGATTGCAATAACACAAACACAGACAATGATTATATCTAATTTTAATCAAAGCTAAACTCTTCTCAAATTAATTATTTAAAAATTAATTAAGAAATCATATTATCACAACTGAACCATTTTTAGACGATTATTCCTTTTAAATTATTGTAGATTGCAAGGGATTCAAAATCAGGGTCTTTAATAAGAAATGTTTCTCTTTAAATGATTATCAGTGGTTTTAATAACCCCACCCCCATCCTTCTCTCCCCTCCCCCTCTTCAACCCCCACCACCACCAAAAGAAAGTTAAAATGGATCAAAGAATACAGTGGAATTTTGTGATGATGAAACTACATGTATATAACCTCTATTTTAACTGTATTTTTCAGATATCCAGATAATTTAGAAGATTTTTATAAAGCTCGTTTACCTGGAACATGGGATGAGGAGAGGGCAGGTAAACGAATGAAACTACCTGTACCTGAAACCTGGGAAACTCAGGTGTCTCTCAAGGGAAATAAAGCTACAACCTGGCAACAATTATTAGGTAATTAATCCATTCTGTAAACTGATTAAATTGTATGCAAAGATTATCAAAAGTAATTTTATGGAGAGGGAGAGGAGAAAGTGGTGGGGGGTGAGAGAGTGAGAGGGGGATATAGTGTTAGGGAAAGATAAGGGCCGTGGGAGAGTGGTGTCGAGAGGGGAGACTGAGAGGAAGGCATAAGACGGAAGATTAAGAGGATGGAGACAATCATACCCCATACTTTGTGCTGTGAGGGAAATTTTGCCCTGACAGAGGGAAATTTTGCCCTGACAGTGGCACTACAGCCTACTCTTATTTCGAATTCCAACTGTCATGCAGTATGCTGCAAAGGAGATTTTGCACTGACAGTGGCCAATGCTTTACAGTTTTCTTGCCATTCCCTCTGTCCTGATTTGCTCACAACGGAAAACCAGGCTAGGAGATCCTGAAGATCATTCTGTCTTCGAACACCAGGATCAAAACTGACTAACACGCATCTGGCGTAACTTTTATTTGAATCTTTTATGTAAATTTGTATGTTTTATTTACAGATAATAAAAAATTACCTTTCATGGCCATGTTACGTAATTTACGTAATCTGATAAAGGCAGGAATATCATCAAAACATCACGCAGGTGTTATAAGACGTCTGACAGATGAGGTAAATATATATATATAGTGTGATATATGATTGTGTTCATTGTTGTCTAGTGTGGGTGAGTGGGGTGGGAAATAGATGAAGTCTTAACTCTAGAGTGTCCATTGTTGGTGAGTGATCGGGAAATAGACGATGTCCTTCGACTTCAAACTCTAGACTGTCCATTGATGTCCAGTGTGGGCAGGTGAGGCGGGGAATAAATGAAGACCTTACTCTAGTGTGTGTGCGAGTGAGGTGAGGAATAGTGTAGGGATGCAAAGGATTCCTAAAACCTCAAATGACAGTCTGTGTCCATATAGATTGTCCGTGAAGACCTTACAGTACAAACCCCTAGCGATAATTAAATCGCCTTTCAGTCAATTTCTTACCCCTGTTAATTAACATACAGTATCTACAGATTTTAGCCTCTTCGTATTAGATTTGTTGCGATAATTAGAATTTTACCGATATTCGTACAAAGTTACCCTTGTAGGTAGAAATATATTCCCTAAACGTACAAATCCACTTTCCGATGGCATCAAGAGTTGATTATGGTCTTGACATGTTGGCAAATGTCTAATTAATAGTCTATATAACATTTAAGGCCTAAAGAAAGACCTGCAATAGCCAAACTTATACTACCTGTTTAAGTTAGAAAACATCAAAATATCAATAGTAGATTGAAACAAAGTCCATCAAATGATTTCAGCAAAAATCATAAGTGGCACTAGCCTGTGATGACCGTATTGTCTGCAATGGATACTGAATGTTGATGATTTTTTAATCATTAGAACCATATTTTGATTAGTATAAGTTTTGGAAATTCAACTTGCAAAATATTGTAGTTTGCGCCCTACCCAACACTTTTTTTGAGGCATTTATACCTATATCTTTGATAATGAATATATAGTAATAAAATAGAATATTTATTAATCTATTTATTTATTTCAAACAGAGACAGGTGATCAACAGTAGACAGTTCCCGTTCCGATTCTTCTCGGCTTATGAGGCTCTCACTCAACTAGCTAAAGAGTATGAACAAAATCGTAAGTTTTGAACAGTTAACCATACTTCTAAATGTCATTTAAGTAATTGTCTTAATTTTTTTCAGAATTTTGACTTAAGTTTGAATTTCCCCCTCAGGAGAAGTTGTCGCCCTTTCATTTGTCTCATTTCATGACAGCAGACAAGTTTAAACTAGCTATATTTGGTCCGTTGAAATTTAATTTTGTTCAGCCAGTCACATAGTGTCTTGGTTAAAGATACTTTCCCCAAAAAGAATATCATGTGGTTATATTTCCTATAAAAGTATGGCAATTTTGGTATATATGGAAAGTAGAAATATCCAATCTTACTAGAAAAGTACTTGATTCCCTGAAAAACACCCATGGGGTGCATACAGGACAAAAATGTAAGGGATTCCCTAACCGGCAGCCCAACGATTAGGAATGTTTTGCTGCGTGACGTAAAAGGTTGCACACGAAGATTGTCTGATCTACCAACATTAGTGAGCGCTTGATGTATATGTTGATAAACTTGATGAAGAGCTTAAACGTACAACAGTTTTTGAAATAAAAGGAACGGAAAAAGACATGGACAGTGAATTTATTTAGTCTTCGATATTTATGATCAATGGACAGCGATTAAAGACAACATCGTCTTGTATATGCAATGAATTTCCTCCGGCTTCACACCTTCGACACAAACATGACTTCTTTTAATAGACTTTTTATAGCAGTTCTTTTTCCTCGCAAAAACAATGTTTTGAGAAGGATTTAAAGCAAAATTTTGATAGATTAATTAATTTGAATATGTTTTTAGTCCAAATATCTTCAAATCACCCAGTTTGTACGCGGGAAGGTATCTTTAAGTGGCTGAAAATGAAGATCAAGTTGTTATTCTTAACTCCAAGTTCAATGCTTGTGCAGGTCGAGAAAATTTCTGGAATTTCCAACCTGGTTTCCCTTTCTCAGTGGTGCTGGTCCTGGCAAGGAAAAGTGTCTAGTCCTTTGAAAGGACACCATTGGTAGCAGGTTAAAGACCCCCTTGCTAATGGGAATGGAAACAAGAGTGGGCCCAGTTAGTAACTTTACTCATGGCACACGGCATTGTGTATGACCATCTTCATTGGCCATGTTGAGGCAGAACAGTGAGACGTTAAACCTGAGTTCATTTCCAATAAAATAGCCTCAGAAAAATTTACAACTTTCTGGGTTAAATAGTCGCTTGTTAAAGTCGATGGAATTGACGAGAAAAATAATAAAGATTGTCTTAAATGGTGTGCAGGTGATGTTTTATAGCAATGTAAATAAGTGCTGCGATTATATATTAAGCTAAACCTGACTTTATTTTTCAGAGAGTAATTTAGTTTCTGAAGCTGAAGCTAAGGCTGGTGCAGATTCACATCCACCAGGTCCTATGGCTACTAGAGGACGCGGTCTTGCTGCTAGAGGACGAGGACGTGGTGCTGGACGAGGTAGAAAAGGTGGAAGAGCCAAACCAAAAGGAACAGGGTTTGAATGGTGGCTCAAGAAAAAAGCTAAAAATCAGGGGACAAAGTAAGTGTAAGCTTTCACAAGAAAAGATTCCCAAGTACTTTTCACCTGCACCCTCCACCACTTTTACACAGAATTCTATATCTGCCTATGTATATAAAGGAAAGAGTTTGCCAAGCCAGATTTGGTGCTTGAGGGAAACGTGTGCAAAATGAACCCCTTATCATCTGATTGATTGAAATCTATACAATGTGTATGTAAAATAGAAGCCTGTTTATTTCCCACAGTCTCCGATAATTACTGTTATTGCCCTTTGGTCAATTTGTGTATGTAGAAAAGAAGCCTATTTATTTTCAACAGTCTCCGATAATTACTGTTATGGCCCTTTGGTCAATTTGCAAAATGTGGATTCTCAGGTTATCATCCCATTGAATTGACTGGCAACGTATCTTTACATTAAAATGTTATACCCCAATGTCTATATGTGAATGATAATAATAATGATATTTGTATCGCAGAACTAATGAATCCACTAGAGAATGCTCAAGGTGCTAGAAAATGTTTTCTCTTTGGATTATTGGGGGGTTGGATGGCTGAATGGTTAGCGTGCGCACGCTGTATCATAAAGTCATTGAGTCGACTGGCGTGGTTTCGAATCCCCGGTTGTACGTGACAAGGAGTAGGGTCGCCTGTCCAACCTCGTGGGTTTTCTCCGGGTCCTCCGGTTTCCTCCCACTACTAAAGACCCCTACGAGCAAGCGAATTATTGAAATAAAATTAAAACCATATGTTAGTCCCGAAATGACCTAGTTTGTGTCGAGTGGACGTTAAACCCCATATCTCTCTCTCTCTCTCTCTTTGGATTATTAATGAAAGTGAAAAAGTCATCAAGTTTTCGGTTTTGATTTAATAACTGACACAGAATCACATTGTCCGATTATTTCTGAAAGTGTATTACACACAATTGAGGTACTGTATCGAAATGTTCTGGATCCAAAATTTAAATTATATAGATAGATAAATTCAGAAACAATTTGTTTACGTTCTGGTTGTACTGAGTGTTTAGGATGATACAGTGAGAATGACATGTTTTGACTCTAATTAAATGGTTGTATACTATTTATAGGGAGGTATCATATGATATGGCTATTATTGGTCGATACAAGAAAGCTCTCGATGTAGCTGTCCAGATTGCTACTAAATATAATGTACAACCAATCAAGGGAAGAACATGGATATTCTGTAATGTTGATGATGACATGGATTCTCCGTGCCAGTCTGCTAAAGGATTGGGAAAACCGAGAACGGTAAGTATATATACATTAGATAAAGGTGGAAAACTGCATGACAAAATATAAACAGAATAAATGAGTAGACATAAAAAATGATCTTGAATTGCTTTTCTCCCTTTAACCACACAGGAAAATAACTACAAACCATAGACTGTCTCAAACTTGCTGAGTCACAGATAGAACTACTATACATTCATTAAGTAGTTCACAGCTATTCACGTGATCAGTTATTCTGTTGTTATAAAGGAGGCGGTAATTTTGGGTGGTATAGGAAGCAGTAGTTTTGGGTGGTGGTATAATAGGAAGCAGTAGTATTAGGTGGTATAGGAAGCAGCAGTTTTAGATAGTATAAGTGGCAGTTTTGGGTGGTGGTATAGGAAGCAGTAGTTTTGGGTGGTATAGGAAGTAGTAGTTTTGGGTGGTATAGGAAGTGGTAGTTTTGGGTGGTATAGGAAGCAGTAGTTTTGGGTGGTATAGGAAGCAGTAGCTTTGGGTGGTAGAGGAAGTGGTAGTTTTAGGTGGTATAGGAAGTGGTAGTTTTGAGTGGTATAGGAAGCGGTAGAAAGCAGTAGTCCAAATTCTAAAATGTTAATACCGTAAATCAGTATTGTTTTGTATGCTAATTAGCTATGACATATTTAATTTTAAATTCACTGTGAGGTATTTGATTTTAAATTCACTGTAACATGTTTGAATTTGTATTCACTATGCCATATTTTTATTTTAGATTTCACAATGACAAATTGATTTTCGATTCACTCTGATAGATTTTATATTAAATGTACTGTGACATATACTTGATTTTAATCCACTTTGCCATAAGTTTTTTTTTTTTTTTTAAATTGACTGTTACATATTTATTTTAAATTCACTGTGACATATTTTATTTTAAATTCACTGTGACATATTTTATTTTAAATTCACTGTGACATATTTTATTTTAAATTCATTGTGCCATATATTTTTTTAAATTGACTGTGATATATTTTATTTTAAATTCACCATGACATTTTTTTTCAGAGAAAAGAAATTGGAATCTTGATGGGTTTAATGTGTAAATATTCATGTGAAGAAAGTCAGATGATCCTATTTGATGGAACCGATTACAGTTCCGTGGATCTACAGAAAGGCACAATCCTAGAAAACATGGAGGCTGCTCTAAAAGCCACCCCTGAGAAACAGGTAAACTATAAGATCTTAATAAGGAAATGATATGTAATAAACTATAAGGTCTTTATGAGGAAGTGACTACTGGTAAACTACATGGTCTTTATATCGACATGACATTTAGTAAAAACTTTTAGGAAATGACATCTAGTAAGCTATACAGTATATGTTTGAGGAAATGGCAACTAGTAAGCGAAAAGGTCTTTAAACATTGATAATTTATATGTTATTAATATTTATATTTCAGGGCTATATGCCACTAACTAACGTAAGTATAATTACTTATTTTGTGGTGCAAGCTGTTTTAGCTCTGTAAGTAAGAAGCTGGATTGTTAACCTTGAGGTCCCGGATGTATATTTGTTGGTTGACAATGCTATGTTAATTAGAGTTAGGTTGTACTTCTGTGGGATTGTCCTGGATTTATTTAGTTATCAGTAATCCATCAAAAACAAGCATCCACCTTGAAGTTCATCAAGGCCACTCAATTTATCATAATTATTTTAAGAAGGCTTTAGACCACAATTAACTAATTAGTATTTAATTATTTTGTAAAAGCAGAATAGCAAGCAAGTAATAGAAGCTATATATTAAGATTGATATGCCGATAATGCATACAAGTATAATTAAAGAGTTTTGTCTTATTATTGTAGTTTGGTATAATGTATTCTTCTTCACCTGCTGAGCACTCATTACCTTTTAAGGTATTCTATGATGCGTTACGAGACAGACAACAGGTAATTATATTAATTGTAGATATTGCATTGAAATGAGCTGCTACAGCACAATGGCATCTCTTCATTTCTTTATATTTAATATTGATTTTTGATGTTATACAATAATGATGTCGGGGGATCACGTAGCTAAGTGGGTAAGATGCTAGCTTGCTAGCCTGGAGGTCGGGTGTTCGATCCCTGCATTGGCCGAGAAAGTTCATCCAGATTTTCCGGCGTGGTTCCCCCTTGTCAGGTATGCAGGACGGAGGGACTGACAAGGACAGCTGTCTAGTCCTTCGGATGAGACGAAAAACCGAGGTCCCGTGTATACATTGGAATGCACGTAAAAGATCCCTTTGCAGTTGGAATTCGATATAAGAGTAGCCGATAGTGCTGCTGCCTGGGCAAAATTTCCCTCATAGCACACTGTATGGCGTATGCCCGTCTTCATTAGCCCAGCATAGGAGCAGAACAGTAGGACGTGAAACCCCATTTCATTTCATTTCACAATAATGATGTCACTAAATGGGTTGCCACAGCACAGTTGCATTTCTTACATTCAACACAGCAACAGCCATAATTGAAATTGCTTCAACACTACTAAGACCGAATGGATGGCCGAATGGTTAGCATGTGCGCGCTGTATCATAACGTCTGTCTTTGTGTCAACTGGTGTGGTTTCGAATCTCTCGTTGTACATGACAAGGAGTTGTTGGTCCCAAAATGACCTAGTTTGTGTCGAGTGGATGTTAAACCCCATTTCTCTCTCTTTCTCTTTCCACTTCACGAAACTATCATCCTATGTAATAGTATGTACAGGAGTACCGCACGACACGCAAAAGAAAGCATATAAGACAAACCAGCGGACAAGGCAAACTACTCAGACATTGCAAGATATAAACAACAAATATCAATTCCAACCATACCTATTCTTCACTTAAACATACATTATGGGAGATTAGATAAAGAGCAGGCAGTTCTCATTATAATAGTTAAAAACTAGATAATGTAAAAGGAATTTGATGAAAATTTCAGTCAAATTGATCCACTCTGAACCAAGATTTTAGCGATTGAATTTTCGGTCTAGCCTCGATCATCATTACTAAAGTCAGTACGATAAAAAACATAGTCTTGATTATCCATTTCATGATTAAATCATGAATGAAAGTTGAGCAGCCAATCAGAACCTAATCCAATGAACATCGCAGGCTAGCGATGACATCAAGAGTTGATTATGGTCTGGACAAGTTAATTAATGTCTAATTAATAATTTAGATAACATTTCAGGCCTAAAGAAAGACCTGCAATAGGCAGATTTAGCTCTTGCATAATGTATGTTTAATATTAAAGGCTCAATACCACTCTTGTTGTGATTGAATAATATGTCCCAATCTTTATTCTGGTCAACAAATTGTACTATTTTAGAATATTTCAATTAATTGATGATACAAATTTCATCTTAACACACCTTATTTAAAAATTTTGAAAAATTCAACATAATGGTTTGAAACGTCTAACGTAAACCTTTTCAAATGAAACTTCGATTTAAAAATATTTTCGAACCCTCTGGACAAGTAAAATTTGATGTAATGGATAATTTACACAGCAGGTAGGACACTTAAACATCTAGTACTTAGATAGAGATATTATTTATTTTCTGGAGCTTTCAAGCCAGCGAGAGTGTTATTGTCCCTTTAACAAACTGTGCATGTCGTCCAGGATTGATGATACTATATTGTATTTGAATTTGATGGTTTTGTTTTGTTTCAGATTGATAATTTAATTATAATTAGTGAGGATAATTTTCAATTAGAACATTTTCTACCTGTCTATAGACGATTGGTCAATCCAAACCTTGTCTTTGCTTCTATAAGCTTGAAGGGTTACCGAGCAGGGTGAGTTTATTTTAATATGTGTTTCTGTTGTGCTCAATCTATTATTTGAAGATTCCAATTCAAATGGTTTAAAGCACGACATACATTGATACAGCGACTGGTAGTAACGCAACTGATCAGTTATCGGTAGCAGTCGATCTCGAGTTTGGCTTGTGGTGCAAGATGGAGGACTTGACAAGTAAAGCTGTTTAGTTGTTTGGATGGGACAAAAAACCAAACTTCTGTGTACACATTGGTGTGCACATAAAAGAACCCTTGACAGTTACAAGTCAAAATAAGAGGAGGGCATAGAGCCGGTGTAGGGGGGAAAAATTTACCGCATAGCACACTGTACAAGGTGTTGCGTATTCCCGTCTTCATTAGTTCTATCGGTACAGAGAATTAGTATTTTGGTTGCCATTTCATTTCACATCCACTAAAGATAAAAAATACCAATTTTAACCAATTTCTTCAAGGCCCTTAGTAAATTTGTCTTTATGATATGATTAACTGGCATACTGAAACCCTATAATTGCATAGATTATTTTATGTTTTGTTATATTTTTTCCAGTTTTTCAGACGAGATTGTACCAGCTCATGATAATGATATCTATATATCTGGATACAGTGATCAAATACTGAGGTATGATTAATTATATTGTATTCAAGTATGGCTATTTTGTTATTTAATCAACATTAATCTGGCTTTATATCGGGTGGAAAACATGTGCGTGTAAAAATCTTTAGAGAATATACGCGTAGTGGACAAGGAAAGTGTGCTCCTCATATGGTAGTAATGATATAATAATGTATATTTATAATGCGCACAATAATCCATCCATTTACACATGCTCAAAGCACCACATTTAAGGAGTCTCTTGTCAATTAATACACCTGTTTCTAATCTGGATAATAGAGGAGCTTAAACTGTATGTTTTTCTCAAAATTGCGTAATAGAACTGGATCAATATAGAGCAAGGGAGAGAGAAAAATGAGTTGACACAAACCTGGCCCCGAGTCCACAAAGCATTCTCAGACTTAAAGTCTCTAACTCAATATCACCCAAAATCTTCAACATTGAAAACACAAATTATTTGTCAATTTAAAACAACACTGATGCTGTGATCTTACCGGCAAAAGATGGGCTTCTGATATCCAATATTGAAGACAAAATAAATATTTTACCATTGGTACACGAATCGTGTACCATAATGCGTTTCAGCCCCAGTTCTAGCAAGAGACTCGAGGAACGAGGCTAGACATATTGCACCAAACCAAACGGCGTATGTAGACTGAAATAACCCGACGCTAGGAATTTGCATTCGATTGAGACTGCTGGCTTATTTTACGGAACATAACTGATTTGAAATTAGAGTAAAAACAGAAACGATTGAATGTAAATCAGTTTATATACATTCATATTACAGTATTATATGAGTTGCGACCCACTTGTGTCAATTTTTTAGGTCCCAAATATTAGCAATTTAGCTCCTTTAAGTTAAGAATTTACTCAAAATTGTTTGCTTTATTTTAAATTAAAACAGCCCTTTATAAAACTTTTGTTGTTTTAATGTACCAAATACATCAATAAGAAACTATGTGCAAAGTTTTGTGTTTGTGGATCAAAGATATTTCTCATAAACAGTGATTGAAAGTTGAGTAAATTCTTAATTTAAGTCTTGAGAATGCTTTATGAACATGGGGCAAGGCTATTTCGGGACTAACGTATGGTACAATTCTATTTCAATAATTAGCTCGTAGGGCTCTTAAAGGAGGAAACACACAAGGTTAGGTAGGGGACCCCACTCCTTTTCATAAACCACGGCACTTGACTCATTGACAGACTTCATGATCTAAAGCGCACGTTAGACCAGTTGACCACCCAAGCCGAGGTTAATGTAGTGATGTGAGACTCCAGATTACTTTCATGTATCTGTTTTTCTTTATTTATCAAAATATTTATTTTCTATCTTCAGGTACATTGCCGAGAAGAGTGATGGAGGTCAGCTACTCCATGTTGAAAATATTGACGAAGCTTACAAACTGAAAGCCATAGCAACAGTTGCCTTGGATACCACACTGGAGAAAGAAATCACCAAGGCAACACCAGAAAAACCTTTACCAATCGTTTCTCAAGTTCCAAGGTAGGTTTTGATGGAAAGATATAAATTATAATGTCTATTGATACACACAGCACTTAACTATTAGCAAATGTTATTATCAATATTATCCAAAACTGTGATGAATTATAATGTCTATTGATACACACAGCACTTAACTATTAGCAAATGTTATTATCAATATTATCCAAAACTGTGATGAATTAACTCCTCACTTGAAAGTACAGGTGGTGGCAGGCCCGTAACTAAAAAAGTTTCACCCCCCTGTGAAAAAATTGTCGACCATAGATATACATTGCCCGACAATTTTACAGCACCCCTGAGAACATTTCTCATCCCCCTCGTTGCTCTGAGCTAGTTACGACCCTGAGTGGTGGTTGGAAGAATCCCTTTACAGTAAAGGCAAGATCGGACCTCAGTTATTTCCGTTGTACTCTTTTGCCACATTTGGCATTTACATATCAGATAATTCAAAATATTTGTGTATTTATCGCCCCCTCGCTCACTTCCTCTAAATCGTGTGTGTATGTATAACTCTAAACCTCTTATCTTGTATTTTATCTATATATATAGATGGAGAACAGCAAGGGTTTTTATATCATCAACATTCCGTGATATGCACGGTGAAAGAGATTTACTAACAAGATTTGTCTTCCCTGAGTTACGAGATCGCGGAAGCAAGCGATTTATTAACATCTATGAAGTTGATTTACGATGGGGTGTAACTGAGGAAGATACTAAAAACAACAGGTTTGTATTTAAAATGTGTAGACATCTTGGGTCTAAAACAACCCCATGTTTTGAGGCAAGCTTCGTCAAATTGCAGTCATGAATGACTGAGAAATAATGATTGTTTTGTCGTCCCGATGCCAGAAATCAAAATATCGCCTTTATTAATGCTTTGGGAATGTTCCAAAGAGTGTTCCTGTCAAGTTTCATCTAGCCCATATCACTAACAGCTGAGAAGTCAGACATCAAATGAACTGTCCACAAGATTGACAAGAAGAGTGAAGACAAGCCAAGCTTACACAGGGTACTGCCTCGGCTGAACATAAAATTGTCAACTTCTTCCCAGATGACCATCTATCTTTATTGAAAATGTTATGTTTATAGATAAAGCCATTGGTCATGTGGAGAACCTGAAAACGTAAGCAATTTTGAGTTCCACTATCAACACAGTAAGCCCAAACTATGAAACAGTTAAATAAAATCAATGTTTTTCAGGGCGCTGTCTTTGTGTCTACAAGAAATAAAGAGATGCCAGTTTTTCCTGGGTATACTGGCTGAGAGATACGGATACATGCCTGAAACATACGATGTTCCAGATACGTCAGAATATGATTGGGTAAAGAATTATCCAGCAGGAGCATCTGTTACAGAATTGGAAATGCATTATGGGGCCTTAGCAGGTCCACAAGCTGTGGCCGAAAGAGCCTTCTTTTATTTTAGAGACAGAAGAGTTGAATAGTAAGTGTTCGATGTTTCTTGTATGTACTGTATTTTAAGTTTTCTGATTGTCAGACGGCAATCTTTCCCAAACATCTGATGTAGGCGGGAGGTCTTTATTTATGCGTTTTTATTTTGTCCAAGGATCATGAGGCAATTGACTTATTACAACTCACATTTCAAGGCAATACATTTTTCTCATCATGTTGTTTATTTAGATCATAAAGTCTGTCATTGAATTGGGTGGGGGAGGGGGGGTGGGGTGGTTGAATGGCCAAATGGTTAGCATGTGCACGCTGTATCATCAGTTCAGTCATTGAGTCAACTGGGCTGGTTTCGATTCCCCGGTTGTACATGACAAGGAGTAGGGTCGTCTGTCCAACCTTGTGGGTTTTCTCCGGGTCCTCCAGTTTCCTCCCACTGCTAAAGACCCCTACATGCAAGCGAATTGTTGAAATATAATTGAACCATTTGTTAGTCTCGAAATGTGTTGAGTGGACATTAAACCCCATTTCTCTCCCTCTATCATTGAATCAAGTGATGTGTTTTCGATCGCCCACATGTACGTGATACGAAGTAGGGTTGCCTGCCCAACTACTTGGCTTTCTTCCAGTTTCTTCCCACAGCTAACGATCCTCTATGTGCCGTAAAATTATTGAAAAAAAATTGAACCAAATGTTAGTTCCGAAATGTGCTAGTTTCTCTCTTTCTATACCTGATGTTGTGTTTATTTCAGTGACATACCAAATGAATTCATCCAACATTTTAAATCTGAGAGTGAAGAAACCAACATGAAGATGAATAAATTAAAGAACAGAATACGAGGCAGTGGATTAGAAGTTTATGATGGGTAGGTTTTTTCCAGAATTCTCATCCAATTTTAAATTTTGTTTCATGTGTAGCAAATTGTTCTCCAAGATTTATGTGTGTTGTGTGAATTACTTGTTATATTTAGGCCTGTTATGTTGACTTTTCAGTATTTCCTTTGCTCGATTAAATACGATATTGAATATTATATTTTTGTATTATAACTCTATGATCTTGACCTTCATAAATCATGGCCTAAAACATTCTCTGGGGTCATGCTGGTTAATTTGATACCACATAATGGATCGCGGTGCCGAAGCGTGACGCGCAAACATACATACATCTTTGATTTTATTTATATGGATAACGTCACAGGGTCTACTACAAGCCTCGCATCACTACGATCTCCATGGAACGGTAACAAGGTTGGGTTATTATTTCTATGATCTTTGGGGGTTGGATGATTGAATGGTTAGAATGTGCGCGCTGTATCATAAGGTCTGTCATTGAGTCAACTGCCGTGGTTTCGATTCCACGGTTGTACGTGACAAGGAGTAGGGTTGCCTGTCCAACCTCGTGGGTTTTCTCCGGGTCCTCCGGTTTCCTCCCACTGCTAAAGACTCCTACGCGCAAGCAAATTATTGAAATAAAATTGAACCATGTTTGTCCCGAAATTAGTTGTCGAGTGGATGTTAAACTCTCTCTCTCTCTCTCTCTCTCTCTCTCTCTCTCTCTCTCTCTCTCTCTCTTTGTATGATCTTTGTGGTATACTGTTAAAACTTATTTATCAACATGTTTATTATTTTATAGTTATCCAAGTAGATGGGCTGGTGTTGTCAATGACAAGGCATTAGTTGGAGGTTTAGAGGACTTTGGATTACGAGTCATAAATAATTTGTGGACAGCCATTGAGAAATATTATCCTGACGAGGTTGGTTCTTCTGATTCTGAATTATTTAGATAAGAATGGGTGGGGACATTTGCCAAGAAAAAAAGACTATCTAGATCAAGACTAAAGATTCCTAGTCGAAATAGTGCTCGGTGGTAAACAGTAATTTTATTTTATTTCATAGAATTTTGTCCTGCTTATTATACTTTACCGCCATTTAGAAATTTACACTTTGTATTATTTTCGGTACAACAATGACCGATATTGTTAAGGATTTATAACACTAGGCCTCTAGCTTCAATATAAGGCAGACATCATCCTGGCATCTGGCTTCAATATAAGGCAGACATCATCCTGGCATTTGATTTTCTGCGATATCACCCAAGGTGAAAGCAGATGTAAAACCCCCATAAACGAACGAACAAACTGGCATCTGGCTTCAATTTAAAGCAGACATCATCCTGGTATCCAGTTTGAGTATAAGGCTGATGTCATTCCAGATCCCATTAAGGATGTAATAAAACCGATATCATATATTTATTATATTTTCTTTACAGTCGGCCATGTTGGATGAAGAATCACACAACAGTAATTTACATGATGCGTTCGTAGAAGATCGCCAATCACAGTTTATTGGCCGAACATCATTGATTAAACAATGTATCACCAAAATTACCTCCCTTAAACATGGATTACTTGGAATTGTGGGTAAATCAGGCTGTGGAAAGTCGTCTTTAATGGTAGGTACATTTCTATGCTTTTGGTTCCATACTTTTTCTGTGCTGTTTTTCCTTATAAAATATAAGAATTGGGTAAAAATTGATACATGTAGTTGTGTTAAATTGCAAAAATGGAAAATAAAGGTTGAAGTGAAAAGGGTCTGTAGTTGATAAAATCAGATGATGACTCAAAGAACCATAAAAAAAATATTCCTGGAACATATTGTAATGTAAAAGAAATGAAAATGAAATGAAATGGAGTTTCACGTCCTACTGTTCTGCTCGGAATCGGGCTAATGAAGACGGCAATGTAAAAGAACTCTTGGCAATTGAATTTGATTAAGAGAAGCTGCTGTTTAAGCAAACTACTCCCCTTGCGTTGTTCACGTATCTATAGAAATGAAATTAACCACATGTTAGTCTCAAAATGACCCAAGTGTTTATCTCCTAGATGATCAACGTATTGTTTTCTTACCCGTTAAACTTTATTACATTCTCTCTCATCCTCTAAACCTGATGTTTTGCGTATTTCAGTGTCGTTTGATTCATCAATATCTAGAGAGTAAACATTGTAGTGGCGCCAACACAGTGGTTGTACATATGGTCGGAGCAGCACCAGGATCTACAAACATTGTAGCAACAATAAGACGACTGTCACATCATCTCAATGCTCAGTTTGGTTTACAGATGAAAATCCAGGAAGAGTACAGGTTAGTACAAACATACTGTGTATATTTTGGGACTTGTGAATGGGCTCCAAGAACTAGCATCTTCTTCTTCTTTTCTTCTTCTTCTTGGAATCAATGCTCTTTGAAAAAAGCCATAGGGGATACTCAATTGAACATTCCGGAATGGGATTCTCTCAATCCCCAAAAGAGTGACAGTTGAGTGGAAAGGGGGATTTTGCGCAACCACATATCCGTTGAAATGCAATAGAAAATATCTCAACCAACCATGACAGCTGAAACATATTCGTTGTGTGTGATTTATGTCACAATTCTACTCAAACGACCTCCGTTGTCGGGACTGACAGAACTGTGACAGGACTGATTTCTGCGCCACCCAATTGTAATTCTGTCAATTCGGAAGGTTCCAAAGTTACAAAATAACATGTTGTGAAATTTTCTATTCATTATATCTTTGTAAATACTTAACGAAATTGAACAGTTTTTGGACTGATTTTCCTTTTAGAGGCTTAATATCTGCACAACATTGGCTCCAATATGATGTTCAGGCTGCACTTTATTGGTTAATTGGTTAATGGCAAATTGGTCTTGCACTGATTTACTGAGGACGCTGAATGTTGCAAAATATTCAGTTCATCTTGTCTTTGTAAATACATTGGCGTGTACGTAAAAGATCCCTTGACAGTTGGAAGTTGTTTTAAGAGTAGGCCGTCGTGCCGCTGTCCGAGGAAAAATTTCCCTCATAGCACACTGTATGGTGTATGCCCGTCTTCATTAGCCCAGTTCGGAGCAGAACAGTAGGACGATTGCAGTTAGCAAATGATTCAGAATCCCACCAATGACAAGAAGTTAACTTTTTTTTTTTGCTTGAAACATGAGAAATAAAATTAAAATCTGATGATATAGATATTTATATTATGAACATTTCAGGAATTTGGTTGTACAGTTTGGTGATATTTTAGAAGAAGCCAGTAAATTATGTCGTTCTAAGTTGGTTCTATTTATTGACGGTGTGGATTTAATGGAGCAATCCCATCAACCTTATAGTTTGGAATGGCTGCCAAAACCGTTACCGAAGGTACAACTAATCTATAACTATTCATAAATTCATAAATGTGGCTCAGCGAGTAAGGTGCTGGTATACTAACCAGGAGGTCTAGGGTTCGATCCTGGTGTTGGCCAAGAAAGATGTCAGAGGTGCAGGATGGACGGCCTGGCAAGGAATAGTGTCTCATCGTTCAGATGTTACGAAATAAACGATGTCCCATTGGCATGTATGTAAAAGAACCCTTAACAGTTAGAATACGAAATAGAAAATGAAACCCCATTTCTACAGTCATAAATGAGAGTCCTGTGTTCTGGGGCCAAGTTTTTATGGAAATTTTAACAATCAGCATTAGATTGATAACAGTTATATTTGTGTGATTTAGTCAAACACAGATCCTATTTTGTTTTGTTTTTTATAGTTCAAAATTTCGTTTTACTTGTCTTTACTACACTAGGATCTGGAAGAGTTGTTATATTACCAGCGCTTTGGTTGATTGGTTGAAGGGAGGGATAAGCCAATTGCCATGCACGGAACTGTGGGTAAACCACTAGAAACGCCAACAATGATTGATTAATCAATGTCTGACGTCATAGGGTCAAAAGCCGTTCGTATGACCCCTGGCACGACCTTCCAGTACAACTTGTCAGATCTTCATGTAGTGTAGGCCATTGAAAGTATGAAAAAACGAAACGAAATAGATCTGTATTTTGATCAGATTAGTGATTTAATGAAAAATTTGTTCATTACTAAATGGCCTGGGTTCAATAAGTCAAGTCAATGTTATCAGCTTAACTGTGATTTAGATGTTTAAAGTTGTTTATATCTATTTCAGAATGTTGCCATAGTGATGTCAGTATTAGAGGGAGACAAATATCATCAATCTTTAAAACGATTGGCTGCCGAGGAGATAATAGTTACTGGACTTGATATGTTCGATAAATCAGAAATAATCCGTAAAACTCTGGCTACACATCGTAAAACTTTAGACGAATCACCGTTTAATAATCAGGTAGATCTTTATTCTTTTAGACCGAATGGTTAGCATGTGCGCGCTGTATCATAAGGTCTGTCATTGAGTCAAGTGGTGTGGTTTAGATTCCCTGATTGTGTGTGACAAGAAGTAGGGTCGCCTGTCCAACCTCGTGGGTTTTCTCCAGGTCCTCCAGTTTCCTCCCACTGCTAAAAGACCCCCACGCGCACGCGAATTATTGAAATAAAATTGAACCATGTGTTAGTCCCGAAATGACCTAGTTTGTGTTGAGTGGACGTTAAACCCCATTCTCTCTCTCTCTTTTATTCTTTTGGAGTGGTTTTCTGGCCAAACCTGATGTACATCAAATCATTATGACTTGTGTCATATAACGGTAATATTCATTAATAAAAGTTTATTTGTATTTTCTAGTTAAAGTTACTGGTGTCAAAGAAAGAAGCACCTAATCCCCTTTTCCTCAAGTTAGCCTGTGACGAACTCCGAGTCTATGGTTTGTTTGATAAGGTAAGTTATAGATACCATGGTCTATATAATGTATTATTGTATCCTTAGAATATAGTTTTTTGTTTTTTTTCTGATCCAATCTGATTAAAATACAGATCTATATTTGTTTTTTTTTTTATATACTTTCGATGGCCTAAAATACATCAAATGGAAGGTTGCGTCAGGGTTCATATATGAGCGGCTTTTGACCCTATGACCTCAGACATTGATTAATCAAACAGCATTGACGTTTCTAGTGGTTTACCCACAGTTCCGTGCACAGCACGGCAAGAACTCTCCGTAACAAACCGTTTCATTGGCCAATCCCTCAATCAATCAGAACTTGGGTTATATAACAACTCTTTCAGGTCCTAGTGTAGTAAAGACGAGTAAAACAAAATTTTGAACTATAAAAAATGAAACGAAATAGGATGTGTGTTTTAATCAGATTGGTTTAGATCGTGGTTTGATAGAGATAACTGTCAGAGTAATATCATTGCTTTATAAAGGTACTTGTAAGAGGAATGAAAATTTACATGAAATAAAGTCACAAGAAGTAAATCCAAGAAGGTGTTATGATATATTAATTACCGGTGTATTATTTTGAATGTTTTAATATATTATTTACAGATGAGCCAGAAATTAAAGAGTTTACCTCACACTATACCAGCGTTACTACAAGAGATATTATTACGACTAGAGACAGATCATGGATGTGATTTGATCTCCACTACACTCTGTTTATTGGTTTCTGTTAGAAATGGTAAATCTATTTTTCACATATTAAAATATACTGCAGTCTGTTTGGGACATTAATCTATTTTTCTCTTATTAAAATATACTGCAACCTGTTTGGGACATTAATTTATTTTTCTCTCATTTTAAAATATACTGCAGCCTGTTTGGGGTATATATCTATGTTTCTCTTATTAAAATATACTGCAGCCTGTTAGGGACATTTATCTATTTTTCTCTCAGGTTAAAATATACTGCAGCCTGTTTAGGACGTTAATCTATTTTTCTCACATTAAAATGTACTGCAATCTGCGTAGAATTGTGTTGTGTTTTACATAAGTGGGTTAGGGGCTGCAATCTCTAGGACTGGCCAAGGTAGCACAAACTCTAAGTACACACCTGCTATATAATGCATGCTAATAAACAAAGCTTTAGTTTTTATTTCTGGTTGTTTCAGGTTTGTTATCAGAGGAATTATGGGATTTACTAAATTATCAGAGAATTCTGGGAAAATCCCGATTTACCGTGATGGATATTGTAAATACAGAGTTAAAAAATGATAACATTATACCACCTGCTATTTTCTCGTATTTAAGACGATCAATTCAAGGGTTCCTCAATCCAACAAGTTCTAGGTAAGTAATATCAAATTATATTGTAAAGTAAGAAACTTTCTAGCGATTGACTTGATTCATTCCAGTAATGCCGTGAGTCTCAATCAGCGTGCCACAAAAATTTGAACAGCTCTCTTAGAAAGTGTGAAAAACCATGTGATCCCAATTGAGTATTCACTGACATAGTACTGTTTTTCTTTATTTTCTTTATTTAGTCATTCTATGTTTCTATGACGGGTCTGTGTCTACGGTTGTATGCCGTCTATGACTTGCCATGTTTTTATTTTGCAAAATTCAAAAATTTTCCATATATTTAGCCCAGTTTGCCACTATTTTTTCATGTGTTCCGGGGGGTGTGTCCTTGTATGTAACAAGGAGTAGGGTCGCCTGTTCAACCTTGTGGGTTTTCTCAAGGTCCTCCAGTTTCCTTGCATGGCTAAAGACCCCTACGTGCAAGTGAATTATAGAAATAAAATTGAAACGTATGTTAGTCTCGAAATGACCTAGATTGTGTCGAGTGACTGTCAAACCCCATTCTTCTCTCTTCCCCTTTCCGGTTAGTGTATGGTTTGTTTAGTCTAAGTTTTGTTGTGTTGTTATCCTTTTTTTTTCATAGATAAAAAATTAACTTGTGCTTTTTTTTATACCAGTGATTCAAGATTAGAATTAGCCCACGTTGAAATATCCCAGGCTGTGCGCCACAGATATTTAAAGGGCGTGGCAGCATTAGAATTGGAAATGAACCTACATAAATTACTAGCAGGTAAAAAACAGATTCAAATGAAATACTTACAAATAATTTGATAAATGTCAAATACTTTAATTTAAAAAAAAAAGAATATTTACTAAACACCATGCACCATACAAATTTCATAAATTCAAAATTGATCAAATATAACTTTAGGTAAAGGAAGACAGTGTGACCTCCCCTCACTTGCAAGTTTTATGTGAATGTTTCTTCATGGGCATTTTTTGTATAGGTTAAGCAGTGTGATAAGCAAGTTCTTAGGCTAAGTAGATATAAGCAATTAGAGAGATGAAATTTGGTGTATAGTTTCATTACATCCGTATCTTGACTAAGTTCAATGAAGAACATTTTCTTCTTAGGCTAGGTAGATATAGGCAGTTTGATCGGTCAATGCTTTATTAAAAGATAAATGTGCAAATAATTAAACATACATTATGCAAGAGCTAAATCTTCCTATTGCAGGTCTTTCTTAGGCGATGTCATCGCTAGGCTGCGATATTTACTGGATTTGAATCCAATTTATTGCTCAACTTTCATTCATGATTTAATCATGAAATGAATGATCGAGACTGTTTTTTTATCATTCCGACTTTAGTAATGATGATCGAGGCCAGGCCGAAAATTCAATGCAAAAATCTCGGTTCAGAGTTGATCAATTTGACTGAAATTTTCAGCAAATTGCCTTTACATTATCTAGTTTTTAACTATTATAGTGAGAACTGCCAGCACTTTATCTAATCTCGCATATTGTATCTTTAATGATTGTCATCTATAAGATTGGTGTGGGGGACAAAGCTTCACTGTTGGCTTGTTTTCTTTTATTTACCCTGTGGTACAAACACCATGGGGTGACTACTTGTGGCTGGAAACCCCAGTGTTGTTCTACAAATAGTTGAACTTACTCTAAAGAAGGGTTTTGATTATTTTCTCTATTTATATTTTCAGGGTATTTTTATCGTTTGGCAGACCCTGAGAATAATGGATCTTTTACTGGAAATAATACAAGAGCTTTTAGTGAACTCGTTTATCATTTGGTAAATTTTAATCTATTTATTAAAATTATTTATTAGAATTATTTATTAAAATTATTTATTAGAATTAATTATTAGAATTATTTATTAAAATTATTTATTGAAATTATTTATTAGAATTATTTATTATAATTATTTATTGAAATTAGTTATTAGAATTATTTATTGAAATTATTTATTAGAATTATTTATTGAAATTAGTTATTAGAATTATTTATTGAAATTATTTATTAGAATTATTTATTGAAATTAATTATTAGAATTATTTATTGAAATTATTTATTAGAATTATTTACTGAAATTAGTTATTAGAATTATTTATTGAAATTAGTTATTAGAATTATTTATTGAAATTATTTATTAGAATTATTTACTGAAATTATTTATTAGAATTATTTATTGAAATTAGTTATTAGAATTATTTATTGAAATTAGTTATTAGAATTATTTATTAAAATTAGTTATTATTTTCCTGTGATGTATAAATTATTTGTTATTTTCCTGTGACCTATATTATTCTGATACGGTGCTTGTCCAGTGCTCCTCTGAATCATTCAAATAAATTAAAATATGACTTTGTTCTATCTACTGGCTCACTAACCAGAAGGTCCAGGGTTTGATCTGGCTGATAGCTAAAAAAGTTCCCAGGGATTATCCAGTGTGTATCCCTTGTCAGTGGTGCAGGACAGACAGCGTGACAAGGACAGTACCTAGTTCTTTACACAAGATGAAAATCTGAGGTCCTGTGTACACATTGGCGTGCACGTCATCGATCCCTTGGAAGTTGGAATTTGATATAGGATTAGGCTATAGCATCACTGTTCGGGCAAAATTTGCCAAATAGCCTGTTGCATGGCATATGTCTGTCTTCATTAACCCGTTAAGCGTGACGTTTTTAAAACGTTAACTACCCCCCTATTGTGTAATTAATTTGATGGATTACCAAGAACTATGTACCATGTTCTAAGAATAGATTGGGAAAATACCTCCAAGGCGTTATATTACACCCTACACACAGTTAGTGGCAGTTGTCCAGGACGTAATAAAACGACCTACGCAGTTAACAGGTTAAGCCAGTTGGTGCTGAAAAGTAGGATGTTAAACCCAATTTCATTTCATTTCTATGTTTTGACATTAATATATTTATTGAATTAGAAAGTTTCAAGATTATATTTTCAGATCTTATTTAATGGTAGTCTTAAAGTTTTAATAAATATATTTTCAGACTCGTAGCGGTAGTTTTAAGGAATTGGAGAAAGTCATCTGTAATTCCTGTTACATCAATCAGAAATGTCACTTGGGTCTGGCTGCTGATCTTTTGGATGATTACACCCCGAAACACAGCCCCAATAAATCTCTAGAAAGAGAACAGAACAAACTGCTGACATCACTCAGAGTTCAAGACTACAAGTCTTTTGTATCCAGGAATATTCACATTTTCACAAGGTAACTGTTTGTCATTTAAAGGTTCAGCAAACCAGATTATATATATATCTCAAAAATAAAAAAATCTGTATTATTTTACAAGAAGGTCTGGTCTTTTTTTTGCTTTTTATACGCCTACATTGAAATGTGGTTGTATATCGTCGCCCCCGTCTGTCCGTTGGTCCGGCGTCCACAATTGCTTGTGGACACTCTATAGAGGCTAAAGTTAATATCCGATTGATTTTAAATTTATACATAGTGTTTAAGGTCATGAGACAAAGAAGCCTAGTGATTTTCAGTGATTTCCGATAATTACTGTTGTTGTTTGTTAGTTGTATTTTACGTCCGCTTCCACCGAGGTGATATCGCAGACAAAAATAATTACTGCCAAAGTTATGGCCTTTGATCACTTGTGACGCTCTAGAGGCTTATGTTATCATCCGATTGACTTCAGATTGATACACAGAGTTTAAGGTCTTGAGATGAACAAGTATATTGAATTTCAATGCATTTTGATAACTTGAACAGCTAAATCCATGATATTAAATGTTTCGTATACTAAACGTTATCATGGGGCAGAACTATATTATTTGATAATGATGTTTCGTAACATACAGGTCACGTTTTCAAGTATGTGTTACGAAACATCATTATTAAATAATAGAGAAGTAGTTATATCCATGTGTACTTTGTGTTGTGTTATGTTATGAATACTTACTGAATGCTTGATTATTAATGGAGCCTATGTATATATATATTTTTATTCCAGTTATCCAGCACTAACATGGCAACAAGTCTTGAACGAACCAGACAGTTCTACAGTATTAAAGGATTATCGTCTGATCGACAATACCCCAACGCAATACATGATATGGCAGAATAGACCAGACAATGTAGATGCTTGTTACCAGACCATCAGTAACCTAAAGCATGCTGTAACATGTGTAGCTATATCACCTGACAGTTTATATTTTGCAACAGGTGGCAAAGATTGCATTGTACGTCTTTACGACCTACAGACCGGAAAGGTGAGATTTTTAAGAATGCGCTGTCAGTCAGAAGCATATCTCATAAACCTTACAAGATATGTTTATGAAACTTTGTACACACATCATTCTACCATAGTCGTTTTACCTTTTGCTAATTGGGGAGGTTGGATGGCGGAATGGTTAGCACGTGCGTGCTGTATCATAAGGTCTGTCATTGAGTCAACTGGCATGGTTTCGATTCCCCGGTTGTACGTGACAAGGAGTAGGGTTGCCTGTCCAACCACGTGGGTTTTCTCCGAGTCCTCTGGTTTCCTCCTACTGCTAAAGACCCCTACGTGCAAGCAAATTATTGAAATAAAATTGAACCATTTTAGTAACAAGATGACCTAGTTTGTGTCGAGTGGACGTTAAACCCCATTTCTCTCCTTTTGATAATTAGATATTTCTCTGTTTTAATAATTTTTGTGAATGCATGGAAACAAAATTAACTTAGTTTTTTCTATACATGTTCGCATTTTTTTGTTTGTTTCAGGAAGTAAAGATGTTTTGTGGTCACTCAGATCCAATCTCTGATGTTTGTTTTGCTGGTAAAACGATTCTATGCAGCGCCTCCTATGATAATTCTGTCTCCTTGTGGCACGTTGACAACGGACACAGGTAATTATAGATAATTTTGGAAGCTGCAGTGGCTCTCGGAGTAAGACAGTGACTCGCTAACCAGGAGGTCCTGAGTTTGATATCAGTGATGGCCCAGGGGGTTGCTCAGGATCTGCGTCTGTGGTGCTTGACAAAGGAAATGCACTTAAAAAACACCTTGACAAGAATAAGAATAGCCTGTATAAACCCCATTTAATTATTTTAATTGTTTCAGACCAAATATTTGAAATATAATTTCAGTGGACAGTGGACAGTGTTTCAGAAAAATATGACTGCTATGCTGTGCAAACGCAAACTTTAACTCTGCTGTGCTTCCTGTTTAATTGGTCTGTTTACTCCTCTCTCAGAAATCACAGGTTTTATCCCGTTTCTAGCCTCCCATATAACCAATGATAATTAAAGAATCAATGGACTGAGAAATGCAAATGTTTCCTGAAATAAATTCTAAATTATGTATTTTAGATGTTTGTATTTAAAGTTTTTTTGTTTCTTTTTTTGTAGAATTGCTGTATTAAGTAATCACAAACGTCGCGTTAATTCATGTTCAGCTAATGAATCTGGTAAACTGGTAGCCACAGCATCATGGGATTGTACGGTCCGTGTCTGGAGTACGAGTAAAGGGGAACAAGAATGTTATTTGAACGTCGGCAGGTAAATTGAGTTTCTTTTATTTAAAGTATTATGACAACTAATAACAGAGTAGTACTAAATACAGAATTTATAATATTCCTTGCAATGGTCACATTTCCAAACCTGGTCTATGACGATGACCAAGGTTAGGGCTACCGTAGAGGATTTCACTTCAAGATTTAGCCCAAGTCATAGACAGCACACAACCGTAGACACCAGAGTAGTCAATAACTCAAACTAAATAAAGAAAAACACAGCTATGAATTTACTTTATTGAAGTGTTTCGAATTTCATCAGACAATTAAAAGCTGGCTTCTTTAGTGAGAAATTTTCTTAGTGTGTCGTTCAAAATTTCCTGCCATACTTAGGAAGATCTCTCGGCACACTGGTTGAGAATCACTGATTTAGCCAGTCTGTCTTCTTTTGTACTGGAAAGGCCTTTTTTGGTTGTTTCAAATTTTATGACTTGTAATATAACTAACAGTTAAATTTTGCTGATGGTTAATAACACTAGCAGTCAGTCAGTCAAAACTGGCAAATATCACCGAAACTGGTAAATATCACTGAAACTGGTAAATATCACTGAAACTGGTAAATATCACTGAAACGGGCAAATATCACTGAAACTGACAAATATCACTGATTGGCATATATTTTAACATAGATAAAATACTAGGAAAAGATTTCATGTTATGACATCAGATTTATGATTTTGTGATCATGAAATATATTTTTTTGTGTCTGTTTTTCAGTCCAGTAAATTGTGTAGATTTCCATCCAGAAGGTCAGCTGATTGTAACAGGAAGTTGGGACTCACTCATCAAAATCTGGGATGTTTTCCACAAAACTCGAAAAGCTGTATGTTAATTTAGATATTTTACTCTTTGCCTTTTCCTCTGATCGTTGTTTCCAGAAACTTGAAATTATTACAACCACAAGTGTTGCATTAAAGCCTTTGCAAACTTCAATATTGTGACTAGTGAGGTCTTCATCTGTATAACAATGGACGATCTATAGGATTACAGCTTCAAGTACCTGAGCATGATTTGAGCGATCTTGGAATCACTTGTAAACTACAATATTTTAAAAGTTGAATCTCTAAAAGGAATATCAGTTCAAATATGGTTCCATTCCGTTCAGTATTTATAAAGACATGATTTGTAAATTGGTAAACATTTGGCATCAACTGCAGTATTGGGTGTGGTCAACACAAGCCGGCACTACCTATAATATTCACTAAAATCTTTTGATGGGCCTCTTTTTTTTAAAAATCTGACTGAATCAAAGTCGAGAAATTTATCTGCCATTAATATTTTTGTTTTCTTAATTAAATGTTAAATACGCAATTTGACTACATTTTAATGTGGACTAAGCCACTGAAAATTTAATATATTTGAAAATATGCAAATACTGCACAGAAATCACACAGTTTTAATCACTCTCTAGTCGATAATAAACATACATTATGGGAAATTCGATAATGAGTTGGCAGTTCTCACTATAATAGTTAAAAACTAGATAATGTAAAGGCAATTTGCTGAAAATTTCATTCGATTTGATCCACTATGAACAGAGAACTCGGCGATCGAAATTTCGACCTAGCCTCGATCATCATTACTACGATAAACGGCATAGTCTCGATTATCCATTTAATTGTTAAATCGTGAAGGAAAGTTATGCAGTAAATCGACTCATAATCCACTAAAGATTGCAGGCTAGCGATGCCATCTAGAGTTGATAATGGTCTGGATAGGTTAATTAATGTCTAATTAATAATTTAGATAACATTTCAGGCCTAAAGAAAGACCTGCAATAGACAGATTTAGCTCTTGCATAATGTATGTTTAACTCTACACGTTATTTGACCTTTTTCAGGTTTTAAGAGGCCATACAACATCCGTACGAGACGTAGCCTACTCCCCATCTGGTCGTCATATAGCATCAGCATCACTTGATGGAATGGTCAAATTATGGTCGGCTCTTAACGGAACACAGGTTTGTCCTTCTTTTATTTGTTAGATTCAGAGGTCTAAATGAAATGATGATGGGCTGGGCATATACCATACGGTATGCTATGAGGGAATTTGTATTGCAACTGTCAAGTGTTCCTTTTATATGCTTTCGCTCCAACAGGACCTGAATGATTCAGAGGTATTTGAATGGGCTTATTAACGTAATATCTTGGACACCTGCTAATTAACGTTTCCTGAAGACTCCAACGCTCAAGTGGATTATTAAAATAAAATTGAACCATATGTTAGACCCAAAACGACCTAGTTTGTGTCTAGTGGACGTTAAACTCCATTTCTCTCTATTTTTAAATTCCATTCCATTTCTGTTGGCCTTTTATTTCTAATGTTTGTTTAGGCTTGAATTGGCTGTTGATATGCAGAAATAAATGAGGGTAACATATCCCAGTGATCATGCACCTCAAGTCATAAGGTCTTTTATTGAATCAAGTGGCAAGGTTTTCAATCCCATACTTGTATGTGACAAGGAGTAGTCGAGTGGTCATGCACCTCAGGTCACAAGGTCTTTTATTGAGTCAGGTGGCATGGTTTCGATCCCATACGTGACAAGAAGTAGGGTGGCATCCATAACCTGGTATTTTTCTTCCTGTGTACCTCTGGATCCTCCTGCTGCTTACGACCAATGTTAGTCCAGAAATGGCTTGCCTTTGTGTTGAGTGGATGTTAAACCCCACTTCTCTTTCTTTTGTTTCAGGTTGGCAATATACAAGGTCACAGTCTACCAATCAACAAGTTGACCTTTACTGCTACAGGTCATAATCTGGTTACCGTTAGTGATGATCAGAAGGTCAAGGTCAGTATTATGCAGATGTGACAATCATTACATGTTCTACACATTCACTTCTACATAATATATACATCAGCGTCTTATGGTTTTATTGGGGGTTCATTTCTCTAAATTATTTGGGATTCATGTCCCTAAATGTCATTCGAGGCTTAACTTCAAGCAAACCGAAAAAAACAAACAAAAAAAACATTAAGCATTTAGACACCTCTTAGAAAAATATCAAATATAGGAAACGGTTTTGAAAGCAAACTGGTACATGAACAATTGTTCCAGATGGCATTTTGTATAATTAGAAAATTTTTTTTTTTTTTTGGATAGATTTGGTCAGAATATCTTGGTGTGCCAGTACATTGTTTGGGATCTGAGTCAGACGGACCCGTGACTTCAGTGGCACTATCTAGTGATGGCTGTCATTTAGTAGCAGGTTATCACGAAGGTCAAATACGTGGCTACGATGTTAAATCAGGTAATTATTGTATTCGTTTTAGAAAGATTGTCTAGTACTATCAAACATTATTCATGTAGTCTGTGTTGTCAAGTATTGGTTGCATAGTATTGTAATGTACTATCAAACAGTATTAATGTAGTATATATTATCAAATACTATCTATAACAGTATTCATGTAGTCTATGTTTAATGCCATCAAACAGTATTCATGTAGTCTATATTATCAAGTACTATCAAACAGTATTCATGTAGCCTCTATTTTCCGGTATTAGTCACTCAGTATTCATGTAGTCAGTGTTGTCCAGTACAGATCGCACAGCACTTAAATAGGTGTTGTTGTTGTCCCCCGCCTTTCGAAGAAAGCAGGGGACTATTAAAATGGGTTCGTCCGTCTGTCTGTCCGTCCGTCTGTCTGTCCGTCACACTTTTTGGGACACAATAACTCTCTTCCTAATTGAGCTAGAATGTTCAAACTTGGTGTATGTGTTTATTAGGTCAATGCCTTGATGGAGTTCGAAGATGAGCATTTTCCGCTTAGGGTAAGCAGAGATAAGCAATTTGATTGGTTGATGCTTTGGGACACGATAACTCTCTTCCTAATTGGGCTAGAATGTTCAAACTTGGTGTATGTGTTGATTAGGTCAATGCCTTGATGGAGTTTGAAGATGAGCATTTTCCGCTTAGGGTAAGCAGAGATAAGCAATTTGATTGGTTGATGCTTTGGGACACGATAACTTTTAATTGAGCTAGAATGTTCAAACTTGGTGTATGTGTTTATTAGGTCAATGCCTTGATGGAGTTCGAAGATGAGCATTTTCCGCTTAGGGTAAGCAGAGATAAGCAATTTGATTGGTTGATATTTTGGGGCACGATAACTCTCTTCCTAATTGAGCTAGAATGTTCAAACTTGGTGTATGTGTTGATTAGGTCAATGCCTTGATGGAGTTCGAAGATGAGCATTTTCTGCTTAGGGTAAGCAGAGATAAGCAATTTGATTGGTTGATGCTTTGGGACACGATAACTTTAGTTCTAATTAAGTGAGATTGATGAAACTTGGTGTATAGTTTCATTACAGTAATACCTTGACTAAGTTTGATAATTGAGCATTTTCTGCTCAGGGTAAGCAGAGCGATACGCAATTTGATTGGTCGAGACTTTGGAAAACAATAACTCTCCTACTTTGATTGTCCCCCGCCTTTCGAAGAAAGCAGGGAACTATTAAAATGGGTTCGTCCGTCTGTCTGTTTGTCTGTCTGTCCGTTCCGCTTATGGTAAGCAGAGATAAACAATTTGATTGGTTGATCTTCGAATTGAGTAAATGTTCATGCTTATTGTCCCCCGCCTTTCGAAGAAAGCAGGGAACTATTAAAATGGGTTCGTCTGTCTGTCTGTTTGTCTGTCCGTTCCGCTTAGGGTAAGCAGAGATAAACAATTTGATTGGTTGATGCTTTGGGACACTATAACTTTAGTTCTAATTAAGTAGATAAACAATTTGATTGGTTGATGCTTTGGGACACTATAACTTTAGTTCTAATTAAGTGAGAGTGATGAAACTTGGTGTATAGTTTCATTACAGTAATACCTTGACTAAGATCGATAATGAGCATTTTCTGCTCAGATTAAGCAGAGCGATAAGCAATTTGATTTGCTGAGACTTTGGAACACAATAACTCTCCTTCGAATTGAGTATGTTTTCCCCTTAATATGCTATAATTATTCCATCAAAAACATTGTATGCTTAGACTATAAGTAAAGATATACTGTTTGATTGTTCAATACTTTGTAAAAGATAATTTGTGATAAATTTATATGTGTCCTCTAATTATTTTCCTATTTCGGCGGGGGACATCAGCCTCACTGTTGGCTTGTTTATTTATTGATGAGGATTTGAGTTGCCTGTAAAAACCAGTGGGGTTTTACTCTCGGACTTCCTACTGCTAAAGAACCCCAATGTGCAAGCGAATTATTGAAATAAAATTGTACTCTATGTTGTCCTAGAATGGCGTTACCCCCCCTCCCCCCCTCCCTCTCTCTCTGTGTGTTTTATGATTACAAGAATTTCTCTAGCTATTATTGTTTTATACTTGAAGGAATGAGACAGTACAGTGTTAAACATAGCTCCAGTGCTGTTAAAGTTATTAAATTTACAACAGGAGATAAAAATATACTAATTGGTGTAGATAACGGTAATATCATGGTGAGTAACTCCTCTTATATCTTTAGACTGTAGTAGTCAGTTCAACTGTTCCCGATTTAAAAATGATCAATATTTTAAAGCCCATTTCCCTTTTAGCACTAGCAGTTTCTGTGACTAGATGCCGTAACATGTGTGCTTTATATATCATAAGGTCTGTCATTGAGTCATGTGGCATGGTTCCGATTCCAACCATGTCCTTTGGTTTCCTCCCACTGCTAAAGGTCACTGTAATGCAAGTGGGTTGCAGAAAAAAATTGTATATAGGTTATGTTGAGTGGAAGTTAAACCCCATTTCTCTCTGGGGGGTTGGATGGCCGAATGGTTAGCACATAATGGTTATTATCATAAGGTCTGTCATTGAGTCAACTGGCGTGGTTTTGATTCCCCAGTTGTATGTGGCAAGGAGTAGGGTCGCCTGTCCAACCTCGTGGGTTTTCTCTGGGCCCCCCGGTTTCGTCACACTGCTAAAGATCCCTACACGCAAGCAAGTTGTTGAAATAAAATTAAACTATGTGTTAGTCCCAAAATGACATAGTTTGTGTCGAGTGGACGTTAAACCCCATTTCTCTGTCTCTCCATTTCTCTCTCTCCCACATCTTTGATATTATAACTGTGTTTATATATTGTAGTTATTAACCCAGTTTGGAGGTCAGAAAGTGAGCTTGTTAAGAGGACATAGTAAGAATGTTTTATGTATAGATACAACTAAAGAATATATTGTAACTGGTGGTGAAGATTCTACTTGTTGTGTTTATACCAATGTTAAAAAGATCAAAACATCGAAACAGTAAGATTATATTTAAACATTTATTTTTATTTGTTCCCGGGGTTTGGGTGGCGGAATGGTTTAATGTGTGCATGTTAAACACCAGGCCTGTCTAATCTCGTGGGTTTTCTCTGGGTCCTCTGGTTTCCACCCACTGCTAAAGACCCCTCATACTCCTCGCAGTGTTTCATTTGATTAGAGCTAATCTCACTTAACACTGGGGGGGTTGGATGGCTGAATGGTTAGCGTGCGCGCGCTGTATCATAAAGTCTGTCATTGAGTCGACTGGCGTGGTTTCGAATCCCCGGTTGTACGTGGCAAGGAGTAGGGTCGCCTGTCCAACCTCGTGGGTTTTCTCCGGGTCCTCCGGTTTCCTCCCACTGCTAAAGACCCCTACGCGCAAGCGAATTATGTAAATAAAATTAAACCATATGTTAGTCCCGAAATGACCTAGTTTGTGTCGAGTGGACGTTAAACCCCATTTCTCTCTCTCTCACTTAACACTGCTGTAAAGGAAGCAAATTTCTGTTCCAAATTATGACTGATTAACAACCAATAGCTAACTGCATAACAATATCATTACGCTTTAAACAAAGCTCCAAATATGTTTACGTAACATTACATCATGTGTCACGATTTTATTATGCCCAATTAACCAGTGCATAGCAAAATATTGCAGAAAAACTAATTGCGTGACAAACGAGGCTATCAATATGGATACAATGTAAACCATACTGTTTGGAGACGAACAATACTTCCACTGTTTTTGATACCTGAAATAACTGTCCAAAGTTTTAGGGAAGGTCCCAGATTAAACGAAGGGCTATCATGTTGCTGTACTTGGGATATATTTAATTGAACAGGAATAATAGACACACTCTTTCAAAAGCTCAAGTATCAGAAGCCACAAGTGAATTATTGATATAAAGTTGAACCGTATGTTAGTCCCGAAATGAGCTAGTTTGCATCAAGTGGACGTTAAACCCAATTTCTCACTCTCTCTCTATTTGTCCCCCGGATTTAACAAAAAATTTTCTGCATACAAATAAGACTCGTCGGCGGTTGGAATTAGATGCACTTGCAAAGTATAAGTCAAAATTATCATATTGTAGTCTCCAAATGACTGGATATTGTTTTGACGAGATTCGGCTTATAAATCTGAAAGTTTTAAAAATATTGATGTGATAAAAGATGGTAATTATAAATTTCATCCAGTTTATAAATTTGAATGGTTTTTAAATATATCATTTTTTTCATAGAGTTGAAGCTGATGTGATATTACATCACCATACAGCTGCTGTGACTGGTTGTTCTTTTAATACAGCTGGAACAATGTTTGCTACTTCCAGTCGAGATGGGGTAAGTTTTGTAAATATATATTTTTTTTCGATCCCCCCCCACCCAAATGAATACCCCACAATACATGTACATAACAATTTTCTTTTTGATATATATATTCATCTAAAGTTGACACCCTTAAACCACTCTGAATTCATCTTTTCTCTTAAAAAATGTTGGATACAGTAGTACGGCCAATTGAATAAATCGGGACATATAAATGATGATGGATTTCACAGAATGCTGTAGTATTCAGATGTCGGAAGTGATCGACAGAGTCCACTGTATTGTCTTGTAGCTGTGTATAATATTATTTTAATGTATTGGTATTTAGCTGTGTATAATATATTATAATATTGTAATTTAGTTGTGTATAATGTTTTAATATTTAACTACAGTGTATGTATAATATGTTAATATAGTGGTATTTAATATACTGTTATATAACATTTTAATATACTGGTATCAGTGATGGGATTTCAAAATTTTTCTTGTTGGACATTTTACCGAAAATAAAGGGGTATAACGTACTCTTATCGTTATTTAAGCAGAAGAATTCATACCACAATTAAAAATCACATTCACAAAATATTCAAATTCCCAGTCGGATAACTTTGGGCGTTTGGAAAATAGTGTTGGACAAGTCCGGAATATACGGGCAAAATCCCATCCCAGTCTGGTGTGTAATATTTTAATATAGTGGTATATAATATTTTAATATAATATTGGTATTTTCAGTCTGTAATGATCTGGGATATAAAGATCGTATTATTAAACCCTGAGGCGCCACCTATCCAGTATCTTAACTCCTGCCATTCTGATTGGATCAATGGTTGTATATGGTCAAACATCGGGGATCATTTGGTATGTAGAAGTATACGTTTCTTCCTTTTGTTAAAAATATGTTACTGGTTAAATGAGACATGCGGCAGAAAGTATAAGCATAACCATGCATAAATTTAAATTGTGTACTTTGGACAGGGTCGTGGGGTCGCATGGGCACGACTGATTTTGAGTTTCTGCAGTTTCTTTTTCCGAAATGCTCGCAAAATGTATTTCCGTTAGTCAATTTTTGAAATATTTTGGGGGGAGGATGAATAAAACAGTGCAGGATTTACCTAGAGGACATCAAAAGATCTAGGGGGCCTCTAGCTATAATTACCAAGGTGTATAATATTCTGACACTGGCATAATCCGTCATAACACACACTGTAGTCTTAAGCACCTGCCATCATCCCCAGCTTTACTCATTTGTGTTTAAACACACTTGTATCTTTTTCTGGTCGTGAGGGTGGTATAACCTAGGTTATAGAATAAAATAGTGATATCTAATAGTGGAATATTTTGATTTTATAGGTGACAGCATCAAATGATTTTAATCTGAAGATTTGGGATGTGAAGCTTGACAATCCTGAAGAACAGACGAGTGAGAAACAGAGGTTAACAGGTCACATGTCAGCCATTAATTGTCTCTCATATCAGGTAAATATCTATTTTGATAACTTTAATAACCAGGGGCATGTTGTGTTCTACTGTTATCGTCAGATTCTTGGTTTCTTGGGGTTTACTTTGTAACATGTGGGTGAAAGCAAAAAAGAACCAATCTCTATTTTGATAACTTTAATAACCAGGGGCATGTTGTGTTATACTGTTATCGTCAGATTCTTGATTTCTTGGGGTTTACTTTGTAACATGTGGGTGAAAGCAAAAAAGAACCAATCTCCATTGATTCTCCATCTTTATTACCCAAAATAGGCAGAACTACAATGTAAGGGAGACAACTTGTATCCACTTTCATATAAGGTTTCAGACCACAATGATATATAATAAACCATGACACAAGATTAACATCTTCACTGCTAGATACAAAGATCTCCGTTTTCATGTGGCAGTGTACAGAAATATTTGCTATTCGTTTTGTCACATGGTCACAACAAACAGATGTTAATCGAACAAATAGTGAAATTAACATGTGGTGTCGTACCCGGAGGTGGAGGTGGGTGTAATAAAATGACATATAAAACATTTCTACATATTTCAGTTTGGTTGTATCGTATCTGGGTGTAGCGATGGTTCAGTAAAAGTTTGGTCCCATAAAGGAACAGAGATAACAACACTACACGGCCATACACAACGTGTTAATGGATGTTCCATGTATGTTAAAACTACAGAAGAGGGTAAGTACAATTTATGAGGTTTATTTATATATTTATTTATTTGTACCGTCACTAAAATGCAGTGATACTGCTTTGTCTTTATATAACTTGATATTTTATATATATAATTAGACTGGATAACCTGCTCTAATACGTCAGACTCGCCCCTACGTCACTCCTTTTCTGACTTGCATATAGAGACAGGTAGTGGGCAGCAATGTTTTGACGTAGTGTTACTAAAAATAGACGGGTATCCCTAATGATGGCGTTCAGCGTTAAAATGTGTAAACTAGAAGATTTGTTAATCTTATCTTTAATGTCTATGATTGCTCTAGCCAAATTAAACGTTGATCGTGCGACATCTTATTGTTATCTTAAACCCAAACAAAGCGACAGTTTAAAATCAGCTCTTATAATCAGATACAATCATAGGCCTACCGGCTACGGCAAATCGCTCATCATACTCATCTTTCATTTGTTTTAATGCCGTATTTCTCAAATTCCAAAATATTAATTATTGTTCCGTTAAATTCCATTATTGAGACAAAATTGCATAGTTTCGGCTCTAATCCACAAGCTTAACATAAACTACCACTGCATTTAATTGGTGTTGACATCTTTATTGCATACTTCAGCGTCCGATCACATTTTTGTTTACATTGGTAATGTGCGCAGAAAGAGAAGCGCACTGCCGGGAGGAATTCCTCCTGGCAAGATGGCTGACCGCTGCCTGTCTCTATATTGAAGTCAGAATAGCGCAGTGACGTAGGAACCAGCCTGACGTCATTTAGAGCAGGTTGTCCAGTCTATATATAATATACACCTATACTACATTCTTAAACTGGATAATCAAGACTTTGTTTATTATCGTAGTGGTACTTGACAATCAAGGCTATCTTGTCAAACTTAAACACTCATAACTTCACTCAGAATAAAGTAATTTGGCTGAAAAATTCTGTATATTCATTTCTCATTATCTATTTTTCAACAGCCAGCTCTTTTTCTAAATCTTACATAATGCATCTTTAAACTGGTATAATAGTAAGAATGATCTGCCCTTTAAACTGTTATAATAGTAAGAAAGATCTGCCCTTTAAACTGTTATAATAGTAAGAATGATCTGCCCTTTAAACTGTTACAATAGTAAGAATGATCTTCCCTTTAAACTGTTATAATAGTAAGAATGATCTGCCCTTTAAACTGTTATAATAGTAAGAATGATCTGCCCTTTAAACTGTTATAATAGTAAGAATGATCTGCCCTTTAAACTGTTATAATACTGGAAACAGGAAAAGGGTACGGCAACACTCCCTTAGAGAGTAATTAAAGCTGGACAGGCTGATACAATAGTAAGAATGATCTGCCCTTTAAACTGTTATAATAGTAAGAATGATCTGCCTTGAACTAATTCTTGCATAATGCATCTTTAAGGATATTATAAGCTGAACCACTTGTTGTATGTCAGTTTTATTAATTGATTATTTTAAGAAGTTCCTCAGGAAGAAGATAAAGAAGAAGATGCTGCGCTTGATTGTTCTGATTGGTCTGTGGATCCTGAACCCCCAAAGAAAAAAAGTAAAAAACCTGCCAGTAAATTATCTGATGTGGTTGTAGCCACTTGCAGTGATGATGGTACTATACGAATATGGAGACCATTACAGGTAGAGTTACCTTCTCTTCATATGATATTTATCAGTTTAAAGGTCATTTGATACAATCTTTATTGTTTTCCTGTTGGTTTTTTTTCGTCAAGTTTGGAATTATGACTTGATCTTCATACACAGCCTAACTAATGCAGTAAGCGGGTAGAGGCTACAGCTGGGCGATATCCCTGGAAATCAGATATCGCGATATTTTAAAAAAAATTCGCGATTTTTTTTTTAAAAATCGCGATATTATCATTAAATTGCGATATTTTATAAAATTCTCAATACTTTCAGTTTATCACCTTTTAAATGTAAATAAACAAGTTGGAAATACCCCTGGAGTATTCACTTGACATTTTCTAGTCAATATTATTATTTCTAGTCAATATTATTTTTAGCATAAATACAGTACCAAATTTACAAACAAAATGTAATGAGCTGGTTCAAACATAGATCTATATAGCCACGAAAACTTGTTAAAGTTGTTGTTTATGTTAAATATCATCCAGGTGTTTCGATATTTTTCTGAAGACGGTATTTTTGGCCTTTTTTATTTCTGTGACGGTTTTATAGCGAAATATCGCCCAGCTCTAGTAGAGACTGTCCTATTTGCGGAACTAATTCAAATCAATTCAAATTTCAACCAATCATGTAAAGCTAATACTAATTTCTAATTTAATCCTTCTCTTGCCAACTTTCAAAACAAATCAACGTATGGAAATCCCCTTTGAGATCAACAGTTGTGTTTTTGATCCAAATCAAAGTTCAGTCAAATCTAAGAAGACACATTTCCAAGACTCTAATTGGAATTAGGCGAAAATAGTTTTGGGGGATTTGGTTCCTGAGGCCATATTTTTGTTATTTGCCAATATACAGTATTTATCCTCTGCAGTGGATGTTGAATATTACAAAATTTTCAATTCATCATATCTTTGTAAATACTGAATGTGTGTATTATTTCAATTTTGATGGGCTAAACTTTTGTTTTGAAAGATTTAACCATATTATTATTACTCCTCACAGTGTTTCGTTTGATTAGAGCTAATCCCACTACTCACTGCTGTAAACAAAGCAAATTCTTGTTCTAAATTATGACTGGTCAATAGTCCGATTAACAACCAATAGCTTACTGCGTAACAATACCAAACAAAGCTCCAAATTGGACCAAATATGTTTACATAACGTTACGTCATGACGCACGATTTTATTATGCCCAATTAACCAGTGCATAGCAGAATATTGCAGAAAAACTAATTGTGTGACAAACAAGGCTATCAACTGTCAACACGATTTTTACTCCTTGGATATTATGTAAACAATATTGTTTTGAGACGAACAACACTTTCACCGTTTTTAATACCTTAAATCACTGTCCAAAGTTTTAGGGAAGACCCCTGATTAAATGAAGGGCTGTCATGTTGCTGTGTTTTTGGATAGATTTGATTGAACGGGAAGAATAGACACACTCCCCCAAAAGTGCAAGTATTAGAAGCTAATTCAGCAATGGCCAGAGAGGGATTTCTCGGGCCATTGCTTCAGGAATATGGATTTAACAGAAATCTGTTTTTTACTAGTTGTACTTTTAAGTTTTGGCTAATTGCTGTGCAGAGGGATTGGGTCACTGGGTTGGCATGGAATGGCCGAATAGTTTTCCGCTTGAGCTTTAGATCATAATGTCTGTCATTGAGTCAGGTGATGTGGTTAGGATTCACCGCTTGTACTTGACAAGGAGTAGGGTCGCCTGATCAACCTCGTGTGTTTTCTCCGGGTGCCCTGGTTTCCTCAAAGACCCCTTTGGACAATTATTGAAATAAGATTGAACTGTATGCATGTTAGTCCCGTAATGACCTAGTTTGTGTCAAGTAGAAGTTAAACCCTCTAAATAACAAGGAAAAAAAAAAAATAATAAACAAAGTATGGAGACCATATAGAAAACTGAAATATTCTGATTTTTATCTGAGAATTACATCTGTATTACAGGCATATGAGTTGGCCTCTCTGACAGGTCATTCAGACAGGGTCATCTCTGTGGCAGCAGATAGAACAGGAAACGTATGTACATCATCTCTAGATAAATCAGTTCGACTCTGGTCACCCAAATTGAGTGAGGACATTCCAGTCGGACGCCATGACAGTGACATCACCTTTACAGTAGCATCAATTGATAAGAAAATGGTTCTGACTGGTAGTAGGTAAGTTATAGTTCGATTCTCTACTTCATGTTTTTTGGTGTAAACTGTTGTGTGTCAATTACACTGTAACCCAGGTATCATTTAATCTTGTGTATCAGCACTAATTTCTTTCACATTCATTTTATATCAAATCTTTGTTTAAAAATTCGTAAAAATCGTTTAAAATAACTAAAAATCATCTAATTTGTATGTGTGTCTAGTTTAAAGCTGACTGATTAATTTTGATAATGAGTGTCCAATTTACAAGTATTTAATTTCCTGACCACTGTTCAAAAATTAATCATTATACATCATTAATCAATTGGGTTGTTTATTTTTTAACAGTGATTGAGAAATTAAACACTTGTAAATTGGACACTCATTATCAAAATTGAATGGTCAGCTTTAAAGTGATTTTTGGGGATTTAAACGATTTTTACGAATTTTTAAACAAAGATTTGATATGAAATGAATGTGAAAGAAATTAGTGCTAGATACACAAGATTAAATGATACCCGGGTTACAGTGATTAGTGATGGTACAAAATCTGCATTTACACATTAGATGTGCATTGAAAACTTTAACAATCAAGATTTAGCATGCTTTATCAAAAAATATTAAAGTGGAGAAAAACTGCCATTTTGAACTCTTAATAAAACTGTGAGTCATGGTGGCTCAGTGCGTAGGACGTTGGCTCGCTAACCTGGAGGCCCCAGCGTTGGCCAAGATACTAAAAATAGTTCATAAGGATTTTCTGGCGTGGTTCCCCTTTGTTAGTGGTTTAGGACGGAGGGCCTGGCAAGGGACAACGCATAGTTGATCGGATCGGACAATAGACTGAGGTCCCATGTACCCATGGTGTGTACGTAAAAGAACCCTTGACAGAATGGACTGTAGGGTCACTGTCTGAGCAAAATTTCCCTCATAGCGCACTACATGGCATATTCCCGTCTTTATTAGCCCAGTGGGAGCAGAACAAAATGAAAATGTAAAATATGAGGTGACATTATACACATGTGAAACCAATATTCGGTGAAAAATGACCATTGGTCTTAATGTGAACTTGGCGTACGATTCATGTAACAGGTCCCTGTGTTAAAAATGATGTTTTTATTATTACAGAGATGGCTGTGTTAAAATATGGAGAAGTGATAATTACGATGAGATGAAATGTTGTTATAGTTTTCAGGTATAATGTATGACTAATCTGTTTATAATAACGGCATGAATTTGTGGTTGTAGGAGGGTGGTGTGTTGAGGGATGTTGGCATGGTCATGGGTGTGTGTTGGGGGAGTTGGCATGTTCATGGGTGTGTGTTGGGGGAGGGTCAAGGTCATGGGTGTGTGTTGGGGAAGGGGGCAAGGTCTGAGGCGTGTGTTGAGGAAGTGGGGCAAGATCTGTGGCGTGGGTTGGGGGAGGGAGCAAGGTTATGGGTGTGTGTTGGGGGAGGGGCAAGGTCATGGGCGTGTTGAGGAATTTTAGCATGGTCATGGGTGTGTGTTGAGGGAGGGGGCAAGGTCATGGGTGTGTGTTGGGGGAGGGGGCAAGGTCATTGGCGTGTGTTTGTTGAGAAAGGGTGCAGATTTAAAGGTAGGGAGAGGTCGGAGGACCAATACCCCAACCCTCCCATGGTACCAATTTACGGCCCCCATGAGACAAAGTAAGGTTCACAAAAAAAAACCTAAATAAAATCAATAACAATCATAATATGAAATGAACTTTGTGTCAACTTAAATAAGACTGCTTTCCGGTAAGATAACGATATAGGCAATATTGTCTATATTCTACCTGGGCGCTTAGTGTTGTAGCCAGAAGTGGGTGAGATTGTTTATATGACACCCTAAATTTGGAACCGCTCTCCCTATTCACAGCTTCTAGATTCGCTGCTGTGCAGGATCATTTGTGTGTGTGTTGGAGTGGGGGCTGTCATCAGGGTCAAGTAGCGTTTTTTAGCAGTGGGAGTAAATTTTAGCAAGAAACCTCCATGGTTATGCAGGTGACTCTGCTCCTTGTTTTTCACAAACCCAGGATCAAGCCCTCCAAACTGAACTCATTGACAGACCTTATGATCAAAAGCACCCCAAATGAGACTACTCATGATCACCCCCCGCACCCCTCAATAGAATATAAAATATAAAATATAGCCATGGTCTTTAGAATAAGCTGAACTGATTTTCTTGCTTGTTAATTGTGTAGACTGACGAAATGTTTCTGGACATGCAGATCATGCAATCTATAAATACAAATGATATTAGAACATTTATACAGAGTCATTTGTCAAGCAATTATAAAGAATTTGATATATAATATATGGATGGTTTTTATTATTTAATAAATTATTGTAATTGTAGGCTGACGAGACGAGTGTAAATGCGGCCTGTTTCATCAATAAAGCTGGTACTAAATTTGTCACCACAGACAACCGTAATAACATAGCCGTGTGGGATATAACAGAAAAAGATGGAGTCACACTTGTGACGTAAGTTTATCTTTTCAACTTTATACTTATATAATACAAATTTCTTTTGATATCGTATTTGTCCTAGCTGATATTAGAGACCTTAGGTATCGATATGAAAAAGAACTCAAAAACTGTGTGGAGTATAGAGAATCTTCTGCTAGTAGTAATATATAATTAGACCATATATTTGATTATCTGAATAGATATATGTCATAAGGCAACACAAATAAACTAAGTTGTTTCTCAGGCACCGCACGTATGCAAAATTGGTTGCGCTTTCAACCTTTTTATTGGTCTTGATAAAAAAAAAAATATGTAACACCCGCTCGAACATTGATTTGACTGCTATTGCATTTTCGAATACTAACCATTGTAGCTTAAATCAGTTATTTATTCAGGAATATTCTTGACGTGAACTTAAAGATGGAAAATTATTTTCCTTTCAGTCAGTATTCAGTGCTTGAATAGACTTGATTTTTGGGTTTATCTTCTATGTATGTACAATAAATGAAAGCAAAACAGAAGACAAGTGATGACTTTCTGTAATGTTCTCATCAAAAAAAAAGAAAAAAAAATGTTATGAAACCGTGTATTTATGTTATTTCAGATTAAACCATATATTTGTCAGTGAAACTTTGATACTGTCCGTGACTTGGGGTCAACATCAACCGGAGCTATTGCGATCCGTTTTCTGGACATTAGATTGGAAAGGATCTTTGTGTGGCTGGAATCTTAACACCAAAAAATGTCAATTTAAAAAGTAAGTATCAAAGGTTGTTGACGTAAGGATCAAAGTATTATCCTAAACTAATTTTCCCTTTGGGGGCGGGGGGGAGGGGGGGTGGTCCAACCATCTAACACATGCACTTTAGATCATAAGGTCTGTTAGAAAGAACATAAGTGGCATTATTTCGAACTCAAGCTTGTGTGAAACAAACAATTAGTAGGGACGTCTGCCAACAATTCTGGTAGGTTTATCAGGGTCCTCCATCCCATTGCTAAAGACCCCTACGCTGAAGCGAATTTGTAATAAAATTGAATCATGTTAGTCCTGAAATGTTTGATCGAGTGGCTGTTAAACCTCATTTCCACCCCCCTCTCTCTCTCTCTCTCTCTCTCTCTCTCTTTCTCAATCACTGACAGGTTTATTTGATATTTCAGACGACTAGACGAGAACATTCAACCATTTGGTACACTTTATAAAGTCAAGTTTGCTGGCAACTCTGCCGATATCTTGGTTACAACAACACGTGAAGTATTTGGATTTATAAATTATAAAGAATTAGTTGCAACAGAATATGATATACAAGTAAGTACTCTAACAAACTTAATCTCCATTGTTGTATGGTGCCAAGGTGACTCAGTATATAAGGCATTGTCTTTGTAATCGAGAGTTCCAGAGTTTGATCCCCGGGTTGGCAGAGACAGTTCCTCACAATCTTTGATCCCAGAGATAGTTTACCCTTCATTTATCTCTAGTAAAACTTGCCGGCCATTTTGAATGTCACATGATATATCCTTCCGTCGATCGCTTCACAAAGATCCAAGATGGCAGCTTAAACTTGCGTTTCTTCAGAAATTTCACATATTAGCCGAATCACTCACATTGTGCGCTAAAAATAGTTCTGGTTAAATCATCAAATTGGCTATTTTCGAATGAACTTTTGATGTCAAGATGTGGAAAATGTTCCATGGATCATTAATATGTAACTCATGCAACAAACCGATGCCAAATTGTCAAGACATTGGCAGCGCAGCATTTTATTCTAACAAATCCTGCCAATCTGTAGCCACAGGGGGTGGAGCTTAACAACTGAATCTCGCACTGATTAATGTCTGGCGAGTTTTACCACAGATAAACAAAGGGTAAAATTATCTCTGGGATTGAGATTGAGTTCCTTGTGTGGTTTCCCCCTTGCATAATTGTCAGTGGAACAAGAAAGAACATTGTCTAAATTCGTTTGGATGGGTTGTATAATCAAGAACCAGTGACAGTTGATTTGATGAAGGGAGCCCCGATGACTCAGTGAGTAAGATGCTGGCTCGTTAGCTTGGAGATAATGGTATTGCTCCCAGTGTTGGCCAAGAAAGTTCAGGATTTCCTGGCGTGGTTTCCCCTTGTAATTGGTGCAGGATGGAGGGCCTGACAAGGACAGCTGTCTAGTTGTTCGGATGGGACAAAAAACTGAGGTCCCATGTACACATTGGCGTGTACGTAAAAGATCCCTTGGCACTTGAAATTCGATATAAGAGTAGACTGTAGTGCCGCTGTTCCGGGCAAAATTTACCTCATAGCACACCACTGTATGACATATTCCCATCTTCATTAGCCCAGTCGGAGCAGAACAGTGAGTGTTAAACCGCATTTCATTTTTCTCATAGCACCCTGTGTCTACGTAAACCTGTCTTTATTAAACCGGTTGGTGCAGAAAAGTAGGATCTTATACTCAATTTCATTTCATTTGTCTCAAAATGGCTAATGTTTTGAGTTGACGAGACAAATAATGCTGTATAGTTAATTAATTTTAGTTCTAGTTCTTTCTATGCATGCTCGGAGCAGAACAGTAGGCTACATTTCATTTTGTTTCATTTCTTGATAGGCTCTTGATTTGAGTTATAAGTCGGTACTAGAAGACGACGAGGATGACGACGAAGAGTCAGATGAAGACGATACACCCGTTGCTAAACGTGAGAGGACCTGGATCCTAGACATGGCACAAGACACTTATCACTGTTACTATGGCGATTCCAAGGGGCAGTTAACTCTGTACAAAGTTGAGGAGGATACTGTATTCACAATGAAGGTAGGTTCAGTCAAGGAGGTAAAAGACTTTATTTTTTTGAGATGAAAAACTATCCACAATTATCAACAATAATAGAGCCAATATGCTCCAATATAAGGAATATCTGATTTAGAAGTTCTGAAACCATGGTTACTATATGGTGGTACAAAGCATTACCCAGTTTATAGCTGCTTTATCATGACATTTTTTAGATAATTTCATACAATGTTTTTACAACCACTAAACATACATTATGCAAGAGCTAAATCTGCCTATTAGTGGTCTTTCTTTAGGCCTGAAATGTTATATAAATTATTAATTAGACTTAAATTAACTTATCAAGACCATAATCTAGACCATGATGCCATCTCTAGCCTGCAATATTTAGCAGATGGGAATACATTTTGTGAAATATAATTAAACGTAAAATTATCATACCAACTTTAGTAATGATGATCGAGACTAGCCTAAAATTCAAAAGTTAATATCTCGGTTCAGAGTGGAGTAGCTTGACTGAAATTATCTATTTTTCAACTATTATAGTGGGAACTGTCAACTCTGATCTAATCTCCCATAATTCCCCTTTAATAATAAAATTAGAAACAATTATAAATTCCTGGGCGAATACATGAAATAAATGAGAACGGTTTCAGCTGTGACCAACTTATTCCAATATTGATAAAACTAAGTATTAATGTTAAATGTTTTGATAATGAAACCTCTGCAAAACATTTATGGAATTTTCTCTCTTGTGTGTTTTGATTGGTAAGTTCACCTGAAATCGACTAATCACAATCTGACTTATATATCCACATTTGACCATGGTTATTATCTATTTTCAGGTCCACAGTGCTGCTATCAACTGTGTTGTTAGAACTCCTAACTATTTATTTACTGGTTCAGCTGATTGTACTATTAAAGTTTGGGATTTAAAAGCCATACAGAATTGGGAATTAGATAATGCTCAGGTAAGATTGATAGAGACCGTCCCAATCCCAATCGTGTCAGCCCCATTAATATAATGAAACAGAGTTGGGTTTGATGCCTCGTTAAGATATTACTTTGGTAATTTTGAGACTAACATATGCAATATATATTTCTGTAGTTTTAGGGGCAATGCACATTTCACCTAATAATCTTCATGGATTTCCAACTTCCAATGGCTCTTTTAACTGCACACAAATCTGTACATGATCGTTTCCTTGGTTTTCCGTACCATCTGAACAACTAGTTAACTCCTGTCTGTGTGGGGATCACGTGGCTAAGTGGGTAAGACGCTGGCTCGCTAGCCTGGAGGTCGGGTGTTCGATTCCTGCATCGGCCGAGAAAGTTCATTCAGATTTTCCGGCGTGGTTTCCCCTGTCAGTGATGCAGGACGGAGGGCCTGACAAGGACAGCTGTCTAGTTGTTCGGATGGGACGAAAAACCGAGGTCCTGTGTACACATTGGCCTACACGTAAAAGATCCCTTGGCAGTTGGAATTCGATATAAGAGTAGGCTGTAGCGCAGCTGCCCGGGCAAAATTTCCCTCATAGAACACTGTATGGCATATGCCAGTCTTCATTAGCCCAGGTTAGGAGCAGAACAGTAGGACGTTAAACCCCATTTCATTTCATTTCATTTCATTTCCTGTCTGTGTTGGTGCCGAAAGGACTGACAATGATTGTGTGCATTGGTCGATTTCCAACTTTCAAGGGTTCTTTGACATGCACACCTCTCTGTACATGATCGTACATCTGATTTCCATTCCTTCATCACAACTAGATGACATTGATATTGGTGCCTGCAGGGCTAACGATGAAAGTGTGCCTAGTCTATTTGTGCACATCATACCTTGCAATTGCACACATAACTATAAATGTAAAAGTTACTATATGTTGACTGATGTATTGTATATTGAAGAGACATTAAACTACATTCCATGCACAGGTCATGCAAGAAAGGTATAATCACCTTCCCAACTCGTGAATTTTTGTCTGAGATTTTGAAATAAAGATATACAATGTTATTCCTAATTTGGATCCACAGGGGCTTACTAACCAGAACGTCCCAGGTTCAGTCCCGATGTTGACTGAGAGAGCTCCCTAGGATTTTTATATGTTATTTACCCTCGTCGTAGGACAAGGAACAGTGTCTAGTTGTTCAGATGGTATAAAAAAACTATGTCCTGTGTACACATAAAAGAATCTTTGACTGTTGGATAAAGAGTAGATGGAAATGCCACTGTCCAGGTTTCATTAGCCCAGTTGGTGCGAAGAGTAGGATGTTAAACCCCTTTTAATTTTATGTCATCTCTGTCTCTCACTATATCTATCTGTCTGTCTCTTTCATATATATCCAATTGACTTAATATATATGTTAAAGTAGATAAAATACAAGTACTTCTTTGTTTACAGTAGATAATTAAATGCATAAACAAATAAAAAAATACGTCCAGGTAAAAATTTCTCCACTTTACTTCATTCTGACTAAATCATATAAGCTAGCTGTCTGCCCTCTATAGGCGTCTTAAGATATTAATAATGTATATTGAAATACCATACATAGATATATATATATACATATGTATTTTCAGGTTGGACAATTTTTCTGTACGTCTCCTGTATTAACGTTAATAGAAATCAAGAACACAAACTCTGCTGAAGTTAAATTAATGTCCGGTGATCAGCTAGGTAACATTACTATGCTGACATGGGTGTCTGGATAAATGAAGACTACTGTGGAATATGGTGGATAACAATATTATATACCCTATGTAATCCAAACATTTGAGACGACTGGATAGACCACCTTGAAAACATTTCAGATTTCAGGCATACAATGTAGATGTTAATATTTGACTACATCTAATATGATAATATAAAAACAAATGTTGATTATATTCTTGCCATGTAGGGGACATTAACTTTAAATTAATGTATGGTTATTTTCTATTCCTTTTGAACATTTTTTTCTCTCACCTGATTAATGTGTAAAACTGTGCCATTACTCTTGAGAAGATGATCGAAAAATTAATTAAAACAAATTTTGTTTGTTTCTGCTATCAATAAATATGTTATAGAGTAACATTTTAGGCCTAAAGAAAGACCTGCAATAGGCAGATTTACATCTTGCATAACTTGCATAATGTATGTTTAATGTTGTTGTGTAAATAATTATAACTGTTTTGTTAATTTATTTTTATTGACTGTGATCTACATATGTAAATGGAATGTTTTCTATCACAAATGTAACTTGTTTTATAATAAAAAATAAAAATATAAAAAAAATATATGTAAATATTGTAGATATACGTACTTACTACTTAATCTTTCTAGAACAGGTGATACCACTTCCAGTGTAGGAATTTCATCTAATTAAGTAAGATTAAAAGAAGTTAACCCTTGTTAGAAGAAATGCTAATTTGCTGTAATTTATAACAATATTGTGAATATAGTTTCTGCCAGAAGATTTTGTGAATTATGTAATTAGTTAGGTGACTGGAAAATCAAGATGATTGTATTATGTAATTGGTTAAATGTAACTGGAAAATCAAGATGATTATATTAATTATGTAATTAGGTACCAGTTGACAAAGGGTCATCATGGATCAAAAACACTATTTCTCCACATATTGTCCTGTTAACTTTGTTACTCAGGTATTGTTTTTATTTTGAATTATGTATTTAGTGTATATGACAAAACAAAAACCAAGATATAGATTAAATGTAGACCTGAATTATTGTTTAGTATTTAAAACAGTTTGTACAATAACCATTTCATAATTATTGTACAATAAGCTTATATTTGTCGACTTTATTATGAAATATTTAAGAGATTTTGTACAATAATCTTTTTTTTGTATTACAGTAAGGTTATATTATGAATTGTAGATATTTAATCGAATTTATATAATTAACCTTTTCATCATTTTTTGTGACAATCAGCTTATTTTGTAGACTTCATAATGAATTATTCTGTGTAAATATTTGAAAGATTGTAAAACTGCCATTTGTTTCGGGTGGGCAATTGTAATTTAACATTTTGTATTTATCATTTTGTAATTAACATGTATTTAATATGATTTGATATTATTTTTAAAATCAAGAAAGAACTTTGAATTTAATGAGAAGAAGTTCATTATCTTTTGGACATTAACAAAGTTATAACTAAAATATACCAGTAAATTTAATTGTTTAAGTGAATGTATTGTAGTCTAAGAGAGACACATCTAAAATAAGAATACAGATTTTTATCTAGCAGTATTTCACCGATATATTATAAGCCTCTAATTCATGGCTGGTATAATAAATAGAAAAATCATAAAGGATAGGATAGGAAGAATTAAATAAAATAAACTAAACTATTAAAAGATTTCTGTCTTTGTATTCCAAGATATATGTTAAGGCTAAAAATATACACAATTTTAAGCCTCCTACGCAGAGAGCTGAAACAAGATAAGGTTTTGTTTTAAAGACGACAAGGAAGTATAATAGATAAATAGGTTTTAAGTTGAATTATATCCAAGACTATTATTTATATATTAGGGTAGGACAAGTTAATTGGGTAGAAAGGGTGTAACATGATTATTTAAATATACAGAATTATTTGTCTTTGAGTATTATTTTATTAAGGGAGGTAACTTTGTTTTAAAAGGGGTTGGGAGAAGAGGGGAGGGGATTACTGAGAGGGATTATTTTTTTTAAGGATAATGTTCAGGGGTTATTTTTATTTCGATATATAAAAAAAATTTCAAATCAATTGTATTTAATTTTTGGGATTTTGTCAAATTTTTGTGTATTTAAATCAATTGAACGAGTTGAGCCGAGTGGGCTGGGTTAGGCTCAGTGGGTTGGGCTGGGTTGGGGAGTGTATATGGTAGTGTGAATGTAGTGAATAAATATATTATTATTTAAGAAGACTGATTGTATGCATGAGTTGTTTTTGTCAGACTGGGTGTTCCATAAATATTCTTAGCTTTCTGTGTTTGATTTAGTCCCTGTCCTTTTATTTTATTTAATTTAAAGTATGGATTAAAATCTCTTTTTAATAAATCTGGGAAGGCTACTCGCCACTTTATAGTTTCATGTTTTAAATAAAATAGTTCTCTTCTCTAGCATTTCCAGGGAAATGCTTATTTGTGGGTTGGGAGTGGGGGAAGTAGGCCTAGTTATTATTTATTTTTTCCTAATACCACAAAGATTGATCAGTAGTTTATGGTCCACTTCCAATGTTGATTTGCACTAATCTCCTTGTCTTTTATTCATTGAAAGTGATTTAAAGAAAAATTTAATTAAAATTGTTTGTTTTGTTTTGTAGTGTTCACTTCTTTTAAATTTTCTATATTTATTTATGGAATATCCAGTTCCGGTTTGTCTTTTTTTATTTTTCATATGTAAAACATTTATGGAACACCCACTCCACCAATAGTTTTTATTAATGACTATTCTATACAGTGTGTTTAAACACCAGTATAGAATTCAGAGAGAGTCGCCATCTTCTATTTAGGAAGCTTTGTTTCACTCTGACAGTCCTTGTTTTTGTTTGTTTTTTTTCTATCTATGAATAAATTTATATTTATATAATTATAATGTCTTCTTTATTTTATTTCCCGCAAACCCTAAAAATGCCATTAAAAATAATGAATCTGGTGAAACAAAAATAATTGTCTACTTACACATGGTGAATGAATGAAATGGGGTTTAATGGCCTACTTTTCTGCACCTACTTGACTAATGAAGACAAGCATATTATTATGCCATAATGTGTGCTACGAGGAAAATTGAATTCCAGCTATCAATGGTTCTTTTACGTGCACGCCAATTTGAACCTTGATTTTTTGTTCCATTTAAATGACTAGACTCACCAGACGTTCCTAAATTCTTGCCAGGCCCTCGTACTGCTCCCCGAAGAGGAGAACCCATGCCATATAATTGTGGTAAAAGATAGTCTGTTTTCCCATCATTACATGTTTTGGGTTCGATTCCATGTTTGAACCAGACAAAGATTAAAATTTTGAAGGGAGTTATTATGTCATTTTATGACATTTATGTCTTTTTAAGACTTAACATTTGATTATTTCATTTTTGTGGTTATGTAAGTCAATGCAAGTCATTTTAATTATCGTGCTAAATTTACAGATAAATTGCCAGAAAAGGTTAGTTGGGGATTACTAGCTAGAGAGGTGTATATTTTCAACTCTATGATTTTAACACAGGCACTTGAAGGGATTAAAATAAAACTTCTTACGCAAACAAATTATTAAAATAAAATTTAACCCTATGTTAGTCCCGGAATGACGTAGTTTGTGTCGAGTTAACGTTAAACCCCATTTCTCTCTTAATACATTAACCAAACATTCGGCCCATTGGTCCATGCAATAAAACTGGAGATTCCCGATTAAGAGAAAAAAAAAAGAGTTGCTTCCCCTATATAGTTGCGGAACGTAAACAAACATGGCTTCCCGACTTCAATTTTTAGGCCTGCCTCCAGAACTTTTAATGAAAATAGTGAGTTACCTGCCAGCTAGAGATGTTTCCAGTGTTTGCCAATCGTGTAAGAAACTTCTTCAACTAGCAGATCAAGAATTAGTTTGGCAAAATTTAATTAAAGCAGGTAAAACGATCGACTATCCAAATTCTTATTATTGATTAGCCTTGTTTGACATTTTGTATCATTTCTGTTTCACTGTAGGCCTATTGCTTGTCAAAATCTGTCCACCATTCAGATATATCCTACCGGATATTATATGGACGTACCGCAAGCTTATGTAAGATAGAGGACAAATGGACTCAGACTGCCAAAAGTATGATAAGTCAATGCAGTACCGGTAATAATAACAGCTTCATCATGCATTAATAATAGCTTCATGCAGTAATAATAACAGAACTAGTAATTTGAAGTCGAAAGCATATTCTTATGCACCCACGGCAAAACGGTAATATATAGATTTGATTGGTGCTAGTATGGGACTCCATTGGAAATAGTCCTGCATATCCTTATAGGACTGACCGTCTGACGAGCATCTGTATCAAAATCACAACAGGTTGCGGTTGGAATAAGATATAATCTTAGTGGACATCGCAGTGGATATAGGACCGGATCTGGAAAAACGATTAATCAGAAGTCAAGACTGCTTCTTTAGTTTAGTTTATGCGAGTAAGGAACCAGTTCTGAGTTTAATATAATCACTTCGGTCTTTATATAGCTTCTGTTTAACTTAAGTTAATTTTGTATTTCAGAGTTTAACATCAGAAATCAACTGAGTAATTATCATGGTTCATATAAAGATGTCTATACAAAAAGTAAGTTTACACATGGAGGTAGAATGATTTACTAACAGGTTTATATTTTATAATTAATTGAAAGGGAATTTTGTCACTGTATTCATATATAGTGTACATGTAAAGCAATTATGTGTTTCATCCCACAATAGCAAAATTGTACTTGGTGAGGAATACAGGCAATAAGGTAGAGTCCAAGCATATCGGGACCAAAACTTTGTGCAGGATTCGCAAAGTCAGCAACTATTAATTGCTTGTATCTTGTGTGCTAATATCGCTACGATTTCTAGAGCCCAGTAATCGGGGGTGGAGGATGGAGGACATGGCAAGGTAAAGCACCCAGTCATTTGGATTGAACAAAAAAACTAAATTTCCGATGTATTGGCAGACAGTTTGAAATCAAATAAGTGTAGTAAATGTACATGTATGCCCGTCTCTTTAAGACAGCTTGGGACACAAAAGTAGAATGTTAAAAAACACTATTTCATATCACATCACAAAATAATTAACCTACCGGTAATATGTATGTCCATATAAATGATTATTTCTATATTTTTCAGTTCTATATGAATATAAGAATATGTTGGGATTATGGCAGCCTGAAATGGGTTCTTATGGTGGTCTGTTACACATAAAGGTACAATTTTACAATATGTCATGTAGAGTGAGTAGACCAGATAATGTTTAAATTCACTACAGGGATCAATAGTGAGAGTAACACACAACAATGTTTACCTTTTATGTGAACGTATATTGTCATCAATCCTCTCTGTCCATCCTTACATTCACAAATTTTTCATCCAAGTTTAATGAACCTTTGTAAGTTTGTTGCCTTGTATCTGTGAGATCTTGGAAGAGCTACAGTTTGGGGGCTGGCTCTATTAATGATGGCACCAATCAGTCCTTGTTTAAAAGGTACATATGGTTACAAAATACTAAAATGGCATAAGATGTGATTCCAAGCAGTCTGTATATTTGCATTGTTTTTGTATAGTGTAGCTTGTCCATAAAAATGCTCAAGGCGCTTGGAGATGGTATATGAAGCTTATCAATGTCACAATGTTCTGTTGTAGTATAAGTCGAAAAGAAAATGTTTTCAGTTTTGACTTAAAAGTTCCGAGACTATCACATCACCTTATATCAATATCTGTTGCATTCTTTAATTTATGATTTTGATTTATTGTCAGATCTGGGAATAGAGTTTAACTTGTACCTGTCAAAATGTCAGACACAATGAGCTGGCACCCGACATTTTGAATCTTGTTACTTGTATTAATCATAATGTCAGTAAAATGCCAGAAAAAATAAAATGCAAATATTTTCCAGACAAATTGACAAGGCACCAGAGAGGTAATGCCTTACAAAGAGTGGATTTGTGCCTGACAATGTCAGTGATATGGATGCCTTATTTCCGAGCTTGGTTGAATTCCACTTCTCATTTGATGTGGAAAATGACAAATTTTATAGTATTTTGGTTTGTATTTTGGAGAAAAGATATATATTTTATTTTTTTAGTTAAGAGAAGGAAAGTTGATAGGTGAAGAATGTTTCGCACCAATAGATCCTGACGTTTACCAGAATTTACGAATTAAAAGATTGTTTTCCATTCAGCTATCGGGTGATTTATCGTGTGTTGATGTTTTATGTTATCGTGGTTTCGCTGGTCCACATCCGAGTCACATAGAATATGTAAGTTTCAAATATGTTTTGGGGGTTGAGTGGTTAACACGTGTGCGTTGCAACGTAAGGTCTGTCATTGAGTCAAGTGGCATGGTTTCGATTCACCGCTTGTGCGTGACAAAAAGTAGGGTCGCATGTCCAACCTCATGGGTTTTCTCCAGGTTCCTCGGTTTCCTCACCCTACTAAATACCCCTACGCAAAAGCAAATTAATGAAATAAAATTGATCCATGTTAGTCCCGAAATGACCTAGTTTGTGTCGAGTGGACGTTAAACCCCATCTCTCTCTCTCTCTCTCTCTCTCTCTCTCTCTCTCTCTCTCTCTTGCTATTTTTTACCCTTCTTGTTAGAGTCAGTCCTAAACAGTTTGATATTTAGTTCTTCAGAGTCATGATGTTTTATTGAAAACTTCAATATAACACCATGACTGGGAATTGGGCAAGAAGAATGCTGATGGGTCTAATTATCAAATTTTCATCTCCTGGCAATCTACTTTTGATAATTTAAAAGATATATAATTTTATTTAAAATCTACTTTTGATAAATTTAAAGATATATAATTTTATTTTAAATAATGTGTATTATCGATGTTAAATATGTATTATAGATAATTGTAAAATACTTATTTTATATTTTATTAGACAGAGTCTGGTAATGTAAAGTTTCGCTGCTCAGATTCAGATAGTCACAAACATCCAGAGGGCAAACAAAGTGTAAGTTATAACAAATATACTATTCAAAAAAAGTAGGGGATATTTGATTTTTAAGTGTTATTAAAGTCACCTAATGAAACTGACGAAGAAACAAATGACAAAATGAAATGAAGTTCACATTCATCGATTTATTCCAAATGATCGTTAGACTAAGTAAGGCACAGACTGACCATTATAAGGGTAAAATGATACCCGGGGTCAAACAGCAAAGTTACCACAGCATCACAACCAAGTCAGTAACGGGTAAATCCTCCTCTGTTTGCCAAACAAGCATTGATCCGACGTGGCATACTCCTAATGAGACGTCTAAGGTCATTTTGGTCCAGATTGACCCATTCCTGTTGCAACGCAGCAGCAAGTTCTTGGACATTGGCAGGACGTTGTTGACGTTGACGTAACCTCTGTCCAAGCATGTCCCAGACATGCTCGATGGGGGAGAGGTCGGGACTCAGTGCTGGCCAAGGTAATGTGGTGATGTTCTGTTGTTGGAGGTAACCTGTAACGATCCTGGCCCTGTGACATCTTGCGTTGTCATCCTGGAAGATGAAACGGCGGCCATGACGTCGTGCGAACGGCACAACATGGACTGCCAAGATGTTGTCCCGGTAGTACTGGCCTGTAACACGCCCTGCAACAACATGTAAAGCCGTTCTTCCAGCAACAGTGATGCCTCCCCACACCATAACAGAACCACCCCCAAATCGATCATGTCTGATGACGTTAACGTCTTGGAAGCGCTCGTTTCGACGACGCCACACCCTCCTACGTCTGTCCAAAAAATCAACAGTGAACCTTGACTCATCTGAAAACATCACATTGCTCCAGCGTCGATTATCCCAGTGTTGACGATCCCTACACCAACGACGTCTTGCCTGAATGTGATGATCTCTCAAACAAGGGATCACGCGAGGACGTCGGGCGCGAAGGTGACCCCTATGCAGTCGATTCCGAATCGTCTGGCCACTCACTCTCACACCAGTGTCTGTTTGAAGACGAGCGCTGATCTGATTTGCTGTGATGACACGATTTCTCAAGGCCAAGGTACGGATAAATCGATCCTGGGCTTGAGTTGTCGCCCTTGGTCGACCTGAGCGTGGTCTGTCCTGTACAGATTGTGTATCACGGTATCTGGACCATAGCCTGCTTATGACAGACTGAGAAACATTCATCGTCCGCGCCACAACCGCCTGTGTTGTGCCGATCTGTAGCATGCCAAGGGCACGTAACCTTTCATTTTGGGTAAGCCGACGCATATCAAAATTTGTTTTCTGGTCGCTAAAACAATTAAACTGATATTTCCACCCTGGAATTCAATGCCACAATGACTGTAACATTCAAAGTCAGAGTCGTGCAAATCTTGGGTTGGACCCCCATGATGATCCCAAGCATCACCTGCATTCCATGCGGTAGCTATTGGTGCGTTTGGGCGTCACATGTAACTGGAAATGTTTCTTCTGTTAGGTTCTATAGTGACTTTTTTCGTAGTCATTTGCATATTTTAGTATTATGCCCCCAAAATCAAATATCCCCTACTTTTTTTGAATAGTATAGTATTTTTTTACTCAGCTTTCTTGAAAAGATATGTGGAAAATTAATAAAATGGGTGTGGTTTTCCCCTGGTCATTGGTGCATTATGGAGGAACTGTGAAGAAACTGCATCTAGTCGTTGAGGTGGGACAAGAAACCAAGGTCTTGTGCACTTGTGACGTCACGTGTTGATGACATTATTGACAGTCATCTTTAACAGAGATATTAGAAGACTTTCATAATCCTCTGTAATTGGGTTGGAGTTTGAAATAAACTATATACCCCAATCCGTTTTGTTTCCAAAATATACAAATGGTAATCAGTAGCATTAACTAAAATGGCCAACTAGTGCATAGAGTTCAGATTCTGATTTCAACGAACAACTTCTTTGCAGAATATTATTTAAAAGACATATTCAAATTTAAAAAAAAATTATTCCAGGAGTTTGAAAGTTGGCTTGTAGAAGAAACTGGACAACGACCAAGTGAATTCTTTGTTCATGGACAGGAATTATTATTGATGAAGTTTTTAGTTACAACACAATTGGGGTAAATAACATTATTTGGCTTAAAACTAAAATCAAGGAATTCAAAACTCACATGAAACAGCTAATATATGAGAGAGATTTCCTTTCGACGTCTCTCTCAGAGTAAACCAAAAATTTCTGGACTTATTTGTTTTTCTTATCTGTCAAATGAAGTTCCGTCCATCCATCCCATTGTTTAAGATATTGTTTATGAAACTTTGTACACATAAACCAATTATAGTTTTTTTGCCTTTGGCTCATTTGACTTAGCTTTATATACAAATTTTTATTTTGTGTCATAAACCTTTCAAGATAATCTTTGTGTAGAAATATATACACATCAGACTATTATACTACTTGTGCCTTTAACATCTGTTGTATTTCCATGGAAACAAATTTCACCTAGATTTTAGTGTGAAAGGAAATGGAAAGAAATGGGGTTTAACTTCTTAGTGTTTTGCTCCAAATGGGCTAATGAAGACAGGCATACCCTTATGATGGAAATTTTGTCTTGACATATTTCATATTTTAACTGTTTGTATTTTAGATGTACATATGATTTGACCAGAGTTCACCTGCCTCCACCTGAAGTTGACGTAGTTATTCAACCTGGTTTATTTAAAGGTAATTATGGTGGTCATGGTATAGAACTCATCATGTTAGAATATCTACCCAATAAAACAGAAGCCCACGGCAAGAAAATTACAGTAAGCAAATACTTTTTAAATCCACATTTTTTAAAATTATGTGATCTTCAATAAAACAGAGAGAGAGTGGAAGGAAACCAGAGGACCCGGAGAAAACCCACGAGGTTGGACAGGCAAACAACTCCTTGTCATATACAACCAGGCAGGGAATCGAAACCACGCCAGTTTACTCAATGACAGCTTTTATGATACAGCTCGCACACCCTAACCATTCAGTCATCCAACGCTCCATTCAAAAAAACAGTTCTCCAAAGAACTAAAATATGAAAAAATTTGACACAGACAATTAATAAAACTATCTCAGTACGTTATGTGTTATGACCTGGTGTGGCTGATTGAGTAAGAAGTTGGCTCGTTAACCTTGGAGGTCCTGTGTTTTATCCCAGTGTTGGTCGAGAAAGTTCATCGGAATTTTCCAGGTTGGTTCCCCCTTGTCAGTGTTGTTGGACAGAGGGCTGGCAAGGGACAATGTATAGTCAATCGGATGGGATACAAAACAGAGGTCCTATGTTCACATTGGTGTGCATGTAATTAAAAGAAACCTTGAAAGTTGGAATTTGAAATAAGAGTATGTAAGCAAAATTTCTTCATAGCACACTGCATACCATATGCCGATCTTCATTATCCCAGTCGGTGCAGAAAAGTAGGACGTTAAATCCCATTTGTTTCATGACCAGGAGTGTCCAGAATTTGTCAGCAGCAGTTGGGGGAAGCGAGGATGGAAATAGTGAATCTATTCCTTATTATAATTTAATGGCTTTCATCAAGCTCTGGGGGTAACTTCATTTCATTACCCCGATCTCTGGACCTAGAATGTACTTACATAAAAATTATATATATTCTCGTAAGTTAAATAAAAGTTATATTTGTTTTCTTAAGTTAATTAAAAGTTATATTTGTTTTCTTAAGTTAACTAAAAGTTTTATTTGTTTTCTTAAGTTAATTAAAAGTTTTATTTGTTGTTTTTTTTTACTTGAACTAATTTTATTTAATTTGTTTCCAGGGTGATCCAAATGTTCCAGCCAATAAAATTAGTTTATACATTGATCTGACTCGACCAATGGTATTATCGATAGAACAGCAACGAACGATTGACCTTTTACAACAGATAGATATACCCGACCTCCCGCCCGACACCTATCCCAATAATCTACAAAAACAGTCATTCCGTGTTCCTGATGATTGCTTCGAAAGATTTAATCGCACCCCAACATCTTGTATAGCCAGGTACAGGAAATAATAATTTAAACTAAAACTGTCTTTTCATTGGCTACAGGTTAAAGTCCTAGTCCAAATTTCAACTCTTAGCCAATAAAAACGCAGCAATCTGAATAAAATACAGATCGATATTTCGTTTCGTTTTCTTATACTTTCGATGGCCTCTACTACATGGAGATCTGACCGGTTGTAGTGGAAGGTGGCATCAGGGATCATACGAGTGATTTTTGACCCTATGACATCAGACACCTGATTAACCAATTAGCGTTGATGTTTCTAGTGGTTTACACACAGTTCCATGCATCTCACGCCAAAAACTTGCCATAACAGACCATTTCATTGGCTAATCCCTCACACCATCCAGAACACAGGTTATATATTAACTCTTCCAGATCCTGGTGTAGTGAATACAAGTGAAACAAAATTTTGAGCTATAAAAAATACGAAACGAAATAGGATTTGTGTTTTAATCAGATTGTAAAGTCAGCTTTCCTAAAAACTAAGGAAATGTAATTTGAATAATATAACGGTAAATGTTACATGTTAAAATTGTCTGTCATCGGTTCCTTGAAAAAAGGCATCGCCTGAGTCACAGAAGTAGTAAAACGGTCCTAAAATAGTTCACAGCTATTAGATTCTAGGACTATAATCAAAGACAGTATTCTCAAGACAGTTTGAATTTGAAATGAGAGAAGGCCATAGTGCCGCTGTCCAGGCAAAATTTCCTTTCATAGCACACTGTCTGGCGTATGTTCAGCTTCAATAACCCAGTCGGTACAAAACAGTAGGATGTTAAACCCCATTTCATTTCACGACAGCCTTATACTGTAACATTGTTTTTTTGGTTTTTTTCAGGTTCCATGCTAATGGGCAGATTGCAGGACATGACTACAGTAACCCGTCACAAACCCCAGGCCATTGGGTGGTTTTTAATGAGAATACCTTTGGTTTTCTGTGGCTGGAACTGAAATCATTTAGTCTTTATTCTAGAGTAACAGAGGAATTTGATTGATGATATATTTTATAATACATGTAGTTTATATTTTCACTTTTTTCAACTCACCATGGTTATTACATGGTCCATATTTGCCAGTAGATAATTATTTTCTTTTGTAAAATGAAGATTCCAGGGGAAGAATGATCTAAGTCACATTTTTGTCTTTTGGCATAAAAGGCAAAACAGACTTATGGACCTTGTGGGTTTAATTACAACTTAAAAATGATGTTTAATATGAATTATAATTACCAGTACAACAACTGACTTCCACTTTTCAGCTAAATTAAGGTCAAATAAATGGTATGATGGACTTATATTTGTCCTGGAGCCCATTTTAGAAGGGCCTTGGTTCGATGTGACTCTGATCGTTTTTACCTGAAATTGATTGTTCCACAGAAAGCTTATACATTTTGCTACCAGATGGCGCCATTAACTAGGGTTCGTTGAAAAAGTGACTTAGATCGTTCTTCCCCGGGGCTTTGCAAATGCTTTTTGATTTGAAGTGATTAGATTATGCAAAATTACGTCTTACATGTTCTAATTAGGCTGTTACCAAAATTTGATGCGAATCTGTGGGGTTGGATGGCCGAATGGTTAGCATGTGCTCGCTGTATCATAAGGTCTGTTATTGAGTTAACTGACGTGGTTTCGATTCCCCGGTTGTACGTGACAAGGAATAGGGTTGCCTGTCCAACCTCGTGAGTTTTCTCCAGGTCCTCTGGTTTCCTCCCACTACTAAAAGACGCCTACGTGCAAGCGAATTATTGAAATAAAACTAAACCATGTATTTGTCCCGAAATGACTTAGTTTGTGTCAAGTGCACGTTAAACCCCATTTCTCTCTCTCTCTCTTTGATGGAAATCTGCATTGATGTCGATATTTTGGGTGAAATGGGGTTTAATGTCTAAACTTTTCTGCACCAACTAGGCTTAGTAAGATTGTACTAAAAATTTGATGGGAATCTGCAAAGCCCCTGCTATGATCTCAACATTTCCAGATTGTACTCAGAATTTGATGTGAATCTACACTGATGTCAACATTTCAACTTATGACATTTAACCATTGCTTTATTTCACTATCGAATTGGGCATAAGCCAAGCAATTTGCCAGAAAGGGAAATTTTGCCTGAAAAGTTGTCTACTCTTCAACAGTCAAGGGGTCTTTTATGTGCTTGACACAATATAGCCTAGTTGGTGATGATGTGCCATAAAACTCAATTTCCTTCATTCGGTCATCCACACTGACAAGAGAAAACAGGATTGAAGACAATGGAATTGAACCTAAGACCTGTTTCCATTTTTCCAAACAATATTTTTTTGGCATTTCCCTTGTCTTGTTTCAATTATATTCACCGGCTTTAGAATGTTAAACATACATTATGCAAGAGGTAAATCTCCAAATTGCAGGGCTTTCTTTACGTCTGAAATGTTATCTAAATTATTAATTAGACATTAATTAACTTTTCCAGACCATAATCAACTCTCGATGGCATCGCTAGCCTGTGATATTTACTGGATTAGAACCCAGGCTACTGCTTCTGATTAAATCAAAAAATGGATAATCGAGATTATGTTTTTTATTGTACAGACTTAAGTAATGATGATCGTGGCTAGGCCCAAAATTCAATCACTAATACTCAGTTCAGGGTGGATCAATTTGACTGAAATTTTCAGCAAATTCCCTTTACATTATCTAGTTTTAACTATTATAGTGAAAACTACCAGCTCTTTATCTAATCTCACATAATGTATCTTTAAGTGTCAATCAATTTATATGCCACAAGATAAGAATATTTAAGATTATATTTTTAAAAATATTGTGATAATGCTAAAAAATGTTGTATTCTTTTGGTAATATATATCTTTTAATCACATTTAGCCTATGATTTAATTTTTCTGTTTAGAAAATAATATTTCAGTTAGAAATATGGTATGGGCTTGAATGATCTCGAAAGAAATATATCTTTGAGATCTAAAGTGTGCAATTGTATGAAAATTTCATTTTGTAAAATGTGTGAATGAAAAAAAAAACCCCACTGGACTGTTCAGATATTGATTGAATTAATATTTTGATATGCTTGGTTGCGATGGTGTTAATGGATGATTTGAAGTTGCTATGGTTATAGCTAAATGTATTGGTATTCTTGTGTTTATTAATTTTGTAATATAAAAAAAAATAATATTTTTCTAGCTTAAGACTGACAACTACCAGAGATACTGAAATAGGATCTCCATCACTAGATTTCTCCATCACTAGATTCTCCATCACTAGATTTCTCCATCACCTAGATTTCTCCATCACTAGATTCTCCATCACCTAGATTTCTCCATCACTAGATTCTCCATCACCTAGATTTCTCCATCACTAGATTCTCCATCACTAGATTTCTCCATCACTAGATTCTCCATCATCTAGTTTTCTCCATCACCATATTCTCCATCACTAGATTTTTCATACTTTATAATTAGTTACTATAGAAACCTGATTATATGATTCAGTTACTATAGAACAAGATTATAATGAGAAGTTTCTATAAAACTGGATTATATGATTTAGTTACTATAGAAACAGGATTGTATGATTTAGTTACTATAGAAACAGGATTGTATGATTTAGTTACTATAGAAACAGGATTGTATGATTTAGTTAATATAGAAACAGGATTGTATGATTTAGTTACTATAGAATCATGATGATATGATTTAGTTACTATAGAAACTGGATTATATGATTAATAACTATAGAAACATAGTTACTAATAGCAATAGGATGAATTGATTTAGTGACTAAGAATCATGAAAATTTAATTTAGAAACGTAATGATTTAATTTAGTTACTATAGAAACTGGATGGTATGATTTTGCTGCTATAGAAACATATGATTTGATTTAGTTACTATAGTAACAGGATGGTATGATTTAGTTACTGTAGTAACATAATGGTATGATTTAGTTACTATAGAAACTGGATGGTATGATCTAGTTACTATAGAAACTTGATGATTTGATTTAGTTATTATAGAAACATGATTATATGGCTTAGTTACTATTGAAACATGATTAAATGATTTAGTTACTATAGAAACATGATTTAGTTACTATAGAAAAATGATTATATGACTTAGTTACTATTGAAACATGATTATATGATTTAGTTACTATTGAAACAGGATTTAGTTACTACAGAAATAGAATGGTATGTATTAGTTACTATAGAAACAGGATGGATTGTTTTGGTTGTTATATTATTGATAATGATGTGACTGTGATAAAAAGATTTATATGTTTTACTGATGACAAGATCTACATTTCTAGATCTTTCCTACTTTATAAAGCAGGTAGCTCACATTTAATACATTTATTTTTTGGTGGCATTAATTTCTTATTTTATTCTACTTGTATATAATAATTATCAAACATATTTGAAGATAATGTGGATTCTTGAAATGTTCTACAATTTAAACTAGAGTATAGATAGAGTCCTTTTCAAAATCAGATATTACAGATTTATTTTTTGTGGACAACAGTTTTTCTTTTTTTTTTATTGACTGAAAGTAGGAAAAGCAGATTGTAAATCTTAATAGAACTTGTCTACGACATCAGCTTTGGTGGAAGTGGAGGCAAAACTTTAGGAACGAACGAACGAACGAACGATCTTAATAGAATGGATTTGAATAAAAAAAAGTTTGAATGGTGTCTCATTTCCAAAAGAGCACTTAAACATATATTATGCACAAGCTAAATCTGCCAATTGCAGGTTTTTCTGTAGGCCTGAAATCTTATCTAAATTATTAATTAGACATTGATAAACTTATCCAGACCATAATCAACTCTTGATGGCATCGCTAGCCTGCGATATTTACTGGATTAGAACCCGGTCTGCTGCTTCTGATTAAATCAAAAAATGGATAATCAAGACTATGCTTTTTTATTGTACCGACTTTAGTTATGATGATCGAGGCTAGGCCCAAAATTCAATCGCTAAATACTTGGTTCAGGGTGATCAATTTGACTGAAATTTTCAGCTTATTCCATTTACATTATCTTGTTTTTAACTATTATAGTGAGAACTACCAGCTCTTTATCTAATCTCCCATAATGTATCTTTAAATAGAACAACTTTACCTCTGATGAATTTGGTCATATGGACCCAGCTCACCAATTATTCCTACACCTTCTTTTTAGCAAGAGGTTGTCACAGGTTGCCCCATCTGTGGTAGAAAGTGTTTAACCCCACGAAAATTTGGAGAAAAGTTAGAGCCGGTCTAAGATACAAGAATTAACATTAAAGTCAATGGAGAAATAATTGGTGATCTGTGGCCATACTAGAGGTAGGGGAATCTTCTTTAGCCACTTTTATGCAGGGCCCTCACAAGCCTATGTGGCGCTCCTGGGCAAAAGTTTACTTTATCTAAATAACTATTTATTAAATCAGCTTCTATGCTTGTATGTAAATTTTTATGTTTATTTCTACTTCAAACCTCCATTTGATTGTAAAAGCCCTATAATATATCTTGGAAAAATCATAATTCCACCCTCTCTATTGGCTGAAATATGAACTGGTTTACACAGGGTTGGGGGAAGCAAAGTTTGCTATATCAGGAGGCTAGTCCATAAAAATTCAAAGGGCCGTACACTTTGAATATTTCTGATATGCACTTACATAATTTGCCACCCCCAAAGAAGTGTCCCCCCCCCCCCCCCGGCATATGCACCCCACCCCGCCATGTGTGGACCCTGCTTTTATGGAGTCCTACTACAATGAAAATGTTCTTATAATACAGTGTTCATTTACATTCATACTTAGTGGTTTAATAAGTTTTAAATTTTGTGCTCTTCCAACCTATGACCCACCCCTCTGCTCCCCATTCTGATATCTAACAGTGATAAATGATTTTAAGACTGACACAGGAGATTCCCAGAAATGATAAAACTTTTAGATTAAATGAGGTTTATTTGGTTCCCGAATTGAGCTCTTTATTTTAGTGTATATAGGCTACTTACCATGTGATATTTCCTTCATATTATAATAATATACTATTTTGTATAAAATAATGTACCGTTTATACTCTTCTGTATTAAATAATGTACCGTTTATACTCTTCTGTATTAAATAATGTACCGTTTATACTCTTCTGTATTAAATAATGTACCGTTTATACTCTTCTGTATTAAATAATGTACCATTTATACTATTCTGAATAAAATAATGTACCGTTTATACTATTCTGAATAAAATAATGTACCGTTTATACTATTCTGTATTAAATAATGTACCATTTATACTATTCTGTATTAAATAATGTACCATTTATACTATTCTGTATAAAATAATGTACCGTTTATACTATTCTGTATTAAATAATGTACCGTTTATACTATTCTGTATAAAATAATGTACTGTTTATACTATTCTGTATAAAATAATGTACCGTTTATACTATTCTGTATAAAATAATATACTGTTTATTAAAATCTGAAGTAATAAATTTAGTTGCATTTATTAAAGGTCATTTTCTTTTATTGGGGGGGGGGGGATATGTTTCTGGAAAAAGCATAGGCCTGGAATGGCACGTTTTAAAGACAAACATGCAGTAGGTAGGGGGAATTTTGCCCTGGTAGCAGTGTTTCTGCCTACTTTTCTTTAATTTCCATCTGCCAAGGGTTCATTTACAATCATACTCAATTATAGCATGTAGCTTGAATACTGCATGATTGGACATCTTGCAAACCCACAACTTGATCAGCGCATCAAAAAAGGGGCTTCCCCAAAACATGAATGGATATTAAAATGAATAATATCCACTTCAGAAAATCTGGCAGGAATCTCTTGAACTACTCTTAATTTCATTTCATTGATACCTGTGCGAATCGGGAGCTTGAGTGTTCTGTGGAATAAGTTTCTAGAGTACACTGTCATTATCCAGAGATTTTTGTTTTAACCAAAATGTGAAAACGTAAAGATTTCTATTTCTGAATGGAGACAGACTACCAGATGACAATGCTCCAAAGTAAATCAGTGCATACAGGTTTTATTTAAAATAATTTATTCTCAATAAAAATAGAAAATACTCTAAATTATAATAATATTATATACATATTTACCATATATCAGCTAGTATCTAGTCTATATTTACTTTTATTCATATGAAACAAACACTCTTCTCATCCAAATAAACTTCAATAAAACAAATATTAAATAAATATCATTAACACACATTTCTTATGTTCGAAATTTATGAGTAGAATACTGCCTGAACAGTGGCATTTCTGCAGGCCTGGAAATAGATATTTCAGATGTACCTGACAAAATATCAGGCACTAATGAAATAATACCTGACATTTTCAACTTAGTGCCGATATGTATTAATAATATCAATATGAAAGACAAATCAGTGCCGGACAAAATGACCTGGCACCAGAGGTTTTGTGCCTGACAAAGCCTGAATCTGTGCCTGATATTTTCTGTGACAGGTGCCATATTTCCAGGCTTGCATTTCTGATAATCTTTAAAATCCAACACTATTGGCATTTATTACAAATATATACGAATAGTAGATAAATATATACATTTAAAATACAGATGTGACGTCATCCTTTGATGTTGGCGTACCATTATTTCCAATAATGTACGGGCAACTTGCCAATTGTACATTATCTATACTAGATGAAATATTGGACTCATGTGACGTATTTCATTGAAAAGCACGTGTGGGATAGTGTCTGTATTTTAAGTTGTTTTATGGTCTTGAGCTAAAGACATTGCGTAATATATTAATTAAAACAACACTCGGCTAACGCCTCGTGCAGTATCAATATATTACTTAATGTCTCGCGCTCGACCATTAAACCATACAGAATATACCATCCACAGATTTGGATCATTTGCTCGATAAAGACAAAACATCCTCTCTGTTGCATAAAAATAAATTCAGTAATTGTACTATATTGTATCTTGTGTTACGATTGTGATTATGTATCATTTTCTTTGGATACTTGAGAGTTATCTTCTCTTGATGTTTGATCAATGCTTTCATCACTAGTTATTCCTGTATCATTTGTTATTCCTGTATCATTTGTTATTCCTGTATCATTTGTCTGATATGTCACCACACCATCTGCTTTCACCACGTCCGAACTTTCAATATTTTTTGTTTCACTTTTACTGGAAGCATCTGACTGCACCAAAGAATCACTTTTATTTGATTGGCTGCGTTGTCGAGTATTATCATCTGATTGGCTGCCATCATGGGTATCAGGATTAATGTTGGGATTGGAACGAATATTGTCATTGGTTGTAATCACATGGTCCTCTTCAGTACTTCCTGTGTCGAATGTCGTACGATATGCAATGTCTTCTTGGCTGAATTTAATTTTTAAATTCTGTAAGTCTCCTTCTAATTTACCTTCATTGTTTCTGTAATCTTTTGTATAATCATCTTCAAAAAACATCTCTTCCCCATCCTCTGGCTCCTTATCTTCTGCGTCTGCAACTTCTAAAACATACAGCAAAAGATTAAAATAAACATCAAAATAATTATCAAACTGACGATTTTAAATGATTTTCTAAGCAGAACAAAGACTTTGTAAAGAAACAAAACACCCAACATTTGGGTTTAACATCTCATCAACACGTATTTAAATTATTTTGAGACTAACATATGGTTACATTTATTTAATATGGTCAACAGGGAAAAGACTTTTGCCCAAACATTAGTATTTCTGCATTTTTTTTTCATTGGATTCCAACTATCAAAGGATCTTTTACACCTAATTTATTTTTTTCAATCGCTGGAGCAATGAGCAATTTCAAGCAACCAGGGATGCAACCCTTGGGGGTTCCCATAAAATAATATCACATAAAAATTGCTCTGCGAGAGATTGATTGCTGTCGCAAAAATTTACGTCCAAATCAGAGTGTGTCCACAAGTTAAACTTGGTTTCTGGACCCATCTGAATGACGAGACACTTTAAGATTCAAACATTGTTGATCAAAATCTTATTCATCCACAAAACAGATATCAGGAAAAACTACGATTCTGGCTAAATATAAAACAACAAATCAATCTCAGTAACAATCTGATTAAAATACAGATATATATCTCGTTTCGTTTTTTTTTTATACTTTCGATGACCTACACTACATTGTAGCGATAGGTCACGTCAGAGGTCATACAAGTGGCTTTTGAGCCTATGACGTCAGATATTTGATTAACCAATCAGCATTGATGTTACTAGTGGATTTACCCACAGTTCCGTGCAAAACACGCGTAAAGCTCAACGTAACAGGCCGTTTCATTGGCTAATCTCTCAGACCATTCAGAATATGTCAATGATAATAACTCTTCCAGATCCTAGTGTAGTAAAGACAAGTAAAACGAAATTTTGAACTATAAAAAACGAAATGAAATAGGATCTGTGTTTTAATCAGATTGTCTCAATAACGGACCTGGTTTAGTATCAGTTATGGGTGTGGTGGTCTGTGATGCGAGGAAATCATCTAAAGCACCATCATCCTGCTCAATATTTATATCACTTAAACTACTAACTTTAGGTATTTCTGGTAAACTTAATTCTAAAATATAAATAAATAAATTAGGACATATAAAACTCTGGTTCTCAGATAGTGCCCCGTGACTTAAAGAAATATTCCTTTTATTTTAAAGATACATTATGTAAGATTTAGATAAAGAGCTGGCCAGTCTCGCTATTATAGCTCAAAAATAGATAATAAAAAATGAATATATTGAAATTTCAGTAAAATTACTTTATTTTGATAAGATATAGCGTTTTAACGAGACTATTAAAATAGTCTCGACTGTCAACTACCATTGTTACATTAATAGACAAAGTCTTGATTATCCAATGGATATTGTGCCATATTCTAATCCATTCAATATAATGGCCATCCAATAGCAATGGTCTAGAGAGTTGATTATGGGCTTGTTATCTTAATAAATGTCGAAATAATAATTTATATAGCTCTCATATCATGTATCTTTAAAAAGATCACATGACCTGTTTCTCTTGCTAAAGGGAGGAAACTATATTAAAAGTTTGTCCATGGGGTCTTGGATTTGATCACATCTAAACTACAAAGCACACTTTCCCTATCATCCCCACATTTACCATTACAAGGATCGTCATCATCCAACATGATTTGATTCTGAGGCACCTGATATAAAGGATAGTATACAAACTTTCTCAAGAGACAAAAGTCCATAAAAAGTTAATTTTTTGTAATCTTACTATCAGTTCTGCCATGTTGTTTATAAAATGATAAATCACTGGAAAAGGCCTCTTCAAACGCTTCATGTCGTTCTTGTAATTTCTCGTTACGACTTTTCTCCAGTTCCTGCATTCTTCTTGCATGATTCCTGGCCAGTTCAACTAAAATAAATAAAATACATTTTAATTTATCTTCAGTTTGAGAGTTTCGTAAAGTTGTGGTCATTAATGGTAGATTGTGGTACAAACAAACTTTACAGACAGTTTCGTCAAGTTGTGAGAGAGAGAGAGAGAGAGAGAGAGAGAGAGAAATGGGGTTTAACCTCCACTAGATACAACCCAGGTCATTTCGGGACTAACACATGGTTTAATTTTATTTCAATAATTCGCTTGAGCGTAGGGGTCTTTAGCAGTGGGAGGAAAGGGGAGGACCCAGAGAAAATCCAACGAGGTTGGACAGGCGACCCTACTCCTTGTCACGTACAACCGGGGATTCGAAACCACGCCAGTTGACTCAATGACAGGCCTTATGACGTCAAGTCGTGGGCATGAATGGAAGATTGCAGTCACAAAACAACTTTACAGCGAGCTTCGTCAAGTTGCTGTCATCTTTGTTTATTTTAACCAAATCCGAGATAGAAAAGTGAAAACAAAAAAACTGATAAGACCTTTAACCCTTTCAGCATCTTGTTGTTTTTGTTGTTTATATTGTACTAGTTGTTTATTATGTAGAGTTATCTGTTTCTGTATTTCCTGTTCATCACAAACATCTTCTAATCTCTCCATGGCTTCTTCAACAAGCGTAAAATCATTCTTTAATACAACTAGAATAAAACAGGATTTAAAAAACTTTAATTTAAATACTACATTGTTCGTATCCGGTAATGGCTGAGAAATTTTCTCTGGATTCTTCAATGTGGTTTACCCTGGAGGGCGAAGGGGGCGAGACAGTTTCTATTCGTTTGGATTTGTCAAAAAACTGAGGTATCATGTACACATTGGTGAGCACGCAAAAGAACCCTTGGCAGTTGTAATTTGATAAAGAGTAGGCCATAGCGCCGATGTCTGGGCAAAATTTCACACTGCATGGTGTAAGTCCGTCTTCATTATCCCAGTCGTTGTAGAAAAGTAGGACGTAAAAGAACCCTTGTCAGTTGGAATTTGAAATAAAATTAGGCTATCGTGCCGTTGTTCGTGCAAAATATTCCTCATCGCTCACTGCATGGTGTAAGCCTGTCTTTATTAGCCAGAGCAGAAAAGTAGGACATTAAACCCCAGTTCATTGACATTCAGCACTGACAAATTGAATCCATTGTTATTGTCTTTCGGATACGATAAAAAATGAGGTCATGTGTAAAAGTTAGCGTGCACGTTAAAGAACCCTTAACAGGTGGAATTTGAAATTTACCTAGCTTATCTGTCAGCCGTTCTATAACTTGTAATAACTCAGGTAATTCCTTTATAGAATCTTCTAAATTTGTCATCAATTCTGCTTCTTTCTCCCATTTTTTAAACACAGTAAATATTTCTTTATCTACAATCTGTAACAATAAAAACAAAACATAATCATGTATTTCTTTGGGTTTCTGAGTGGTCTTTGGAATATACATGTAGATCATAACAACTGTCATTGAGTCAAGTGGTTTCCCCTTCCAGTGGTGAAAGATGTAGGCCTAGCATGAAAAACCATCCAGTTGTTCGTGTGTATGCTGGGAGTTTAAATAAAAAGTTTGAACAGACCTCCACTTAATTTAAATCAACACTTCAAATTTGGTATGAAAAGTCGAGGTCGAGTGTATACCATTAGCACCATGCTCAATATCCCCAGAGAGTTAGAAATCAGAATAAGAATAGTTCTAGCGCCACCATCAGAGAGACTTAAAATTTACTGCATAGCACATGGCATGGTGCAGAAAACTAAGACTTTGAAATATATTCATTTTTATTCAGATAAAACCTTTAATAAAATCAACAAATAAGTTTACGGTACCTCAGCTTTTTTTGCGCTTTGTTTTGTAAATGAATCAATCTCTATCCATGACAAGTGATATCTGAAATAATATTAAATAATATAACATAAGATTTAGCAATCTTGCTGGTCTGCAATAATAACTGATGGATCTTTCTCAGTCACTGGAATGTCTGATTGAGAATTCTATGACTATCGGTATATGTACATACGGAAAATTCAAATAATGGAATTAAAGTCACTGAGAGAGAGAGAAATGGGGTTTAACATCCACTTGACAAAAACTAGATCATTTTGGGACTAACATATGGTTCAATTTTATTTCCATAATTCGATTGCGCGTAGGGGGTTTTAGCAGTGGGAGGAAACCGGAGGCCCCGGAGAAAACCCACGAGGATTAAAGTCACTGATACTGATCATGCATTTTTCGGATGACAATATCTAATTTTTCGAGAAGTAAAATGTACTTAGATATATAGATTATTCAACAATCATGCAATATCAAGAATGGAAAATCTTCTAGTTTGGATTCAATGGGATTAAAAGAAGCCCATCAAAATATTTTACTCAAGACTTAAAGGTGGCGCTCACTTGTTCATGGATGCCAAATGTTGCATAATTTTCAATTCATCATATTTTTGTAAATACTAAATGGAATTGAAAGAGTTTTTGGATTTGTATTCCTTTTAGAGATTGAACTTGGTAATATTGTAGTTGGCAAGGTATTCCTCAAATGATATTGAGAGGCTTTAAAAGTAACATACAATGTACAAGAAGCTTCTCGGAATATAGTTCTATTCACAGACACAGAGAACTATTTCTGATTAAAATCCCTCAGCAGATTTTAAAAAATGATTATCATAGGTACTAAATTCTATAATCCCTCAGCCGCTTTAAAAAAATATTGTCATATTGTAGGTACTAAATTCTATGATCAACAAACCTCTGAAGAAGATCTGCTCCTGCATCGAGAGAAATTCCATCTCCTCGTAGTCGTTTTAACGTCTCACTTTTAGGATGAGTTTCAAAAGTTGTCAGTGCTTTTAACCTGTTAATACATGTAAATCAAAAATATAATTGATGTTGGTACCGGTCTGGTATCATAAAAACCACCAAATGTAAATTTCGACAGTCAGTGAACAAAACAACCACTTCACAGTTTTTGGATCTTCAGTGAAATGAATTAAAATATATCAAATTGAAAGATGTCATTATTCTTTTGGTCAACACTATGAAAATTAGAATAATGTACGACAAGACACTGAAATAGCCAATGTTATTGAATGATGGCATCTTGAAGCTGCTTACATACACTAACTCGACATTTCTCAAAATTAACTTTTGAAAACAATAATTTTAAAATTGCGAGAAAGACAAATGGGTTTTAACATCCACTCGACACAAACTAGGTCATTTTGGGACTAACACATACTTCAATTTATTTTAATAATTCGCTTGCGCGTAGGGGTCTTTAGCAGTGGGAGCTAGGAAACCCCGAAGGACCCGGAGAAAACCTATGAGGTTGGACAGGTGACTCTACTCCTACCGGCGAATCGAAACCACACCAGTTGACTCAATGACAGACCTTATGATACAGCAACCTTCCCCCCCCCCCATTTTAAATTGATTGGCAACCAAAATAATGTCTGTTGTACAGTATGAGATGTAATGGAAAGATATATAAACAGTGGACTCTAAGAGATTAAAGTACATGTAGCTAAGTCTCTAAATCAATATCACCCAAAGTCTTCGACACTGAAAATATGAAGTATTTGTCAATTTAAATCAACATTGATGTTGTGGTCTTGTCGGGAAAAAATGGGCTTCTGATATACAATATTTAAGAGAAAATAATTGTTTTACCATTGGTACACAAATCGTGTACCATAATGCGTTTCAGCTCTATTTGTAGCAAGGGACTCAAAGAACGAGGCTAGACATATTCCACAAGTCATGTCAAACGGTGACCTCATATTCTTGTATGGGTAGCATGTGCTTTAAACACTATCAGTGCAGATTAGAATAACCAGATGCTAGAGATAGCCATTCAATTGAGACTTGTGGCGTATTTCGCCAAACATTGCTGGTTTGAAATTAAGAGTAAAAATGTAAACGATTGAATGTAAATCAGTTTATATACATTCATATTACATCATTATATGCATTGCGACCCATTTGTGTCAATTTCTAGATCCCAAATATTAGCGATTTAGCTCCTTTAAACTCTTTAGTATCGCTAAACAAATTATCTTGGAATAGATGTGTTGTTACTTTCAATCAACTGTGTGCTTGTTTCTGTTATTCTTGCTACATGTATACATAGACTATGAAATTAGCCTATATGATTTTTCCATGGCCATAGAATTATCATATACATACTGTGTCAGAAACAGTGATTCAACAGGCTTCATAGCCTACTTAATTCTAACAGTGTTAAACAGTTTATAAACTCTGGTACTAAATGCAATATATGTGGATAATTCCCATTATTTATACTTTATAATGTTAATTTGGATGCCAATTAGAGTTTACGAAAGTTGTACAGTTTGGAAAGGTCAAAGGAGGAAGTTTGCAGTTCTTTCAAAATTTCTGATGCATCCGACCAAACTATAGCATACCGGTACCACTTTTTAACTCAAGATTCAAATGAAGCATTTTTTGGTCATCTGATCAATCGATGCAACGACAAGTACCTATAACAATTTTGATCTTTTTTTGGTAAACTATAATAATAAAGGCTTTTCTAGTTGACTAACTTGACTTACCCATCAACAATATCCTGTTGAACGCCTTTAATAGTACCTTTCAGTCCCTTTAAAACACTCATCTTGACTTGAAGTGGGCGTATCAATTCGACATATTGTTCCCTGTTTTAATTATGGTCGATTTATCACTTATAAAAAAGCGGATATCTATACAGATAAAAAAAAATACGGATATCTATCTTTATCACCTAGTTTCAACTACTCTGTAGTCAGCGCCATATTCATATCATGTGATAATCACATGACTAGGTATAAATAAAAGGGAAATAATTTCGGTAAAAGGAAACAGACCACAATTTGTAGCGCGTTCCCTTTCTACCATTTTGCCAGGGTCGGTTTAAGCTTGCTTGGGGTCCCAGACTGAAAATGTTTCCCATTTTCGAAATCTTCAATAACTATAGGAAATTTGGGGTCCGAAATTGGTTGACTTAAAAATAAATCGGTCTGATCTGCTGTAAGTGTAATACATTCCTTGCATAAATCAAAGACGATCAAGAATTGATTAATTGACTTTAATTCGTCACTTTATTATCAGACTACAGCTTATAGAGTCCTTCATTTCGCTTTAGATTTTGCACATATTCTAGAAGGACTGTACTAAAGCAGTAGACTAAGCGATGTTCGGCTTTTTCCGGCGTGGTTTCCCCTAGTCATTGGTGGAGGACAAAGGTCCTGGCAGGGGACAACGTATAGTCTTCGGATGGGACGAAAAACCGAGGTCCCGTGTACACATTGGCGTGTACGTAAACTGTCCCTTGACAGATGGAATTCGATATAAGAGTAGGCCGTAGCGCCGCTGTCCTGGCAAAATTCATAACACACTCTTTGGCGGATGCCCGTTTTCATTAGCCCAGTACGGAGCAGAACAGTAGGAAGTTAAACCCATCCATACATCTACTAATTTTTACTTGATGTCAAGGTTAAGGTCGCTTTTTTCAATTAAAATATAATAAGGTACCAGTGTGGAGCAAAACCGTGAACTACTTTAACCACGACATCGCCACTGCGACATTTTATATAGATATAAAAAAAAGACCGATCATATCAGTAGATATAAATGGAATGTCGTAAACAATAATCGAACGATCTATCAGGAATTTACAGGAATTAAAACGATTTATGACTAACCCGGAGGCGGTGTGATTAAAGGGATTATTGGAATTAAGGGATAATGGCCACGTGTTTGATGATGTTAATCCCGTTATTGGTAATTTCTATTTTTAGAATGATTGACGTCTGTGGCTACTGTTATTATATTTTTTTTTATTTTCCGGGTTTATTCAGTAATAATGAAATATGTTTATATGTTCAATATTTATAAGAGATTTTGAAGCGGAAGGATAACTGTGTTTCTCAAGATGTCCACGGCGAACCTCGTACGTGTGAGAGAGAGAGAGAGAGAGAGAGAGAGACGTCCACTCGATACAATTCAGTCATTTCGGAACTGACATATGGTTTAATTTCATTTCAATAATTCGCTTGCGCGTGGCGGGCTTCGTGGCGGGCTTTAGCAGTGAGAGGTAGTTGGGGGACCTTGAGAAACCCCTACGAGGTTGGACAGGCCACCCTACTCCTTATCACGTACAGACGGGGAATCCAAACCAAAAAGTACACCACTTGGCTTAATGACAAACCTTATAATCCAACGTACACGCGAAACACCATTTGGCCACCCAACAACCCTCTATAAAAGAGAAAGTTTGTTCGTTTGTTTGTGTGTTCGATATAAAAAAACAAAAAGTTTTAAAACAAACCTCATAACAACCACTGTCATTGAGTCAACTGGTGTGGTTTCGAATCCCCGGTTGTACGTGACAAGGAGTATGGTCGCCTGTCCAACCTCGTGGGTTTTCTCCGGGTCCTCCGGTTTCCTCCCACTGCTAAAGACCCCTGCGCGCAAGCGAATTATTGAAATAAAATTGAACCATGTGTTAGTCCCGAAATGACCTAGTTTGTGTCGAGTGAACGTTAAACCTCGGTTTTTCGTCTCATCCGAAGGACTAGACAGCTGTCCTTGTCAGGCCCTCCGTCCTGCATTACTGACAAGGGGGAACCACGCCGGAAAATCTGGATGAACTTTCTCGGCCAATGCAGGGATCGAACACCCGACCTCCAGGCTAGCGAGCCAGCGTCTTACCTACTTAGCCACGTGATCCCCCTCATATCAACCAATAATTTAACGACGCTATTTTGTTTTGTATTTTATACAGTATTTAATTAATAAAATTGACAATGATTATTGAATTATTACAGATGTTACAAAAATGGAGATCTACTCTACCCTGCAACGTTGGGGGTAACACCGGAGGGAGGCAGGCCTGTAGCTAGCCCAAGAATGTTGGGGGGGGGGGCAAGGGCTTCTGGGGTCGCCGATGTACCTACACTTGACGATCCACGGCGCACCTCCCTTCGAAGGGTCTAGGGTGCTCTCCCCCCAAGAAAATTTTGTAAAATATGGTTAGTAGGCCTACAGGAGGGGAACTATGAACATGACAGAAAATTTCAATTTTGAGGCTGAATTTGCGATATTGGAGTATTATGATATTTTGATATGAACATTATAAAAAATTGAAGGAAGAATACGACTTTAACGTACCTATAAGAATATATTATGAGAAAAACAAAAAGTTTTGAATCGGGTTATGCATTACGTGCGGCCTGACAATCATATATTGTCATTATAAGGCGCCCCACCTATCATGTCATTATGGGCGTCCCTCCAGGATAAGGCACCCAACAGATCACGCCGTATTGCGTCCAATGATTGGGGGTGTCGAATTTTTCCAGGGGAGGGGGGGGGGGGGGTCTAGCGCGCCTGGGAGGATTTACGCAATACTACCCAATAGTACGCAGTACGCAATACTACGCAATACTACCCAATACCACCCCATATATATACTACCCAATACTACAGCATGAGCAAATTACTAGGTTTTTGTCAAAAAAAAGTGAGTTTTTTCGCGGGAAATGTACTTCAAATGCGCTTACCGATGTCTGGCTGTTCCATTAGCCGCCCCCCCCCCCCGTATCACCAAAAACATGCAAAGAATAACCCAATACTAGCAAATACTAGCAAATAACACCCAATATTATCAAATAACAACCTAATATCGTCAAATAGCAGTACATCAGTATAATAACTGCAACGAATATTCGATAATTTGCAGAGAATTAAAATATTTACGCAGTTATCTCCCTTTGCATCCGATAAATGGATTTTAGATTGCTACTCAGACAATCTGATTAAAATACAGATATCGGATGCAAAGGGAGATAACTGCGTAAATATTTTAATTCTCTGCAAATTATCGAATATTCGTTAAAATACAGATCTATATTTCGTTTCGTTTTTATTATACTTTCGATGGCCTACATTACATGGAGATCTGACAAGTTGTGCTGGAAGGTCGTGTCAGGGATTGTACGAGAGGCTTTTGACCCTATGACGTCAGACATTGGTTAATCAATCAGCATTGACGTTTCTAGGGGCTTACACACAGTTTCATTGGCTAATCCCTCACTTCAACCAAAACGCGGGTAATATAACAACTCTTCCAGATCCTAGTGTAGTAAAGACAAGTAAAGCGAAATTTTGAACTATAAGAAAAACGAAACGAAATAGGATATGTGTTTTAATCAGATTGCTACTCAGATTATATACATAGATGTAGACTGTCATTTCCCATTCTTCGAATGATGTCACTATTGAACAAATTCTCCGGTATATATCCACGGGTGACGATGTCGCGGTGATTACCACCAAAATGAATAATCGCGGCATCGATTTCCTCTGTCATTGACTAGGTATGTAATGTGGTGACACGTGATATTATTAATTAATGACGTCAGATAAATTTGAACCGGACTGGTTGGTATTATGTTCAAGCTGATCAAACTGACGGTAATGAAGCCAAACCAGGGCTAGTAGACAACTAAATGGTGGGTGGGGGTGGGCGGTGGCGATGGTGCGCCGGGGGTGTGCCTGCTGCACCAATGATTTGCAATGTATCCAATTTTAAGTATTTATAGAATTAAAATTGTCCAAAAATATCGACATCAGAGCGCTGTAACGTCCCAGCTGTCATCATGTGACCTACTGTGATGGAATTACCCGGGCAATGTCCCATTCCGAAATCTGTGCTGCTCCACCCCACCCTTATCGATATACTTCCGCTGCCCATTGCCCTGGCTATTAAACACCTTTTATTTAAGTTAAAATACATTGTTGATCGTGTGTGTTATTTCAATTAGTGATTGGCTAAACTATATACGATTACATTTTTATTTTGTTTACCAATTTTAGTTTAATGTTTTGCTTATTACTGCAGTGCATTGTAACTTGAAAGACAATCGGTTATATATGGGCAACTTTTGTTTGCTGCCCGTAAGTTTAGGGTAAAATAACCAAAATATTTTTAACAGTGTGTGCATTGTAACTTGAAAGACAATCGGTTATATATTAACACTGTCTTTATTTGTAGACGTAAAACTTTCATCTAAAACAGATTGCCAACATTGAGAACAAATCAACATATGAAATCCCCAGTGAATAATAATTGTGTTTTTGGCCCAAATCAAAACAGACACATTTCCGAGACTCCGATCGGAATTAGGCGAAAATATTTTTGGGGGATTTGGTTCGCTAGACCATATTTTGGTTTTGACCATAGCCAGTATTCCGAAATTTTCAATTCATCATATCTTGGTAAATACTGAACGGAGTTGACTCATTTTTGCAATGATTCAACTTTTACAATATTGAAGTCTGTTCTTTCTTGAGGGGTTGGATGGCGGAATGGTTAGCATGTGCGCGCTGTATCATGAGACCTGTCATTGAGTCAACTGGCGTGGTTTCGAATACCCGGTTGTACGTGACAAGGAGTAGGATCGCCTGTTCAACCTCGTGGGTTTTCTCCGGGTCCTCCGGTTTCCTCCCACTGCTAAAGACCCCTAAGCGCAAGCGAATTATTGAAATAAAATTAAATCATATGTTAGTCCCGAAATGACCTAGTTTGTGTCGAGTGGACGTTAAACCCCATCTCTCTCTCCCTCTCCATCTCTCTCTCTCTCTCTGTTCTTTTTTTTTCTTGGGGTCGACGAAATTTGGGACAACACTGGATAATAAGCAACGATGAATAATGGAAATTCCATGTAATTTGGCCAATTACCGACCACCACAATATCATCCTTCAAAAAACCTCCCCCATTATTTATCTCTGGTTTTAAACGAAGTT